CCCACAGACATTTCAGATGGTCACCATCTTTGTTGGGAGTACATACCAAGATGGTAACCCGTATGGTCTAAGTCTATGATCACCTGACATGGTTCATTGTTGGTGATTGACTAAAAATTGGGTTCTAAGGCGAGATGAGACATTCATTGCCTCATTGAGACCTTTGAAACCACCAATGCGTTGAAATCTCCAGGCAGAAGGGGATAGAGGCTGTAATGGTCTGAGAGCCTATGGGTAACAGAGAGAATGAAAAGACTGGACATCTCCCATGTTCATTGGTGTCAGAGCAAACATATTTTCCTGTCATGTTTGGAAATATCAAAGAGGATCTTTGGCACAGGACGTTCATTTGATAGACTTGCGGACTGCCTTGTTTCTCTTGTTGACTGGCGATGCAAAGGCTATTCTGGTCGAAAAATGGAGCGGTTAGACGTGATGAAACTTGGAGTGGATGAAATACTGGGTTGCATCCAATAAAACATGAGTTTTTGTACTGCCGGAGTGGGAAGTACTTCACCCCACAGTGGAAATACCCATGGACCAACCTGTAGAACCCACAGCAAGTTTTGGACACCTTGCACATGACAGATTTCATCTTTACGATGACGATGGTACCTCATTCTGGGATCAGATTCTCCCGCAGTGCTATGCACAAAGCGAAAAACAATTCTCTCTATCCTGTGCAGCCGACATGGGTAGTATATGGGAGTCGTCCTAAAACCCATGCAAGGCTTTTAGTATCCGAGTGACATCTGCAGATATGGATGTACGTGTTTTGCTGCAGTGGCGAAAGGCCGCGAAAGCGCGGCGTAAGGTTTGCGAAAGGTCTGAATACCACTATTTATAAATATATAATTTATAGTATTCATGTTTGGCAGCTTTCTTTGCAGAATTGCCACAGGACTCATGTTTCGTATTGTCCCATGTTCTTATATTTGGCAGTGGCATCCTGCATGATTGGCATAAATTATAAAAGACACCCTTGCATAAACATTAGCTTCTGAAATTTCATTTTTTAGACGAGAAATCCGCGAAAGGTTCGCGAAAGGTCCGCGAAAGGTTCGCGAAAGGCGAATCCTCCCGGACCCAACCCTGGCCCAAAATGGGCTATATAGTTCTTTCTGCAATGTCGCAACTTTAGAAGCTTTTCAAAGAATGGGTGCAAAACCAATGTCCAGAAGTCAAACGTCCTCACAGGAACACTAACTTGCCCAATGCCATCGACTCTGTGGACTGGAACAGACTCATCACGCACAGCAGGAATGTAACTAGAGCAGCTTTGAAAACGGATCTCCAATAAGTAACGTTTTTAAATACAATCCTCCTGTAAATCTTTGTGACGAATTTGCACACGAAAACCTTATCATAATCCCATGTCCCGATTCTGCTGGGGCGCGAAAGGGTGCGAAAGGTTCGCGAAAGCGCGGCGTAAGGGCAATTTTCGGGTACCATAATTTTGGATAACCCCCATATATTATATGCTTTTCCATGAAAGCACTTGTTTGACATTTTGAAGGCGAAGATATCAAATGTCCAAATCAGTCTTATACTACTGTATGAGCCTGTTATTATTATTAATATGTGAGTATTGCATTTAGATAGTATGTATATGCATGTATTTGCATATAGTGCTCTTGGGCAGGTTTGGTGTATGCTGCTCATTCAATTGTGTCAGACATGCATCTATGCCAACTGTTACATTTTGGTTCAAAGTATTTCCCAAAATGGCTAACATCAGGGAGAATCTCTGAAGAGAGAATCTCTAAGGTCGAAGACCGACTGTTGGCATAATTTGTTGTTTTTGCCAATTCAAAGTGATGGATGTTGATGCTGTGGTCAAAGCTTGGCGACAGGTCAACGGAGTTACTCACGATGGTGACTTCGCATATTTTTTCTCTACCATGGGAGAAGCCCAGGCCGAAGCCGGAGAGCTCGTCGCCAACGCTTGGCGGGATGTCCGTCGCCGAGTGTCATCGGGAGTTGACAGGAGTCTAGTCGCCCTCCTGGAACGGGAGACCCGGGCCGCCCCTGTCCCCGCAGTGCGGCAGGCACAGCCAGTGGAGGAACCACCAGCGTCAACATCCAGAAAGCGCCCAGCGCCTCGTGTCGTCCGAGCCGTGGAGAAGCCACCGCCTGACCTGGAGAAGTATAGGCCTTTCTTGCAAGAAATTGGGCAATTGGCCAGTTGGTTCCAGCCAGGTGCAGGGGAAACCGCAGACCAGGTCACGGCAGCGATGCAACCGCTGCTCACCCAGCTGCTGAATCAGACCGAGGGCGCAACCCTCCAGCGTGTCAAGCTGACATGGTTGCAGTTGGGCAGTTGGGCTGATGAGCAAGGATTGAATCTCAGCCATCTTTCTGCAAGCCAGCTGGGCAGATGGTATAGCTCGTGCAATGCACCGTCTCGAGCTCTGCCCGCATTGCAGTGGATTAAGAATAACATGCGGGTAGCATGGGACCTCAGCCTTTGTGTAGGCCGAGTTAGAGCAGCCCGAGGGCATCATGGGGTTGGTGCTCGGCAAGCGCCCACAGCAGAACCTGCCATGTTTTTCCACTTGATGGACGCCCTGGATTATGCTGTGCGTCGTCACACAGCAGCTGCACCGGCTTTGGTAGTCACCTACCTGCAAGTTGCAGGTTGCGTCCGCATGGCGCACGTGCAGAGGTCCAGCATTGTGAAGTGCACTGGTACAACACTGCACTTCATCTGCCCGAAAGGCAAGCAGAAAGGACAGAGGCAGGGGTTTGTTTGGACCGCGCCTCGGGCCATTCCGACCGGAACGTTAGCCTCTGACCTTGACCTCGCGCCATGGTTTAAGCGCCATCTGATAGACGAGCAGGCCGAGGCGATTGGTTTCGACATCCTCACCAAGAAGAAGCTGACAGCAAAGTCAATTACTGATACTGTGAAGCTGGTGATGCGTGGCGTTGTGGAGGATGACCAACTGGGCATGCTTTCCAGCAAATCTTGGCGCCAGGTGCCCGTGACATGGGCTCACCTTGTGCAACTTCATCCAGCGTTGACAGTAGCACTGGGTAATTGGACTGACAAAGCTCCTGACCAGAGCCGTAGTCAGATGCCTTTACGGTACACTGGATCGAAGCAGTATCAGAGTGACCTTGCCAAACAAGCTTTTATTTTGTTCATGGCTGCTGCAGCCCAACAGCGTGAACCTTTCACCCGATGGGTCCGTATGACGCAGATCACCTACACCACTTTGAAGGAGGATAGCTTTGAGAAAGCCTCAGCCATGCTTCAACAGCCTGAGGCGGTTTTTTTCTCGGCCCAAAGCGAGGCTGATGCCAATTCACTGACTCAACGTTATTTCACGATTCGTGTTCGAGGACTCAGAAACCGTGTCCCCATTTTGCCTGTGGCGGGCTTACAGTCTGCAGAGAATCCGCATCTGCCAGTCGAGACAGTTTCTCCTGGAGCAGCCGATGCTGCTGAACCAGCGGAGGTCGAAGATGAATTCTTCGACAGTCTGGCACTGCAGCGTTGGAGCAGACCAGGCCACGGAGATGGGCCAGAGCCCCCGACTGTAGTGTACCGGAAAGGTACTTCGGAGAGCGCCCCGGTTGTGATCCTTGGGGGAATCCCAGGCGAAGCTGATCTTGCCATGTTGGAGAGACACCGGGTCAGGCTGGTCGTGACCTGTTTTGCGCAGTCAGCAGTGGGTAAAGGGGCCGTCTTCCCCAAAGACGCCTGCATTCGTCACTGGGTGATCTCGAGTCCAAAGAAGAGAGATCGTGACTGGGCAGAGCTGCGTCCACTGCTCCAACCCACACTTGAGCACAATTCATCGATTTTTGTGCACTGCATGGCTGGAGTACACCGAGCACCGGTTGCTACCGGCATAGTTGTCTCCACCCTGAAAGGGCAGAGCCTGGACCAGACAATGAAGCACATCGGACGGCTCCGAGCCATTGAGGGTCACAAGATGTTGGGGCCGGCAAAGGAAGAATTCACAAAGTGGGCCAATGATAAGGCTGAAGGCGACCGATTGCCGCCGAACTATGCCCGTGTGCCCCTCCAGTTTATTTCAGCGGACCAGCCCAAAGCTCTGTGGCACCTAGTACCTGTCAATTTTGATCCCCAAGTACCCAAGCCACTCTGCCAGTGGAAAAGGACACAGACGTCGTTCAAAGGGCAGACAAGTTTGGCCAACTCAGTGCAGGAAGCACTGGTGTATGATCGGCCCTTTTGTTCTAGTTGTGCGAAGCACATGCCTGCGGGAGCTCTTGGAGAGCTTGAGAATGCAGCAGTCTCCTGGCGATCGCGTTGACCTTGGCACGGTGTTCAAAAACGCGATGAGTTAGTGGCAGAACGGGTCTATTTGAGTAGTCATCACTCTTGTCATGTTGCGCTTTGTTCATTGAGGGCACAGTATGCTGTAGTTTTCTTTTCTAAGTCAGAGTAATCCCCCTCCGTATCATGACCTAGGAGGTTAATCCGACGCCGCTGCTCAGGAGCCGTACCTGTTGCTGGACTACTTGGTCGCTTGGACCCTTAACTTAGATGAGGGCACAGGGCTTCGTTTGCAAGCAGCTGTTGAATTAGTTTTAGATGCAGTTCAATCTCTTGTCAGTTTTTATCTTTGTCTTCAATATTATGATCAACCTGCGTTGACAGTGTTCCGTGAGTCTCTGAGTGATCTGAGTTGGACGCCCGTGTTGTAGCCGGACAGTCATAGGCATGAAGTGCCACAGATCATTGCTAGCTGGGACCTCCCGTGACTGCGTACAGGTAGCAGAGAAAATGGAGTTGATTTTCCTCGTGGTGGAGAACCCACACCAGGACAGAGAGCTGAATGCTCACCGGGAAGGGACTTGTCGGAATGACAAAGCTTCCATTTTGATGTCATTTTGCAATCCCAGCTGAGGTCGATCACATGTTTTGAGTTTTCCCATTTAGGCTGAGTGTCTGCTCTGTTGTTGCACGGAAAAGGTAGAGAAGTTTTGCTCAAAGATCGCGGGAGTCTCGGACGGTTGCCTCAACCATGGCCTCTGCCCGTGCTACGTTCGTTGAGCTGCAGCAGTTGTACAATTTCGACGAGAAGATTGTCGACAAGATAGTCGCCTCAGGGGTGACGTCACTGAGTGAGTTTCGTTTCTTTTGCAAAGACGAAGAGGATGTAGTCACTACCTTCATCACGCCCTTGGGGCTCGAGAATGAACGCCTGGAGGGCGCTCGCCTCAAAAGGGCATGGGCCGCAGTAGTGACTGCAGAGAAGGCTCGGGAGGCCAGCCAAGTGGAGGGAATCCCGCTGGAGGAGGATGAATGCCTCCCAGCAACCACTTTGGCAACTATGAAGGAATCTTTTTGGAAGCGGTATCACTGGATGCCTCCTCCCGAGCAACAGCCCAGTGACAAGTTGCTCTCCAAAGTCAAAAGGTCGCTTGAAAAGAAGAACATTGAAGTGTTGAACATGTTCCAGGTGAAGTCCTTAGTCAACCAGCGGCAGGGCACCACCAAGCGTCGCAAAGTCGCCCCCAAAATCTGGGTCGGCGAGGATCCCGAAGATGACGAAGTCGCGGTTGAAGATGTTTGGGCCTACTTGGACAACATGTTCATCTACATGGTCGCGCTCGCGATGGCAGGGGTGACAGCAATTATTCAGCCGGCGCCAACAGCAGCAGAAGGTCCTTCCACCAACTCCTGTGACTATGTGGAGTTCCCTTTGGATTTGGCATGGAAATACCATTTCCGGGCCGTGCAGACCGTGAAGAAGATCCCTGAGAGGGCGCGTTTGCCCCACGTTTCATCCCTGGACTTGCAGGAGCGAGCGTTGTGGTGCCAGAAGTACGCCACAGGGACAGAGAAGCTGGGAGCTATCGTCCTGCAGATTTACACTGAGAGAGATGTGCATTGGGCAGCTGCTACCCTCTTGCCTTCTCAATCTGGAAGACTTTCCATGGCTCCGCCTGAGCCGGCGGTGGCCCCGAGAGCTCCTACAGCGGCCGTCTCTGCGCCGTCGGGCAACAAGTTGGCAGCCACCTTTCGAGATGGAACTCCGCTATGTGAAGCATGGAACCAAGGACGCTGCCCCCACCAGAAGGCCAGGAATTGCGCGAATGGTGAACATCGTTGCTCGCATCGCCTGAAGAGCGGCCGTGTCTGTGGCGATCCGAATCATGTAGGGTCCAAGTGCAAGAATCGACAGAAAGCCTGAGAGCATCTCAGTGACGTCTCACCACTGGAGAATCCAGAAACAGCTGACGCCCAAGGCGCTCTGGATGAATTCCAGTTGCATGTCCGCTCCTTGATGGAGCAGTGGTCAGAACAGTGTACCACGGATGACAACGGGCCTGAATTGCCTGTCTTTTTAGATATGCTTAGTGGGCCGAAGTTCCCACTGGCTAAGGCATTTGAATGGGCTGGTTGGAAAGTGGTGCAACCGCTAGATATCCTGATCGATCCTGAATTTGATCTCACCAGCAGCACCGTGCAGAAAGCCGTTGCCAAGATTTTGCCACAATGCCATGCAGTCAGTGCCGCCATGGACTGCAGCACTAAGAGTCGCATCCGTGAAATTGCCCTGCCAGGATCAGCCGGGCCACGGCCACTGCGTTCCCAGAAGTTTCCGAGAGGACTGCCGCACCTGAAAGGTAGGGACCGTGACAGAGTTACCAGTGACAACAGCTGCAGTGATTTCCTGCTAGCTGTGCAGCATGTCATGCACTTGAAGTCCAGGGCAGCGTTTAGGGAGAATCCCCGCCGCAGTCTACATTGGGTTGACCCTAATGAGGTATGGATGCAACAGTATGGTGGGTGGTTTGATTTTTTGTATGACAATTGTTGTTTTCTGGCGGCTCGGAAGAAAGCCCAGACAATCAGGCACAACATAGAAGAGATGAGAGTGTTGCCTGATCTGACATGCGGTCATTGGCACAATGAGACCGACTGGAGGCCTTACTTAGTCCGAGGCAACTGGTGTTACCCAAGTGCTGAGGAAGCCGAATACCCTGCTAGCTTGGTTTTTACTCTTGCAGTCTGTTGTTCCCATTGGGCAGCCAATCGGGGTTTTGGAACCTTGCGCATCTCACGTTTGCCGCCTGTTGAATGCTCAGGTGACCGAAGAGAATGGACGTCATGGGACCCAGCAACCTTCAGGGAGCACTCTATGGTGCCTATGGCCGTTGCCCTAGGTTTGACCCCAACAGCAGTTTTGGGTCTCCCCAAGAGAGTGCATGTTTTGGATGTCATGGAATCAGGGCAACTTCCTCAAGATGTGGTGTATGCAGGCCATGGACATTTTTCACACAGGCTTAGCCCTACCAAATGGGAGAACCCTTTTGTTGAAGGCAGAGATGGAAGCGCCGCTTAAGTTCTTATGAAGTTTATTGCTCATTGGAACGAATTCCAATTGGAGCAGTTTCTTCCTGGGCTCACAGGGTGCAGGATCGCATGTGACTGCCTCAGTAACGAGACCTGCCATGTTGACGTGATCATTGCCAAGTGGTTGGAGGCAAATAGCAGGGGACAGCCCCAGCGATTGGGTCACAGGTCAGTGCAGCTGACCAGTGGACGGGTCTGGATAGCAGCAGTTAGAGTAGTCCATGCTGTGCCGCAGATGTTTTCACAAGCTGCTGCAATGGCAGCCATTCGAGGGCAATTCCCAATGTTATCATTTCAGGATGTTAAGTGGCCTCTGCTGGAAGACATCATTAATTCAGCGCCTTTCCAGAGTTTTCGAATGTGGTTGTCAGAGAATGGACAAGTGGCTGATGGGCCCATAGGATCCAGTATGCTCAACCGTACTGGGACAGTTGTTTTTCGTGCCGGCATGGCAGAGCAAGCAGGTGCTGGTGCTCGCAAAACAGCCGCCCCCCCTGTAGTGCCGTTCAACTTAGCCCCAGATGAGCATTTCGCTGCATCGCTAAGGGTCCAAGCCGACGGAGGACCGCTCGATTTCCCAGCGCCAGTGGACTTGGACATCGCCTTTGCTGCACAAGGCATGGTGCAGGAGTTCAGCAGCTTGACAGCTGCCAGGCAGTTTGCTGTCGAACAGCTCCGGGCCCTCAGTTATAGGTTGCAAGAAATTTCTGAGTACATCCGTAGCATGCAAGTGCCAGTGTTGCGAGACGTGAATCCTAGCGTTCATTTCAGCCTTGTAGCCTTGCTTATTGCTATAATCCATTGGCCTGATACTGGGTTTTGCCAAGCTCTTTTCAATGGCTTCCCAGCCGTCGGGTTTTGTCCGCCTTGTGGTATCTGGGACACCCAACCTGCTCAATTTGTTTCCTTGGAGGATGCACTTGCAGGAGGACCGCGGGACGCCCAGGATTTGCTGAAGCAATTGCGGGTCTCCGAGCTGGAGACAATTGAAGAAGCAGGTCGGAAAGACCAAGCCAATGGATGGTGCTCCGAGGAATTCGGATGGGATGAACTGCAACGCAGATTTCCATCATATAGGCTGATTAGAAGATTCGTCATTACACAAGCTTCTGGGAAGAAGCGGGTAATTGATGATGCTGCAGCTGGGGGGCAGAGTCTCTGGAGTGCAGATTCCAACAAGCTCCAGTTCTGTAGCGCGTTGCAACCATGTGCCCATGTCCAAGCCCTAGCACAAGCCTGTTCGCATGCAGGGGAAAGTAATCTGCTAGATGATGTCGTTACATGTGGCGAAGATTTGCCGGACGCCTACAGGAAGATTCCCATGCAGACATCTCACCATGCAGCATGTATTGTGACGTATCCCAACCAGATGGGTAGACCAGTTTTCAGGCAGTACTATTCCATGCTGTTTGGCCTCCCATTGGCCGTCACTGCTTTTAATAGATTGCCTTACCTGTGTCAAGCCATTTTACGCCGCTGCTTCAGGTTGATGGCCAGTTTCTACTACGACGACTGTACCCTCCAAGATTGGAATAGTCATGCAGCCGCAGCCCAGCAGTGCATGTGCACAGCTATGGAACTGCTAGGTTACCCTTTTGCTGAAAGCAAACGGCAGAATCCTAACTCTCAAGGAGATTTCCTTGGTTTAGTCCATGACTTTGAGGACATTCGAACACATGGTGTAGTCCGTTTGTGGATCCGTCCCCGGCTGCAGGAGAAGATTCTGGACATCATAGCTACCGCGCGGAGAGACGGGACATTTCGTGCTGGCACTGCAGCGAAACTGTACGGATGTGTCACTTTTTTGGACCAGGCTGCATTCGGCAAGATAGCCAGGGCAGGACTTGCAGCCATCAAGGATAGGCAATATCTGGATACCACAGCCCACTTGACTGACGCCTTGTTGCAGGCATTCCAGGTAATCGAGGACATCTTTCGGTTGAATCCCAGGAGGATAGTGTCACTTTTTCCATTATCAACCCCTCGCATGACAGGAGCTTCGGATGCTGCGCAAGAAGAGGGTTTTGGTTCAGGAGGATTCCTGTTGAGTGACAAACACTGGGTTCGCCGTGGGGCCGAAGTGGTGATCACTGAGGATGTGCTCAGCCTTTGGAGACCTCAGGATGTCCTCATAGCACAGCTTGAGTTATTAATGGTTTTTCAGGCCATAGTAACTTTTCCTGATGCTTTCCGTTATGCCACAGGCGTATGGTATATTGACAATATTGCTGCCTTAATGAGCTTGGTACGAGGTCGATCAGATAACCCAGACCTGGAGCGCATGGCCCAAATGATTCATCTGGCTCTCTTCCATCTCCATTGCGGTCTATGGTTTGAATGGGTACAGAGTAAGTCGAATTGGAGTGACGGCATCTCACGCTTTGGGCTTAGAGATTCGTTTGTGATCCACCATAGTTTCACATGCCATCGCACCCGAGTGGTTACACAGCTATGGCAGCTACCAACTTTCCCCCTCAGCAAAGTCTTCAGTTACCTTTAATTAATGCGTTGGGAAAATTAGGAAGAAGTGCCTTGGGTGTATGCGTGAATCGCGCGGCTGTTGTCGACACCCGTGATGGGTCCCTACCAACTGGGGGTAACCAACGCATTATGGCAGAAGGCCTTTACCCCTGAATGGGGAGCGACCAGAAGACAGGCTGGAGGAAAAGTAAAGCGCTGCGTTGCAGTCTTTGATGTCCTGATCCCATTGAATGTATTTGCATATAGTGCTCTTGGGCAGGTTTGGTGTATGCTGCTCATTCAATTGTGTCAGACATGCATCTATGCCAACTGTAACATTTTGGTTCAAAGTATTTCCCAAAATGGCTAACATCAGGGAGAATCTCTGAAGAGAGAATCTCTAAGGTCGAAGACCGACTGTTGGCATAATTTGTTGTCCCAACCCTCCCAAACCCACGGCGTCACCAACCCAATGGTGGCAGCCGATTCCTACGTGCAGTAGCGCCGTAGATGATGAGGAACACCAGGTGTATGCGTGGGAGCATGGTTTTAATGGGGAGCGACCAGAAGACAGGCTGGAGGAAAAGTAAAGCGCTGCGTTGCAGTCTTTGATGTCCTGATCCCATTGAATGTATATATATATATATATGTATGTATATGGTTGTATATTTGTATACTTATGTAAATATCAAGTTGCCTATGTAGTAACCCCTACAGAGACAGAGAAGGTTCAATTTATCGCTAGTTCAGTAGTATTTTATCAACCTCTATTTTTTTTGAGGTTACTATATATACATATATAATCATATATATATATAAGACATCCAGATATTCAAATGTACTAGAGAAAAATCATACGAATTGAACAGTATACACCTGAGAAACTTCTAAAATGCTGCTACGATTGACGATTGACGAAAAAGTCGCAGAACCAAGAAGTTCACATTTTGATTTATGGGCGTGTATCGTAGTACTTTTGCAAACGCCCTCGCGTTGCGCAACATTGCGCTCGAATTGCGCAAAATTGGGCACGCATTGGGTACGACTTTCGCCTTGCGTTTTGCACGTTTTTGGTTTGGGAAACTGCAAAACGAGTACGAATTTCACAAACACAGATGCTGCGATGGCCTCAAAACGTCTACGATTTGCAATATGTTTTTTGTCGTTTGCCACGTCTGGCTGATTGGCTCTTAGCGGCTCCGGGGTGTTTTCACCGCAACGCACAAGCGAAGGACACCCTTTGGGAGGGTTCCCTAAGAGTTGATCATGCCCGCCATCAGGAATTGCCAGGAGTTTTCATGGATGGGTAGTTAGTTAAATATGATGCACCACTGTCACCCAAATGATTATTGATGAACATCAAGCAAACATATGTTTAACTCACCAGCCGATAATGAAGATTCACGAGTTTTGGGCTGGAGCGTCATGCTAACTTTAATTTTCAATGATAATGTGAATGGAGGAATGAACATCCAAACAGCAGTTCATTGGATGTGGAAAAAAGGCTACAGCTGATCGGATCCACATTGGTCGAGATGAAGACTTATAGGTTGATATATACATTATACACATTGTATTAGCTATATACATGTTTATATGTATGTTCAAATGTATTTTTGATGCCATACCCATCCTTGATTGTCACAGCGTGGTTCGGGAGCGTCATGACTTCCTGTTTTAATTGATCACGTCTCGAATCCAGTCAGATCAGGATCAGTTCTAGGTAGCATGGAATGAACATCAATACTGCCAATACTGCCAATACAGATGAGTTTCTTTTTCCTTTCTATTGGGGACCACACTATAGATTATGCAAAGCCACTGATGTATTTACAACGGGTGATGATATTGCATGCCCGTATATATATATATCATGGATGAAATGAAAGACCAATAACATGTGTGGCTTCATTCGCACCCCACAGAATCTGAGCCATACCCTTTAAGATAATATCTATTTTTATATCTATGTTTGAATTTGTATCTATATCTATATCATTATGTGTCTCTCTCTCTCTCAATCCATTCATCTAATATATCTATCCATCCAGCTATCATCCATCTATCAATCTGTCCATCTATCCATCTATCTATCTATCCATCCATCCATTCATCTATTTATTTACCTATCTATTTGTCTATCTATATATCTATGTCTATATCTGTCTATATCTATCTCTATCTTTCTCGATGTATCTGCATATTTGTGCATAGTCTGCAGCGGCAGAAACCTCAAATGGGGGTATCATAGAGCACAGTGTAGGCTAGGACCCTCAAAGGCCAGGAGATTTAACTTGAAGGATATGTGGTATACGTATATGTGTATGTATCTGTACATGTATAATGTATGTGTATATGCATATATACATATAAATTATACAGATATATCTACATATCATAATTTACTCATACAAATGTGTAAAAACGATATTATGCAAGGCTACAATATTGTGGGCACATTGAGTCTCCAGGTTGATCTGTACACTCTGGGTCAAGCTTTGGTAGTTTAGTGGTTTGTCGTTTTGCCATCAATGGGCATACCCATGCATATATATATGTATTTAAGATGCATACATCTATACATCTCAAATATCTATATAGATGTGTATCAAAGATCGGATGCCCAGCTTAGATGCAGGGTAACCTCTGGTAATCAAACATGACATGCTGGAACATCCCATTTACTTCGATGAATTCTCCATATACAGATGTTCATCTAGTTCGGGGATTTCCCAGCTAGCCCTGTAGCTGGTTACCAGACGGTAGAAAAGGCATCATGCTTTGCCAAAAGTCAGGCCATCAGCGCCCAACTGGACATCGACATGGCAAGGTGAGGATGATTTTCTGCAACTCTATACAGGGTCTCTGATCGGAAGGAGTCATGTGCAATTTAAAGATATATATATATAATATAATATTATATATATATAATGTCCCCCTAGGCCCATAGAAGTATCTTATTTTGTATTGGGGGTTTGGGCCAAGCTTTTCCACTCCAGGCATTGACCCCGTGCATCTCGACCCACTGAAACGGTGTTCCAAGATCCTTGGACTTGGCCCATGTTAGCCCCCCATGTTGCTCCGCTGTGTCAGGCATAGCTTGATCCTCCTTGCACCCGTCTCAGGGGCGGCAGTTGAAATGATGCTGCCATTTTTATCGTGAGGCATCAACAAACACTGTTTAAATCATCTCAATTTTATGTATCCACGAAATAGAGACACGAGGCGGGTTTGCATGATCTAAGTTGTACCAATTTCGGACAATTCATTTTTACAAATACATATCTATTGAAATATGTGAATTGATCAACATCCACCTACCCATCGTTGATTACAGTATATAACTAGATTTCATTTCTTCACTTCCAATAGTCACAAAACCGCCTATTGTTTATGAACCAATTTTACATACAATCTTCTCGGGGATTGGTATATCCCTCCAAGACATAATAAATATTCTTTAACAAGATCGGCACTATTTGGCAGCCATTACAATTGTGTAACAGAAGGAGATTAGTAATTAGTCATTATTTGGGTTTGATTGAAAATAAGGTACACGCCAAATCCACTACTCAATCATCATTTTCCACATGGATAGATAGGCAACTCATCTGTGTATGGAAGAACTCCACGACTCGGGGACTTACACTAGCTGCGATTAGCCAGTGATTAGCCAGTGATTTGTGTAAGGTCCATGAAATTTATACCCTCATTCTTTTCCCATGAAACCCATTGGTGAAATTTTCCCATGTCACATCTGTGGGTGAGGCTTTGACCTTTGCGCTCGCGCGCTGTTTCCTGTATGCTTCCAGCCGGGCCAGGGGCACCCAGAAATGTGGGGATGTCTTTTGAATCTTTCCATAGTAATTTGACATTGCCCACATGATGAATCACATTGATATTGCTTAATGATCATGGTAATGAAGATGGTCATGATATGTAATGACTTGTCAGAGGGGAATGATAAATATTTTCAATTCTCAGGGCTAATGATCATGGTAATTCATCATATTGCTACTACCACTAGGCTTAAGTCGTATCAATCGACCTGAAGTCGTATCACACCTGCGTGCGCGCAGTGTTTCGTATAGATTTTGATAGTTCTTTATTTGATGGGTTATTGATTCGAACACTTTTTCATCGCTGTGCGCAATGTTTTGTTGACATGGTTCTATTTGACCCTACTAGCCCTAGCGTTAAGTCGTATCAGCTCGTAGAAGTTGTATCGGAGGCCGTGCGCCTGGAAAAAGTTCAAGTTTGGCATCACCACAACTTTTAGTAATTGGACGATTTCATTGTTTTGGGGCCGTGCGCCTAGAAAAAGTTCAATTTTTGTATTGCGTTGATTTATAAAACTTATATTATATTTCATTATTCTTTCAACGGGGCAAACGCTGGTTGCTGCTTTCTGCTTGCTTTCTGCTTGCTTGCTGCTTGCTTGCTGCTCCTTGCTGCTGCCTCCTGCTGCTGCTGCTGTTGCTGCTGCTGTTGCTGCTGCTGTTGCTGCTGCCTCCTGCTGCTGTTGCTGCTGCTTCCTCCTCCTCCTCCTGCTGCTGCTGCTGCTTCCTCCTGCTGCTGCTGCCGCTGGTGCAAACATTTTGCCAAAAAAGAAAATTACAGTCTCGGTCGCCTTGTTTGGCGCTGGCGGGAGATACGGGCGGGAGACGCCAGCAGAGAGAGGGAATGTTTACAGAAGGCAGAACTTATGAAACATTCAAGCGGAAGCGGATGTTGACAGCGGTGTGCCACTGGGTTTTCAGATTTTAACGTTGTTGATATGATGATGTTGCCCATAGCTATTACATGGAAATCTATGTTTGTTAGGAAACAAAGTTAAAGATCTGGGAGGCCGTGTGCCATGGTGATTCCTAAATATATCCTTTGAAAACATAGTTTAAACATATGTGAATACCTCAGTGTGCGCAATGTTTTCTTCATTTTTGGAGATATAACAACATTCCTTGAAAGCCGGTGTGCCATTGGGATTTTGATATTTTGATGTTACTTTTGCCCAGTTGATGTGACTTTCTTCCAACTCGCTGTTACATGGGGTTGATGTGACTTCTGCCCAACTGATGTGACTTAAACCCTTCGCTAGTAGCAAACTTCGGCAGAATCTCCTCATGGAAACCGAGTGGATAGTATTGGCACCCATGACTTGGGGATCCCCAATGACTTAAGAAACCCCAAAAAAACAATGTGTATACAAAAAAGGTTATACCATAGTATCATGTGGGATCCCCAATGCCATGCAAAGTTCCAAGAGGGTTTGTTCTTGTGGACCCACATTGAAAATCACTTGGCCACATTTTTTGATCCCTCAACTACCCGTTTTGCTAGTTGTTTGGACTTTCTTTTAGGGGGCACCGTTTGGCACTCTGAGTTCGTGGAATTTGTGTTTTTCTTGTTTTGTTTGTTTTTTTTTGTGCAAAGATATGGGGCGATGATAAACCATGGAGGTTCTTGGGGTCTTGAACTATATAACACTTCTATGGAACTATATTAATCAGGGAACTCCATACGAAGAGCAACTGCAGAAGGTAGTGTGTTCACCAGAAAAGTCATCTACACATTCAGCAAGTACACTGAACTTTTGTTTCAGGCAGGGCAAGCCACATACATGCGGGTCAAACAACAACTCAAGAGTTGATTTTTGCGGGCTGCTGAACGGCTACAGCAACAAATCAACGTCCAGACATTGGAAGTCACGGCCTGCTCAATTCATCTCAATGACTGAACCAAGCAGCCCTTGAATGATCCTGGATGTCAGTATAAAATGATGCGTAAGTATCTTAAAAATAACATTTTAATTACCTTTTATATAGCCTTGTGCTGTATAATCTGTATACAAGTATATAGGTCTTGTAAGCAACATGCCATGATTTCCAAGTTCCAGGATTCGGATTCTCCCGGTCTCCTGCGAGGATCAGTCCTCAGTCTCTTTGCGCGCGGAAGGCTCAACCAAAAGTTGGATTTTGCGATGGACAGGCGTCCCAAATTTCAAAGGATTAGCTGATTAGCAGCATTTTCTCTATCTTAGGCTATGAAACGGGTGGGTATCTATTTTTGGATCGACCCAGTCGGCTTGGATCTGGGGAGTGCACAAACTCCATAGGAATGGTTGTTGAGTCGCACAGAGAAGCGTCACTCAGAAGTAAGATGAGAATTGGAGAAAAACCTGGTCCAAGGGACCACAACTTTGAAGTTATTGTTTAGTTGTAGCACCTGGCCCTTCCATTTTGGAGCCTCATTTTTCTGCAATGGATCTCCCCCACCAGGGAAGAAGAGGATGACGCTGCAGGAGGTTCGAGAGCGTGAGATGATGAAAGAAGCTGCGATGCAGAAGGACTGCTGTCCGGTCACTGAGTCATTTCACAGCGTCTCGGGTCCCAAATTTTGAACAGAATCTTTTTTTTGTTTCTTGCTGCTTCCTTCGCGCCAATCTCCCGCGGGTATCTGAGCCCCAAACGATGCATCTGACTGTTGGACCCAAGTAAAAAGAGAGGGGGAGATCTTGTGAGAAGAGCCCTTTTCCAACGCTTGAGTGAGAATACCAAACGAACAGGCCCGTTCAGAAATGGGGTTAAAGGGCCAACAATTCTTGCAACATCTTGCAACTTTGCCTAAATGAAGAGGTCTAAAATGGATGCAATTAGGGGACAAGATTGCGTTGAGAGCACTAACTTTGAGAGTTCGCGTGAAAAGTGACCGGAATGCGCAGGCAGCGCGATGAAGTGTGTGGGATATGTGCGACCAGCAAAGCTGGATTCAGGACAAAATGAACAGAATTGAGAACATATCAAAACAGAATGGATTCTGCTCGTTTTTTTTTTGGTAGGCCCTACCCACCTTTCTATCCATTTTCTACCCATGTTCTACCCAGTTTCTACCCACTTCACTGGCATCTTTCTACCGGAAACTTCTGGCTTTCCAGCCATTGCCAGGAGGCGCAAGAAAGTAGGTGGCCTCAGTGGATGATTTTGGGTCCCCGAGTCATGAGTTATTGTATCTATAAATTAGAAATTGGTAAAGATAACTATATAAAGTTATATACACACTTATTTCAAGATTATCTATCTATTTATATATATATATATATATATCATGTATCAGTATAACTTAATTAACACTAAAGCCAATTACATCTGGGTAAGTTTGATCACGACCTCACTGCGACCTCACTGAAATGATAGTTTATAGATACGGGGAACTATCCCAATATATCCTTATTTCAGGTTCCGGCATGATTCCGGCATGATTATAATTGACCCAGACAGATGTATTACCACTTTAAATCCAATGGGGTTCGCCTAATTATGTCAACCAACTTGTTGGCTTGGGGCCTTTTCCTGCAGTTTCATACTTCTTTTTTGCAGAGTATCTAAGATTGGCCATATAAACAGTTAACATCAGTTAACTGATCAAAGATCATCAGCAGATACGATTCTATTCCCATATTACTTTCAATAAAAGACAATCCAAATGAGAACTCTCAGGATCCCTCAGGTAGCCACATGCTGCCGCTGAGTTTTTCACGGGTAGATGCACTGATAAGACCGAGCCAGATGGTGGGGCAACCTGGAATTGATTGTGGTTACTTTGTACCAATTACCCCCCATCTATCATCATGAGTTATGATGAGTTGTGATGCTTCAAAGTTGCACACAACCTCACTACAAGAGCTTGTTGATGTCTTGAATTTCAGGGATTAATGTATATAATAAATTAGATAAATTCGTTATGTCATATTCCAAGGCCCTGTGAAATCTTGTTAGGGATCCCCAATAGCGCCTTTGCATCTTGCAGAAGAAGCGGCGCAGAAGTACCGGCCGGGCACCTATGTCCCGGACGACAAGAAAGAGATCACGGCACCTGGGTTTCCATCATCGATGGGATTTAACCAGCCATGGGGATATGGCCAGCCAGGTGTGTGTATATATCTTATATTAATTACTCCCCATGGCTGGGGTCAGAATGGGATATAACATGATATAACCAACAATAGATGATTTTCCCCAAGGAAATCTTCAATAGCAGTTACTATGGGTGATTGGAGATGTAATGATTGGGAATGTACAACCAACTATATATATATATAGGCCATGAAGTATATGTTTGGATGAGTGTCACCCACTACTTGGATGATTAGCCAGAACTTGGATCCCTGTTTCGGAAGAGAGGGATGTCGTGGCTTCAACTCCTTGAGGTTGAACAGTTTGACCCGTCCCCATGAGATGACCTGGCCGTGGACAAATGAGATGACTGGATATGATTGGCAGGATTGAAATCTTTGATTAAGTTATAATATATCCAGAAATCATGATCATATCCAGAACTTCTCCATAATATTGGCACCCAGAAATCTGAATTCCATCAGTTCATCCGCGCCAGGACGACCTTGTGGGTTACCGGTCACCACTTGGATTTTTTGCCCACACGTATTAATATAGCAGCTTTATTAAGCAGTTATCAAGTGGGGTCCTCCAGAGGTGAAAGAAGACGCTTCAAGGTACCAACATGTACCAACCATCTCCATGCCGCCCAGGAAGACAATCCTTTGATTTTCTTGGCGCCTGTGGCCGCGTGGGCTATCATTTCAAGCGTGCCTTGGCTGCAGTTGGTTGGTACAATTTTGGACTGGTCCGAAGTTGGAGGATAAACCCAACAACGCGGGTTCTCCCCACCACCAGGAGAATCATCTCAATTACTGGCTGGCAAGTAACTTTTTAACGTTCGGGTTTGTGTAAAGTATTGACCTCATGCGATGTGGGGGGTTGGAAATGTTGAGGCCTGACCTCTCTTCGGCGCCCGAACAATCTAATCAATCTAATCTGTGAAGATGGGGGATTCGTGGATTTTCAATGATTTCCAATGATTATCCATTGCCATGTTTGGTTTACTGGAGGGCAATCAGCTTGTTCTCTGCCACGTTAAATGGCGGTTGGCTTGCTGGGAAGCTTCCCTTGGGATATCTTGGTAACCCCACCACCGAGATTGGGTCCCTCACCCAACACAATTACGCTGATATTCGGGGCAACCCACTAAAACAGTTGTACTCAGATTTCGACAGGAGACATCTCAGATATTTTCGCTGATGTGTCTGACGTGACTGATGTTGATTACCGATTTCTCAATAGAACCCCACTAGCACCCATAGATCTCTTTGGCTTGGCACTTCATTTTTTGATTCCACGTTTCGTACGAAGATTCGAAGAAACTCATGAAAACTCTTTGATTTCATAGGCCAACCAAATTGCACAAGCTAAAGCATGAGAATTGGGGCCGCCTTTGCGGCGCCTTTGTAGCGGAAGAGATTGGTTGATGGTCCCAGCGAGCAGCTCAGGGATTGTGGATCAACGCCAACATCGTGAATCCTCCAAAGGAAAATTTCAGTTTCTTGTCTGCGGTGGGATCCAAGGATCCAAGTTGGGAGACAGAGACCAACATGGTAAGATCCGTGGGCTGTGGGCCTGGTTTTGCTGAATTTAACGGCCCCAAATCCATGGTTTTTCCCAACCTTCCAGGTGATCTCTAGATCATAACAAAGGTGCAACTCATCCTCCCCCTCTCCTCCTTCTCCTCGCCTCCTCTTCTCGTCTACTTCCCAGCTCGTCGCCGAACCTCATATCGGGAGCTCCAGACGTGGGCTGGGCCTGGACCCTGTCAGATCGAATGCCAGAAAGACTGGCAGATAGAATGTCAGATATATAATATATATATATAATGTTAACATATGTTAACCAGAAAGAATGTACGATAAAACATGTCAGAATAGATAGTCGTATCATGTTGTATATACTTCCAGATGATATGTCCAAACTATGTCAGTGTTTCAGGCTGGGGATCACTTGTTCAGAAACTATTCACCAAATTTGTCCATACCAGGTGTTTTTTCACCTTGGTTTGCTAAATCAATGCTGTCACTGTTTGTCACTGTTACCCTCTGGTAATTTAACATAGCTATTGAAAATGGCCATTTATAGTGGATTTTCCCATTAAAAATGGTGATTTTCCATAGTTATGTTAGTTTACCAGAGGGTAATCTCTTGCCATTTCTGAAAGCAGCATTCAGCATCCAATCGCCAGCGAGACAACTCCGGACATCTCCCGGACAAGCCGATCGATTGAAAATGTGAATATAGTCTAACCATAGTCAGCATAGATGCACGCTGAACATCATATGTGATACGTCATATGTGATACGTATATATGGAATTATATGGACACATCATACAACAACCATTTGGATGTGGTGGTTTATGAAAGCGTGTGCATGCCCCTAGTGATACATGTCAACTGGGTTGTTATCGGCAGGTGGTTGATACGACACCCTCTGCTAAGCAAGAAATTTGCGCGTCGTGGCCAGAAGAAATGAGAAAACCGGAAAACCAAGAAAACGAGAAAACGAGAAAACCGAGAAAACTGAGAAACAGAGATAATACAGAAGTAAGGAAGCAGAAAATGCTTGCCCTGTGAAGGCGTGTTAATTTTGAAGGTTTTGGGTTGGGGTGGGGATGTGTTGACGCTCGTAGGACGTCTTACGTTGTGGATGCCTCCAATGTCTTTTTTGGGACCTTTCCGAAAATGCGACATCCGCGAAAGCAAATACTTGCTTTTACTACAACGTCATGAATCATGCGCCTGCCATTGAAACGGAAACATTACATATTATACGCGTTTTCTAAAATGCAACAAATACCACGTTTTCATTTGAAATCGATAACCTTTCACAGGACGCAGAATCAAATGCCTACCTTGTTATTTTGTCCAAATTGAACCAACCGATCCTTCCCGGGGACTCGGAAAGGATTCCAAAGAATTGGCAACATGACACCGACCCAAACCATGAGGAACAAATCTAATCTTATGGGGTGCACACTTCAACACGAGGATGATGGCAATCATTGGCAATCCCAGCTGCTTAAAGCAATCGTGGTTGCCATAGCCTGAGGTTTGCTGCCCAAAGAGATGAGGGCCCCACCGCCCCAGTGAGGAACACAACATGAAGCAACCACTGTGGGCCGGGGTTCTTTTTATATGTTGTTGTTCCTGCCTTTTTTCAAACCATAAACCACTGAACATGCTTTTGTTTGGGTTGTCCACCGTCTAATCTTTTTTAAGATACAGTACGGGCAAGAATCAAAAGCCTGCAAAGACACATGGGTAGAATCTCCATATGCATCCATAAGTTTGGATATGGCCCCCCTACAATTAGTGTGGTTTAGTATACCCATTTACAATCCCAACTGCACCCCTCGTTGGTCACCATTTGCCGATGGCTGCATCGCGTGACCAACACCAAGCTGGCACTTGAAAATCCCGGTGCAGAGGATTTTTCCATTAAAACCATTTAAAACCTCCATTTGTAGGGGATTTAGAAATTTTAGAATTTCCAATTTGTAGATTGTAATGATTGTAGATCGTGTTCTTGTTGATGAAAATTAGAGGTTTCATCATTGCCATTCATCGATGGAGCTTTTGCCAGGGAATCTCCGCATCGGGCCTCTTGAGTTTACCAAAAAGCGTAGTCCGCGGCGCTCAAAAAGCGGACGTGGTTTTCACATGATTTTCACCTTCGGAGCTTCTAGCTTCAGAGGTCTTGGGCGCGCGTTTGAGCGAGCCATGGTCACGGAAAACGTGGTCAAAAGGGGTGACACTTTTAGCATTGAACATGCGGATGAAAGCAACAAGAATGGTGATTTCCCAGATGTACAATGATACTATCGTACAATAGGTACATATATTATATATATTATATGCATATACAATTCTACTCACATATTACTTTATTCGTTTGTTGATTTTTTTTGACATGCAGTACATGCAAGATATGGCTGTAGTTATGCATCATTGGGCGGCGATTTGGTGAGTTTTTAGCACCTGACTTTCGGCCTGGTCAAGTGACTGTAGTGGATTGATATACGACGAGATTTCTGCATGTAATGTGATGCTGGTTGGTGGTTTCAAACATGACTTTTATATACTTTTATGACTTCCATAACATGTTTGGGATGTCATCCTTCATCATCCTTCCCATTGACGCACTCATATTTTTCAAGATGGTTAAAACATGTTAAAACCATCAACCAGGATGTGATCTGATGTGATGATTGCTCCACTGGAGCAGTGGCCCAAAAACCAGAACCAGATGACCTGGGTATACCCAGGTGATATTTCAAGATATTCACACGTAGAAACACATAGGTGAGAATTGTGGTTCTTCTTCACACTCGACAACTGTATATAATATATATATATATTATGTAAAATATACTGTATACATGTACACAATTATTGTACGTATACATATATACATGTTATATATATATATATGTATATGTAGTATGAGTGTACGTATGTATATATTAAATATATATATGGGGACATGTGGACATAGATGATTGGATACGTGTGTATATATGTATATCTAATATATTATATATATACATACATGTATGAGTGTATATATAATATATATATGTATATAAATATATTATGTTGGATACTGATTAGTGTAGGCCCCCCCCTCAAACAATTTTGGTCTACTCAATAACTCGGCATTTTCTTGGGGACCAGGTCAGGGGAACTCAGGATGATCAACTTAAGTAAGGATCTCAATTGAAATCAATCTACTTTCAATTGATTTTCCTTTGAAACCTCCAAGAAATCTATTTATAAGACATGATTTCAATTGAAATCTATCTAGTTCAATTGCTTTTCCTTTTAAACCTCAAAGAAATCGATTGATAAGACATGACTTCAATTGAAATAAATCTACGTTCAATTTCTATCAATTTCTTTTCCTTTTGAACCTTGAAGAAATCTGTTGAACAGACATGATTTCAATTGCAATCAATCTACGTTCAATTGCTTTTCCTTTCAAACCTTAAAGATATCTATATGGCTATCTAAAGTAAATGGACCAGCTTTACCCAAAGAAAGGTGGATAAAGATGTTTTTTGTTTTTTTGTCACCCCAAACATTTTTGTGCACAATAGAGTCAATAGAGTACCATCCAACCAATTATATATATATATATTATTGAGGATCTGGGTCACTCATGGGGTACCCCCTTGAAACATTGTTTGGCTGCTGTTTTCTAATAAGGGTTTAATAAGGCATTTCATTATTTGGGGAACCTTGCATTTTAAGGATTTACCATGTATATGGCTTTCTAAAGTAAATGGGCCAGCTTTACCCAAAGAAAGGTGGATAAAGGTGAATAAAGCTCTCCCTGAAAAAAATGGATCTGAGAAAAAAATATGTCACAATAGAGGCCCACCCCCACCATTCACAGGATACTCAATAATTTTTGAAAATATTCTCACAATAGAGGCCCATGACACTAATCGGTATACTACATTATATGTGTCTATATGTATTTCATATAATATATATATAATTATATGCACGGGCGCGTCATTAATCATAATTATGTATATAAATAATATAATATACATTGACAATATATATATATAGGTATCTACGCGGATTTGGGATTATTTGGATGTAGATTTGCATGTTTGCGATATCTATGGAACACATGGACTTGTTAGGTTGGATTTCCATATCCAGACTTTTCATGATTCAGACTTTCCGTGGCTGGCAGTGCTCTGACGTGCAGCTTTTTCAGATACATGACCAAAAAATCAGCGGCGTGGGCGAAGAATCTTGGGCTTTCTTGGTTGGTTGCTACATCTACAAAGTGTTGCAGCAATTACATGGGGATGGGTCAAGTTTTGTCACTGCACACCAAAACCTCAGATGATCTCAGATGAATTATTCTAAGGAAAGTACCAATATGTGGTCCACTAGGTTCCAATTTTTGACCGATGCAGCACCCACACGTACTCGGTTGTTGACTCTGGGTATTTATGATGATCTCTATCCGGCCCTTACCCATCATATACCCCTCATGCTTACCCGGATCAGTAAAGGTTTATAATCTAATGAGCTGAGACCCCCAGCAAAAATATTTCGAACCGACAATTTGGCATGTGTATCGTTCAAAATTTCTACATTTTGGTTTCTTGATCGATTCCCTCAACATATGTAGTCGAAGGTTTGGCAGGACTCTCAGTCTAGCAGTGCGCCACTGATTCCTCATGGAGGTATTGGTTGGTTCATGACCCCATGGAACTTGGATAATATCAATTCCTTCATCTAGGGCCCTAGATCAAAATGATGTTTTTTTTTTTTTAATCTCATGTGTTTTAGTTGCTTAGTATTTCACCATCCATTTTTTGGGGTACGCAGTTTTGAACCATACCCATGCATTGGCAATGGCAATTCTTGACTCGGCACTTGGACTTGTAGACTTGGTGGTTCTCAGCAAACCTCATTCGTCCAGACAATTCCACTTGAAATCCAATGTCGCCAGCATATCAAATTATGCGGTACCGGTACCTATCCATACACAGGCCGATTATATACATCAGATGACCTCTATTCTTAGGATGGGCTGGAGGTTGCAGACACCAGCCAGTGCAGCCAGTCGCTTGTTGAGGTATGTAAATAATTGATGATTGGTGACAATGAATGATTATGAGTGTCATTGACCAGGACCCAGATCCTCCCAGTTTGTTTTTTGGCTCAATTTTGGGAAAACAACATTGATTGTGAGCCAGGTTTTGAGGGGTTTGGGTCCAATAATGTGGGCCAGTGTGTTTTGTTGGTGTGGATTGCGTTTCAGATATGATATATGCAGAATCAGTATGTGCAGTATAGACATAGAATATACATATGAAATATATATATATATACATATTACATAATATATATATTTCATAATGATATGTATATATATATACAATGTATACTATATATGTATATACAATATATTATTTTTTTAAATACTATAATATATATATATAATATCTATCATATACATAGTGATCGTGCCTGAGACTGGTCTGCGATTTCCTACTTTTCCATGTTTTTGCCCGTCTCTGTCCATTTTCCACGAGATCAAGCGATTGTTCGTCGCTGTGTTGTCACACGAGATGTGGAAAACACTTCCAGTTGCCGGGCGGCAGAGTTCAGGAAGAACCTTCCAACTTGGATTTGTGGCCAGAGTTCAGGTCTTAGACATGTGGGGGTTCGTGGGGATACCCCAATAGCATCCAATAGCTGGACGGTTTATTTCATGGAAAATCCGAAAATAACATGGATGATTTGGGGGTTACCCCAGTTACCCCGATTACCCGCTATGACTTAGGAAACCTCCATGTTCGATGGATTCCCCAGCCATGTTTGATGAAACTGGAGATGGTATTGGTGTCAACAAGAAACGTATGCCATCTGCCAGGAAGCAAACACGTAAATCTATTGAAATGGATGGACATGGAAACTCACCATGTTTAAGATCAAAACATTTCCATCCAGTTCCTCACCTCTTTAATGGTGGAATCACCAATTATCTTTATCTTTATCTTTATCTTATATTCAATCATTTTTAGTGCTCATCTCAAAAAAAATCTACTGTAGAATATATATATGCTTGTATATGATTACTGTATATATATAATTGTATATATATATATACACGTATATATATATATATATATTCTAATTATCTATGATTTTAAATGATACTTGGGGCTGTGGAAAATCTCCAGGATTGGGATGTTGCAAACAAGTAGTGTGCTACTTAGGTTAAAATTGTGATTTAATGGAAATTTGAAATTCATGTGATTTGATGGGCATGACATATTTTTTTCATAATGTACTTGGGGCAGTTGGGATGATGTTTTTGGGTATACCGGTACAACCATGGGATTTGAAGCTCAGTTGGTTATATATATATATATATGTATCCGATATCCAATTCTAACTCGAACTGCACCCCAAAGTATTCAAATGCTGGGTTAGAGCCCTCAGTTGTTGATGTCGCAATTTTTCAGAGGTCGGAACTGGTCAAGATTGGAATTTCAATCCCCACTTGGGGCTGCCGTGAAACACTTCATCAGTAGGGGTTAAATCAGTTATACTTACTGGTGCTAAACGTAGGGAATGGATGGGAATGGGGGAATGGAATTATTATTGATAGTGATTATGGATCATTCCTTCATTCCCTGCTAAGCACCAGTAAGTATATTGTGCTATATTCCAACTTATGGGTGTTGTTACCATGGTTTTACACCTGAAAAAACACCCCAGTTCTGCAGTTCCAAGTATCGGATAAACTGATGGACCGTAAAGGTACCATCCAAGAATTTGATGGTAACATTTACAAGGCCCCACCGGATGGCATCGTAAAACCCATATTTTCCTGCAGATTTTGAAACAATGCCATTAATATCCGATTTTGTTGGATAAATCAACATTTTTGTTGTTCATTCTATTCAACATGCTGATATTTTATAGCTATGTTAGTTTACTGGAGGATCCTGGGCGCACTTCCAGACAGAGCAAAGGTCCTAGCTCTTGGGCCATGGGCGACCATGGCTGCAGCCGCTTGGAGCGCGAAAGTTGTTGAAAAACAACATTTTTTGTTCGAAAATCCAGTTTTGGTGACACATACTGAATAATTAAGTAGGAACATGTATGGAGCATGATTTCACCATTAAAAATTGTATGAATTTGGAAAACACATGAAAGCGTTGGATGCTGGGAGTTGTTTGGTCAATCTTGAGAACCCTGGGAGCCATCCTATGAACTCGTCATGCTCAGTATGGACCGTCCAAGTTTTGGTGTACCCATTTGCCTGGTTTGCCCGGTAGTTTCCAACTATTTCACCCGCATTTCTTGGTATATATTCGTCTTTTGAGCCCTTTCGCATTGTGGTTTCAATGACTTCTGATTCAATCAAGCCATAGGTTGGAAGACCATCCCCCAGCCAGTGATTAAAGGGAGGTGTTAGGAGCTGTGGCATCCGCATTCTCAATCAACAAAATGGGCAGCCAAGGAGGCAGCAAGAGTTTCGGATTTCCCAACTATTCATTCGCAACTATACAGTTTCCCGATCCCCATCATTGTGGGCTGGTTATACATGTTATAATATCATTTCACAGTGTATATATCATATATCACATATATATATATATTATATGTGTATCATACACACATATATATATATATATCACATATATATATATATATCATATATATATATATCACATATATATATATCATATATATATATATCATATACATATATATATATATATCTCCATTGTACCGAGAGTTCATCCCGTTTCTCAACGCTTTTTCTCAGCTTGGTGGCCATGGGGTCCCACTCCACGCTGCTTAGGATGCTGGCACTGCCACGCTGATCGATGACAGGCCGCTGTGAGAACATGGGATCTGAGTGGCTTTAATGAGGGTTATATAATAAGTATTGATACTCCTAACGAGGGTAAATAGGTATGAATAATACTATTCATTGATTTTTTTTTTATAGCTAACTATACCTCCATGAAAATATGGGATATTCGTTTAATACTTCTATTTGACAGCGGTTTAATGGGGGTTAACAATCAAAACATGTGATTTAACGGTAGTATATGCATGGGGATATATTAATGGGTAATATCAACCAAGCAATCTATATATGTCAATTGATGATAGTAAATGGTGATATACTGTACTACCCTTCATATTCAACACACCAGGGTCACCATGGTAGAGGGAATGAAGTTGCCTTCTTGGGACCATAGAATGGGGGTGTCAAAAAAAATGGGGCGATGGGATCATAAAACTCTTTCAATGATTGCCCCTTTTCCTCTCTTTATTGGCACACCAGCATCCATCATAGCCAATGATCCCGGTCAAAAATGGGGTTACTCAATTTCTCAACTATCCAATGTTGTTCACACAACTCAACTTTCATTCAACTATTGGACATACTGGTCTATTTTCCAATTGAGTTTGGAGTATATCAACAAACAATTGGAAGTTATTCAGATAGCTGTTTTTGTAACCAGTGATACCTTGCGTGGGATGTACAAAATGGAACATCTACCAAACCCTGTTTGTTTCTTGTCACGTGCCTCCCAGGACATGCACAGAAGAGTTCGAGACTTTCATCAGTAAGTTTGGCAAAGAATATGAGACTGCGGAAGAAAAGGACTGCCACCTGAGTTTCTCAAGACTTCAAGACTCGCCTTCCATTCCATTTTCCCTCTGGTACCCTCTGGTAAACATACAAAAAACTATGGAAAATCACCATTTTCAATGGGAAAATCCACTATTTCAATGGTGATTTTCAATAGCTATTTTGACATAACCAGAGGGTAATCTTTTCCACTGCCAGGTCATTGGAGACCAGACATCAGGGCAGAATACAACTTTGCATGGGCAAATTCAAGAAGTGGGATATTGTGTGTTGGAATATTGTACAGATTAGACATATCTCTACATAATTCTACATATATAGATAAACAATGATAAACATATAAATATATAGAGATATACACTACTTTTTGTGGCATCCGTCATTCCAAGCATTCAAGCACCTCGACATTGCCAAATTGCGTGATGGCCAGGAGAAGCGAATGCAAATCTTCTGCGCGAATCTTGAGTGGATTCGGCAGAGAAACAGCTGGGGCCCCGGGTTAGTCTTGGTAAACCTGAATGAATAAGGTTGCAAAACCAATAATGAACAATGAACTATACACATTCATGTTTGATTTTTTTTTAATGGTTTGCATGTTTTGTGAAAGACATGTGTAAACCTTTCCAAAATTGCATCTTGTTGTTGGTGGGTTTACCACTTTAGTTTGGCAAATACGTGTGTTTTCTATTTTCACAATGTTTGATTCAATTTTATTCTTTACTGAATTTTGCATCGCAGTCAGTCTTTAGTGACCTGGTGTTTGATCTTTTCCGATTCTAAGAAGACTGAGCATTTGGAACGTTTGATTTTGGGAGCTAGCTCATGATGGAATGGTGCCAAAAGGTGCCAGTTGTGCTTTGCATTCAGCAAATGACACAAGTCCTCCTCCTTGTGGGTATGGGTCATGTCATGTTGTTTCAATCTCTGTTTGCTATTGAATTAGTCGAATCCCTATTTTGCTGTTGAAATCCCCACCGTATTGTTGCTTTGAACCCCCTGCTATTTGCTAAGCACCTACTGGATTGTCGGTGAAATCCACATTTGACTGGGTAAATCATGGTACAAAACATTCCTTGGCTTAAATGCCATGGAACCCCCACTTCTGCTGAATAAAGCCAAGCAGAATCTCCATTTCTGTATATATATATATGCATATATATATTTATACATATATATATATTTATACATACACATATATATATAGACATATATACATATACACACATATATATATAGCATTGATATAATAAAGGTAACATCCCAAGAAATGGCATTTGTTGTTACTTTGAAGCTCCATTTCTTCCGCGTCACGATCCTTGCTGGAAATCCCGAAGGCGAGGGTCACAACTACACGGTGGGCATCACACCCTTCGCCGACCTCAGCAGAACGGAGTTCAGCTCCAAATATGGTGCGGGCCGCCGGCTGTGGGCTTGGGGCGGACATGATTCCATGACAAAACCATGATGATAGGCTGTTTTGCTGTTGATTAAGACTCATGACATGGATGTTCTAGATAATTATATACAACTCATCTACAGATCTATACACATGTAATTCCACAAATGTTCGGAACGTGGCCTCAAACCTGTAGATGATGGTAGATGTAGGTAGACAAAATGCCATGCTCGGATCTTGGCAGAAGAGCGCTAAGCATATTCCTTTCAAACAAATGTTTCTAACTGAAGCACTTGGGGGTCGGTGGTGAAGCACACGCCAAAGACATTGGCACCTCGTGGTTGTGGTTAGGAAAAGGTGTTCAAGCAACCCTCAGATGGCATAGCTGACGCGCGACTATGTCGAGATATGTGCAGGGATGTAAATAAATGTAGACAGAATCCTGCAATAACAGAAATCAATAGGGTGCAAGAGACGAATAATTAAGTGAATGCACATATATTACATACATTAAATTGATAGATACAGCATATATACATACATATACATGTATATAAATATATATATATATATACACATGATTATATGTGTATATATATATATATTTGTATAGAGTTTTTTCAATACAGATCCCGAGCTGAGCTTGATTTCTTTTGACCAAATTCGGGCTTGTCCAAAAATTGGGTACCCCTAAATTCCGTGCTGAATCATCGGTTTTCATATGAACGTTGCCATATATTGTTGATGATTTCTCAACGTTCAGACAAGCCTATTGTTGGGTATATATGCAGCTAGATCACACAAATATCCATGAATCAACCTGAGTATCTCAATCTATCTCAATCTATCTCGCTTTTACCGGGGATACTGGGGTGGATTGAAACAATCCCTAAATGGTGAGGTTTATGGTAGCTAATGGGTCCCACATGATTTCCCCGCCATCGCCATCGCCAGCAGGTTTGAAGAAGACCAACTCGACCAACATCTCGAGCATTTGGGGAGGTGGGGCTGATTCTCTCAGGCTGAGCCATTTTTGGGGGACCTCTTTACATTTTTCCCCACCTGCCAGGTGAGGGTTGTTAGATTTTATGTCAGTTGCCTGGTCCTCCTCCTCCTCCTCTCCTCTCCTCCTCCTCTCGTTGTCCTCCTCGTCCTCCTGCTCAACTGCGACTCGCGATCCACAGTGTTCTCTGTCGGACCTCAACCACGACCATCCACGCCCAGTGTTCCCTGCCGGACCTCAACCACGACCATCCACGCCCAGTGTGCCCTGCCGGACCTCAACCACGACCATCCACGCCCAGTGTTCCCTGCCGGACCTCAACCACGACCATCCACGCCCAGTGTTCCCTGCCGGACCTCAACCACGATCATCCCCGCCCAGTGTTCCTGCCGGACCTCAACCACGACCATCCACGCCCAGTGTTCCCTGCCGGACCTCAACCGCGAGTATCCACGCCAAGTGTTCCCTGCCGGACCTCATGTAGGAAGATATGGGACAAAGAATGTGCAGAAGAAAGTTAGAAAGAATGTCAGAAAGAATGACAGAAGATATGCCAGAAGATATGCCAGATAGAATGCCAAATAGAATGCCAGATAGAATGCCAGATAGAATGCCAGAAGATATGTCAGAATAAATGCCAGAAGATATGCCAGATAGAATGCCAGATAATATGCCAGAAGATATGCCAGATAGAATGCCAGATAGAATGCCAGAAGATTTGCCAGATAGAATGCCAGAAAATATGCCAGAAGATATGCCAGATAGATATGCCAGAAGATATGCCAGAAGATATGCCAGAAGATATGTCAGAATATATGCCAGAAGATATGTCAGATAGAATGCCAGAAGATATATCAGAATATATGCCAGAAGATATGCCAGATAGAATGCCAGATTGAATGCCAGAAGATATGTCAGATAGAGTGCCAGAAGATATGACAGATAGAATGCCAGAAGATTTGCCAGATAGAATGCCAGAAGATATGCCAGAAGATTTGCCAGATCATATGCCAGAAGATATGCCAGATAGAATGCCAAATAGAATGTCAGAAGATATGTCAGATAGAATGCCAGAAGATTTGCCAGTAAGAAAATGTATAAATGTCATGGTGGGGATCACACGAAGTAAAGTAATTTTTTAATTTTAGGGATAAGTGCCCATTTTAGGCGCTTAGGGATACTTAGGATTTATGATAATTATGATATGGGATGAACATGCGGAATCTGCTAGGATGGCGGCAAAGACCTTGGTGTACTGCAGATTTTCCCTCAAACCAATTCTGTATCTGGGGCCTTCGGATGCCCTCAATGAAGGTACAGGATGCTCATTGGACTACAGATAGCCATTCAATACCATTTACAAATATATATATATATATACACATAATATATATATATATGTATAGAACTCACACACACATTATATATATGGTTATGGTCTATATATTCAAGTCTCCCGTACAGGGTTTTATCAACATATCAAGTCACCTTTATTGGATTTTTGTCATGTCTTCTCAACATAGGAGTTTCATAGAAGTTGTCGCGATTCCAGCAAGGTTGTAATCGATCCACAAGCACCCTATAGGCATATATTTTTATGGTACATACCGGTTTCATGGTTTCAAAGTATTACAGTCATATATATATAATATATATATATATACAATACACACATTATACAAATATATATATATATATGTATACATCCATACTTACATAGTTTTTTAATGTGTCCTACTATTAGGGTGATATACATATCTACGTATATACAGTATCTACTTACATCCTCAGTGTGTGCCGATCATTGCCGATGAAGTCGGCTCGCAAGGCCTCCCGCTCCAGACAGAGGATCCTCTGCAGACCACCAGCAACCAACTCCTGCGCGGCATTTTAGGCCCGGAACTGGCGATTTACCATGGAGTTATCCGTCATGGCCATTTCAATGGCTATGATTAAGTAGATTTCAGTAAATCTGATTCAGTAATGGCCATGTTAATGGAAAACTCACGAATTCACTGACGTAACTGTGGATGACACATTTTAGTTCGATGCTTGTTCACCCCCTGTGACAAGCTTAACCTCTAGGGGATGCATGGTGTGTGAGAAATTGTGAGAATTACGTCCGGTTTAAGACAATTTTAATGGAACATATCAAATCGGGGTAACCTATTTCAGACAGACACAGTCATTCCTGGATGTGGTCATACTGGTGGGTTTGAGAATGTCTGGCAAACCTATCTTTAACGAGTTTTAGCTTGCACGTGAAAATCATTTGCAATCCACAAAGAGCCCATTCGGTCCATTCATGTGGTCCAGTGGATATTGATCCCGAATCCCAAAATCCAGAAAATCTCCATATTGGCAATGTCCTTTTTTTTTCATATGGGTAAAACGTCCATGTTTGGTTCAATCCCCATCAAAACAGAGGATTGTTTCAACCCCTTCCCCTCGTAGGTGTCCCTGACAGCGTGGATTGGCGCAGCATCTGGTCAGACATGGGGAATTTCCCAATCTTTATGGACAATCATGGACAATCCCCCATTTATAGAGTTTATAGATGAAGTTCCCAGCTAGAAACCTCCATTGATAAAGAATTTTCCATTGATATGTTTGATAATTACCGGAGGGTGCTCCAAAATGTCATCGTGATTTTCATCATTCTCAGCATTTCAATGATGCTGGCCAAATCTTCAGGATAGGGCTCCTATTTTCGGACACACCTGCAAAAAAAACACATTCTATGGTCTGTTTGTGAATTTGGCCAAAAAGAGTGTACGTGTTGTATATGCCTGGAAACATGTCGTGAAATGTTGTGTATAACATTGTATAACTGTATAACCAACCATTGAATTGTTTTACCATTTTACCAGCAATATATGGAAACCACTGCTTTAGCAATACACGGAAATCACGTCTCTGGGATATCCAGGGATACCGGGAGTAGTTTCGATTCGCATCACCGATGGGAAAAATGGTGGGTTTCGAATAGATTTTTGACTGTGAGTATCCACATTTGAGATGAGCATGGATGGATTGAAACCATCAACCTGGGGAGTGTCCCAACCGAAGATGGGGATATATTTGGAGCTATCCAATTTCTTTCCATTCTTCTTCAGTTATACCTTCCAGTCATGAAAAACCTGGCAATTGAAAACCATCGGTTTGTAGATTATTCCAGTCATTTCCCATTGAAAGTTGTGATTGTTCAGTGGTTCAGTTGGCCATGTTAGATGACCAGAGGAAAGTCAGAGACAGGGGGATCAGCGTTGGCCTATTCAATGTTTCTGAAATGTCAACCGGAAGCCGACATTTTTTTTGCACGTCCTTACTTTTTTTTCCATTTTTTCCAGTTGTGGCTATTTAATTCCAAACTTTTGCACTAGTTCCTGTCCATGAACATCCAGATGTTTGCAAATTTCTGTGGCTCAGAATCCAGATTTGGGTAACTCCTTTTTTGGTATGTTTTCTTCGTGAAGTTCCAGATTCGCGACAGCCTGGAAAAAAATTCACGTCCCAGGTAAGGGAGCTGTCTCTGTGGCAAGGAGCCTCAGGGGTTTGCGCCGGCATCGGCACCCTATTTGAAGAACTTCCATAGGTCTGGGTAAATTACAACGACCTCACTGCAACCTCGATGGAATCATGATTAGTAAGGAATATCATCCCCAAATGACGTTTATTCAGGTTAGTGAAATATTATAATTTACCCAGATAGGTGAGTGGTGTCTGCTTTTTTTCTTTTTTTCTGGTTATTCCATGTTGAACTTGGATTGAACTTGGTGGATTTGATGGCTACGGAATCTTGACATGTCAATCTTTGAATATCAATTGTTAGCATGATTGCCGGTGGTTTCAGACATCTCCAAAACATATCCAAAATGTGTTTGCCCTGTATGTCTGTTTTTAATTTTACACCATAAACCCGATATGTTCATGATTTACAACCCCCCAAATGGTGAACCCTACCAAATCAATCCAAATCATATGAGGTGTGATTGTTTTGCATTTCCCAGAACTGGTGGAAAGACACTTGAATACCATGAAACCAAATAATTTCAAAACCAATACATAAACCTACAGTCGGTTCAGATTTTCCATATGGAAAAGCCAATGTTTTCTATGGATATTCCCCTTGAATCTCTGAATTGGAGGCGAACATATCCAGGATTTACCGTAACAAATGTACCAGTAGTACCGCACAAGGCGGTGGCGGAAGTTTCAAAAATAGGAAACCTATAGGAGAGATTGGTTGTTGTGAATCATGGATGGCAGAGCGAATCCACTGATGGACCGAAAGGTGGTTGGAGTTGTGTTTTTTGGAGTGGTTGCAATGGTGCAGTTGTAGTTGTAGTTGTAGTGTAGCGTAGTGGAGTTGTAGTAATGTAGTGTAAATAGTGTAGTGTAGTTGCAGTTGTAGTTGTGGTGTGGTCTAATTAGTGTAGTGTAATGTAGTGCAGTGTAGTGTACTGTAGTTGTAGTTGCAGTGTAGTGTATTGTGAAGTAGTGTAGTTGTAGGTGTAGTGTAGTGTAGTGTAGTGTAGTGTAGTGTAGTGAGTGTAGTGTAGTGTGGTGTGGTGTGGTGTGGTGTGGTGTGCTGTAGTGTATTCCACTTAGTGTAGTGTAGAGTAGTAGTGTAGTGTAGTTTATCGTAGCGTAGCGTAGTGTAATGTAGTATAGTAGTGTAGAAGTGTCGTAGTGTAGTGTAGTGTAGCGTAGTGTAGTGTAGGGTACCATAATTTCATGGAAGATTAACAATATTCCATCATATTCCATCATACTCCCACAATATTCCCACAATATCATCAAACATTTTAAATAGATAGGTTCAATCTATACTATCTATAGGTTCTCTATCTATATTTCTAGAGATCTAAAAAATGTTTAATGAACCTAAAGATTCTATGGGTTCTATCATCTATCTATATTTGGGTTTCCAGAAATAGGGGTACCCAAAAAATGGACGGTTTCTACTCCATCTATAAATGGATGATTTTGGGGTACCCGGGTACCTCCATTTCAGGAAATCGCCGTTTCTGTCTATATTTCACGTGTCTTCCAGAGATCCTCGCTCCAGGTTCAGCAGCAAGGGCACTGCGGCGCCTGCTGGAGCTTCGCGGCCAATGGTGCGGTGGAGGGCGCCTGGAAGGTGCCGAGTCGTTCCAGAAATCCCCATGGAAAATGGTGGAAAAATTGGCATGTGAATGTGGGAAAACACGATAGAAAAAATGGATGAATTAATGGGAGGCTTCTAATGGGATACTAATTATATAAGTACATCTGAATTATGTCGTGACCTCATGAAGATGTCGTGACCTCACGTCGGGACCGAACCCTGGAATGATGGTTTATATATATGTTACATGTGGCGAATCATCCCCAAATGGCCGAACATTCTAAGGCTGTTTGATTCATCTGTCCTGACTAATCTTAGGTGTCGCAGACTTCAGAACCGGTCATTCTCTGGCCGAACTCTTCAGGTTAGTACAATATTGCTCTATGATTTACCCAGATTTATGGGGATTTCATATTTTTGTGAAATAGTTTGACAAATGCTGAAATCTAAGCAAAACCGTAAGGCGGTTGACCCTACAAATCGTGTTATGAACCGATTGCCAGATGGGATGCCATAGGTCATTTCTTGCTGCACGCTACATGGGTATGGGTCAAAATTAACGCCCTCAAAACCCAGATGATTTGGTTGTTTTCACTATTCACCATCTATTTCGTTGAGTAATTGTCGAGTGACTTGACCCATACGATCGGCAGAGGCAACACCCATCCGTTTGGGTAGGCCACCGGAACCAGTCAACTCGAAATTGGTGTTCCAATTGGCACTGTAAGTTGAGACAATCTTACTTGTTGCACTTCTTGTTGTTGCTGTTGTTTCTGTTGTTGCTGCTGCTGCTGCTGTTGGTGTTGTTTGTGTTGTTGTTGTTGTTGTTGGTTGTTGTTGTTGTTGTTGTCGTTGTCGTCGTCGTTGTCGTCGTCGTCGTCGTTGCTGCTGTTCTTGTTCTTGTTCTTGTCCATGTTCCTGTTGCTGTTGCTGTTGCTGTTCTTGTTGCTGTTCTTGTTCTTGTTCTTGTTGCTGTTGCTGTTGTTGTTGTTCCCCATTTCTGGCTCAACTTTTGAAGAAAAACCTACTTAAATCGTTTCTTTGGTTAAGTTCATCTTTTTTGTTGCAGGATTTTTTTTCATATGTAGAATCTAGAAGCAGAAAGAAACACATGATCAATTGATGACATCATCCCACCCCCCTAATATTCAATGGACCCCCCGCAAGAATAAGCAGATCCACTAAATTCCACCAATCTGTCCGGCCGGTGCCGACCAGGTCTACGGTGGAAGCCTCTACACGCTGTCAGAACAGCAACTGGTGGATGCTGTGCTGGGACGGCGCTGGAAAGATCTCGAAATATGGTTTGATGGTCATTTTTTTATTCGGGTTTAATCAATGGAAATTTAGTTAGAAAACTCCCGAGTTGCGGACGATGGTCATGGTTAGCGTTCACACCATCATGTCAGCCACATCATCATGTCACCCCATCATCATGTCAACCACATCAGCATGTCACCCACATCATCAAGTAGCTGGGAAGTGTAAGAGTTCGGAAGCGTGTGAATTCACGGGTGAAAACAATACCTATGCCTATGGGACCGCATAGTTTGATAAACATCAATGCATATACCGTTACCATTTATTTTGGTATGAAAATAACTTTTACATGATGCAACTTAATGACCAAATCCTAAATATTCTATGACATCAACATTCCAATCATGAATTTTATCAAACTAATAAACAAATTGCATACCCCAATACTTACAGTAGATGGTGAATGCTCGAAATGGACTAAAATCTTGGATTGATAACATTCTCATATCCCCATATCCCCAAACAACATTTTTGGGTTAATCCTATCCCCAGTGGGAGCTAGGCTGACATTCAGGACTGTGCTACAGCGGACTATGGAAACGATGGTTGCCATGGTGGAAATCCAGCTAATGCGCCACTTGCTTGCTGCAGCAGGAGCTGAATGGATTTGGGATACCTTTTGCCAAAATCTCAAATGGAGGTTTTCGTGAGAAAATAGACTATAAATGGGTGACTTTGCAATGCCATGTTAGCGGAAGGTATACACATGTACCTGGTTCATTTTCAAGGCAATTTACTAAAACGTTATAAACCTGTACTCCCAGGATACATAGGGGTATTGTCAGCAGTCTCAAGATGACATTCTGACCCAGTCCTTCATATTGCCGGAAAAATTACCCCACAATGGTGGATACAAGCACCAGACTTTTGGGTGAGATACTCATATCAACCGTGGCAATGGAAAATCCACCGATGATCTTCCCATTTTTTTCAGCCATTTATGGGTGATGTTCCACGGCCACGTTTAATCCGGGTATAATGTAGATATAGACATGGCTCTTCACATTGACAGCATGCTGTCTGCGGTGGAATCCAAGATGGTCGTAAAGGAGGCAGTGGCTAGTTCGCCTCCTGTCCGACTGGGGGATTCTCACTAGGTGATGCATTCTTTTAATTAATTATATATATATATAATCATGGGATAGAACGTAAGAGAGTTGCGTGGCAAAATAAATACCCCACAGATGATATGAGCTGTAAAGGTTCTCCATTCACTGGCTTTTGCAGTCACCACCATGAAATTGATCACAACTAAATATTGCCTCCCCTAAAATGGATGGTTTATGATTAACAATGACCAGCCGTTTGTCAGTCCACAAAGGTACCCCACTGACTCAACCACTAGGTTCTTGACGCATACTTGGAGGATCATCCTACACAGTATCTGGTTAGTAGCCATACGTCTAACACCTTCAAACCGACTTTATGGAATACCCTCCGGTAATCGAACTTGTTCAATGGGAAATCCCCTATACATTCGTTGGATTTTCTATTGCCATGGAGGGCAACCCTCCTTTGGGATGATCCGAGGTTTATTTATGCCCGGGACCACGGGCTGTGTACTGCCCGATCCTACACCTATCAGGCTGTGCCATGGCGATTCTGGCGATAAAAAGACACAGGGCCAGGGGCATCAGAGACATACAGAGACATACTGTACATAGAAATGTGAGGAAATGTGGGGTTGTAACCTGAGGTTGAAAGAAATATGATAATATGTTGAAGGGCAAGAAAAGGAAACATGGGAATGGAGGCTGGCGTCATTCAAGGGGAAGAAATCAATCAACTAGTCAGTATGGGGATGGGTCAAGACCGGCATTTTCTTAGGGGCAAACATTCATAACTACCAGCTATTTTGCTTTGATTCCACTAGGGTAGCTTGTTTTTCTAACATCAGATCTTGGAATCGTTTCAATATATCCTGACATATTAAGTATCATAAGGCCAGAACCGTACCTTAAGATTTCTGCTCGCCTAAGTTGCCATCTCAAAACGAATGTGTCCATTTTTATCCCCAGAGATTGGTTGCGCGACAAATTGAAGAGAAACAATCAGTAATGTTTCCATACCTTTCCCATTAAAAAAAAAAACAAGACCCTGGGAGATTCACAATCTGGCCGTTAAACCTTGCGCCTGAAAAAGATTCCCAAGGCACAAGGAAGCTGTCGAGCAAGTCAGTGTAATATGGTGATTCCCGTGGGTGGCGTGCGTGGACCTTTGTTCCTTGGCACACCGAGGATAGGGAGGCCCATGGAGGCCCCAAAATGTGCAAAAGATGAGTTTTTCCTAGGATTTTACCATGGGGTGTAAATCATTTTGAGAAACCTGGTGTTTTTTTTTTCAGTGGATATTGAGTCCATTTGAGTCCTATTTTGGCGGACATTTGGAAGGTGTATATAATTTTGACGAGCCTTTGGTTTACTGGTTTACTGGTGGGGATCATTTCTACTGTGTCAATCTCTCTTCATATTCCTGACATAACATGCTTGGAGGGATGAACATCAATAGATCCCGGTTATTTTAGGTTCACCAGTGCCATGATCCATAGCCATATTTGTCTTCTGTGGTTTTCGCAATTCTCACTAGATTTTACATTCCCCTCAAGTGGTAACCACCGAAAATTACAAACTGACTGAACATAAAAAATGTAGGCAAAGCCAATATCTGATGGAAAAACAACCTGACTTCCCGTTGTAAGCTAATCCATTGAAACCACGGTATATATCCCCACATATCCCCACTATATCTCCATGACAATCAAAAAGCACATTTTTTTGGAGAACATGAATATCACATTAACACAAGGCATGGTATTTGTTATGTTGAGTACTCGGTGGCAAATTCTACATCGTACTTTGTATATAGGTAGGTGACGTCCCTTGTTATTAGTAGGATATGTAGGGTTAAACAGTTAAAAACCGTTAAACAAAGTGGGGCTATAAGCTACTTACCAAGTATGATGAGCCATGTAAATATCCCAAATTCAAGCATGTATAACAAGTTCAACCATTCATCCATTAAATGCTAAGTACATACTGTCCATGTGTTCCCGCACCTTTGTCTTCCCCATGTGTTCAGCACCTGTCTTCCATCACCACTCAGGCCTGTAAAGGCAGATAGTGAGGACGCCATGATGAAAGCCGTGGCGCAGCAGCCGGTGGCAGTTGCCATTGATGGCGATGACATGGTGTTGCTTGGTGTTGCTGTGCAAATGGTGGCTAAATCACCAACCGTAAAGGATACCCTCTGGTAACTTGACATAGCTATGGAAAATCACCATTTCTAATGGGAAAATCCACTATACATGGCCATTTTCAATAGCTATGTTAGTTTACCAGAGGGTACTATGGATACTGAAGGATACTGTAATTACCCATAATTCCATTTTTTTTAGTGATGGGAGAGATATTGCGATACAAAATTGGGATATATCATTGGTATATGGGGTATATATAAATAACACTGGGAATATACGTACAACTAGGATGTATAGTGAGATTAGTGAGATATAAGATTGGGACATATATATATATATATATATTATATTACAACTGTCATGTAGAGTGAGATATATAATGGGGATGTGTAACTGGGATACATAGTGATATACATCATTTGGGTATGTTTGTACATATATATTTATATATATAGAAAGATCTACAATTGGGATATATCATTGGAATATATCATTGGGATATTTGATGGGATCTAGACTGAATATTATATATAATGATAACTGGGAGATACTATGGGGATATGTACAGTAGTTCGGCACATACATTGGAAATAGAGTTCCAAAAACGATTGAACAGTAATTTATCAGTATTGAACAGTATTATTGCACCAATTCCTTTTTTTTGGAGATTGTTATGCAATGTTACTGCCATCATTAATATCAGTTGTGCTGTTGGCAGAATCTCCTGGGCCCCAGGTTTCAGCTCTACACCGGTGTCTTGGCATCGTGTTAGAAGCCATAGGTTGGATCCCAGAGGTTGGTTTAGATTGAGTTTTCACCAACGTTAGATACATTTCATATACATTTCATATTTTCATAGGGTTGTTTTTCATCGAACAACCATTTCAAATCAAAGACCTGGTGACCTATGGTTGTTAGACTACGACCATTTTAAGAATCTGGCTGTTGCTTCTCATGCACGAGCTTGTGGTGCTTGCGACTTCGCTCGCTTCCGAGACGGTCGACTGGGTCGACTGTGCGGACTGCGTGGGTTTGTCTCAAATTCTGTAGCCACGGACCTAAGATTCGCTTGAACATGGAGGAAATGATCTTCTCAACCGTTGAAAGTTTGGGGTTTCCCTCATTTTTGTTAGATCTGAGTGGCCGGCTGATCTGAGGCTCTGAGGAATCCAAGTCTATCACTAGACTCGTTCATGGTATCAGCAAGTGTTGATCACTACATTGTATTGTAACACTAAAGTATGTAAGATTATATAAGTTAAGTATATGAAGAAAACATCAAAATCATGTTGTATTCATTAATATATGCATGACCCTTTGTTGTTTTTGTCGTAGACGAAATCTTAAGTGACTTGTCATGTGACTTTTCATGTGAGCGTTTCCGAGGCGGAATCATCTCCAAGGAATGCGGCAGCAAGTTGGATCACGGCGTTCTCTTGGTGGGCTATGGCCAGAGCGGAGGTGGAGATGTCATCAACGAATGGGTCCATTTTTCCATGGAAGTCATGGACACAATTTGTGCCCCAGAAAATTGGATGGTGAGTACTCCCTTCCCGCCCTTCCCCATTAAAGACCCCATTTCGAAACCATGGTGGATGCAGGTTTTACACCTCTTGGGCAGGTCAAGCCTATTGGATCATCAAGAACTCCTGGGGCCTTCAATGGGGAGAAGACGGTGTCTTGCTACCAAGGAATCGGCACCAGGTGGCTGTGTCATTGAACATGGACAACACAAATAAACAATGGGCAGAATGAGATCCTGAACAATGAGTTTTTTTTGTTTCCCCTCAATTTTCCAACATTTTCCACACTACTTGTGGCATCTTGTGGCCGGTGGGATGTCAACGGATGTCATGGGTCGGCGACAGGAGGCGTTGTGACTTCAATTCGGGTTTCAACATGGGCTCTGTTTCAACTGTTTGGAGATTATGATATCATAATATATACGTATGATAAACATCCACGAGGCGCCGGAATCTCGTTCTCAATTCAGATTTTACATGGAATGACTAGTGACTTTCATCCGTAGAAAGCATTTTTGCCCTAAGATATGGCTAGAACTTGGGGTATACATTCCCAATTTTCCATCATTTTCCCATTTTCAGACACCGCCTTCCAGGCTTTGGGCGCCTGGCTCGTGGTGTGGGAGGAGAAGGTGCCAGTGATGGAGATTGGTCGCTCCAAGCGTTGAAAAATCGGGGCATGGAAGAGCCTGGAAGAGAAGCAAACTTCGAAAGAAATGAGTTGGCCATTTTCCTTCAATTTCCCAAAAGAAACGATTCGGATTGATTTGTCATCCCGATGTTTCTAGATGATTATCACTATGTTTATATCGATGATTCTATTATATACAAAGATGATTATATTATATACAAAGATGATTATATAGATGATATAGATGATTGATGACGATTGTATAGATGATTATTTTATCATGCTTATATAGATGTTTGGTATAGATAATTGTATAGATGATACTATAATGATTATATCTTCACTAAATCTAACATGATCTAACGCTCCCTCCTTGTTACTTGTTAATTGCATGCTAATTGATGTGTTCCCTGCCAGGAGAATGCGGAATCCTGTCGCAAGCATCTTACCCTGTACTTGACAAGGGCAAGGTGCTTGAAGCTCTCAAAATTGCCCGGGACGAGGAGAAACTAAAAGTGGACATCCTCAGTTTGATGAGGAGCATAGACCCAGAAATCTTGGTTGGTGGCTGTTTCCCACATTTCTATGTTGGTCCGATCATTCCCTTTTTTTTTGACATGTTTTGGCTCACCAAACAGGGAATGGTTATGAATGTTTATGAATGGTTGATATTGGCACTTTATTCGTTACTTACCCTCTTTGGTTGCTTCTACCCCATTGCAGCGCATTGCAGCGGTGAAAATCTATGTCTTGGATGGTCAATCCCTCATCATTTCTGCGGAAATTGTGTTTTTTTTCGCCTTAGCTATGTGTGATAACACCCCGGTCGTCTTGTATTCAACCTCCCCACATATGGTTTCCCTGGCTCAGCGGCGTAGCCCGAAGGTGAAGCCTGGAACCTTTGATCCGGCTCCCGGAACCGTGGTTTCTCGAAGGAAATGAGCATTGACATGGGAAACTGATGGGAACATCAAGGGATAGGAAAATCAAGGGGAATCGTGAGGAAATGATGGGATTGACATGTTCTTTTTTTTGGTGGTTTTAATGGGAAAATCATGTGAAGATCTTGTAAAATCATCTAATTAATGCTGGAGTTTCCATTGGGACACTGATGAATTTTGATGACTGGAGGTGCAACAGGTCTTTGTAAAGCAGCTTTTCCACCTGGCACATGGCTCCCCAGTGTTCCCAGACCCCTTTTCAAAAGATGCCAAAAATCGTGTTTCCAGGATGGTAATTTGAGGATATTTGAGGATATGTACCTCATATTTCCAGGTTTCCAAGGCATTCTCTATGACTTGGGCTTGCAAAATATGCCACGCCGTTGTCTGAAATCGAGGCTGCGCTGTTCTTGGCGGTCATGGCCTGCTGCTGCATCACAGCCACTTGGATCACTTGGACACAGCCAGCAGCGCGCATATTGATGGGTGATGTGAATCGGTCATATAGATGGAAAATCATGGAAAATCCCATAAAAAATGGAGGTTTAATGGGAAAATCATCTATAAATGGGCGATTTTCAATGACACTAATGGCTGTTCATGGAAAATCCCATTTATATCCATTTATAGATGATGTTCCCAGCTAGAAACCTCCATTTTTTATGGGATTTTCCATGGCTATGTTAAATAACCAGATGGTAAATGTATAGACTATAAATGGACTATTACCCATCAATATTACCCATCGCTGTTACCCATCAATATGCGCAGTTGATTACTAATGGCTGTTCATGGAATATAAATGGAAGATACTAAATACGACATCTGGATCGGTGTGACAATGATTCTTATCTCCAACATATTGCCACTGGAAAAAAGGAACATTTACGACTAACCAACGGATGTCAAAAATGGGGTGCCAAATTTTTAGACAAAGCCACATTTCGTTAGTTTGGGTTTTGGATGTACCACATATTCCGTGTTTTGTTCTTCAATGACCATACATATGGTAGATATGGTTAATATTAGGACGGTGTTGATCCAAGGTTGATGGTTATTGATCATCACAAAAATATGGTTCCCAGGGTCAACATGGTGATATTTTCAAGGTACACTACGGCTTGACTTATATTCATAACACAGTTGGTGATAGAAACAGATTGCCGAATTGTTTCTGTATAGGTGCGCTGTCCTCAGTGGCCCCAGATTCTAAGTGGTTAAACTGAAACTCAGGCTGACCCGCAGATCCCCGTAATATCAAATAACGGTCACTAACGGACCCAGAATCAATAGGTACATATAATTAGATTCAACAGATTCCAATAGAGTCAATGGACCAGTTATAGCATGCCCCAATGAAATCCAATGAATAGTTTCATTTTTTGAATATAGTTACGATATCTTATGATATGAGAAAAGGTGGTTGGACAATCAGCCCTCAAATGGGTTTACCTCATTTTCTTAGAAAGTTTATTTGATAAATCCCACTAATTCCCCACTCATGCTGGGTAAATCCATTCAAATCCATTCAGTCATCAGTCGTTGATTCGGACATTTTTTTTGGGGGGGTAAATCTCCACAACATCCTGATGTTCACCCTAAATCACCATTGTCAGTGAGGTAAGGCACCATTTCCACAAGGCTTCCTCCAACGTAGGGAAATCACTGCCATTTTTTATTCGATCGTATCCCTGAACGGTTGGGTTTTCCCATGGGTTTTCCCCTCATTACAATCGCCATAGAATCCATATGAATCCATATGTTTCGGTGATTTTCACTGTGTTCCAATTTTCAGAAGTTGAGTTGACCCGAGATGTTTCCATCCCCAACATTCCCAGGGCTTCCTCTATCTGAACTTCTGCCGTCGCCGCGCGCCGCGTGGCCGTGCGCTACTGTCCTTTGCGGCGGTGCCTTTGGCCGCGCTCGAAACGCTACGAATAAGAAAAGCTGGGAACCTTTCAAGATCCAGGTTGTTTTTGTAGTTGCATAATTGTTTGCTGTGTTTCTCTTTGGATATGATATTGATATTCAAGAGGCTGGGAATTTGGGTGCGTTGGGTGAGCGTTGATAGATGTTGATAGTGTATATGGGTATGTCAATTGCTAAGAAATGGTTGCTAAAGTCGATATAGTTGGGCAGGAAGTTTTAATTTGTCTTCAAACTGCCGATAACTTAAGCAGGAAATGAGTCTTGTTTATTTGGGAAAACTCTTTACATCAATGTTAAACCCTTGTCATTATTCATGTGGTAAGCCCAAAACGGAACCCCGGTGTTCTAATGTTGACAAAGCAACCCAATTGGACGACAAAATAAGATTAGTCAATCCATCACCTGATCCCAAAATGAACTGATGATTGATTAAGTATTATAAGCTAAACTAGACTAACATGCTGCATAAAACCTTTACTTCAGTGTCATAGTTTCATGATAGGTCCAAATCCCCAACTGGTTATGTTTATGGTTTCTTGGTTTAGCGTGCATCCCAGTTAGTAAGTGGTTGATAGATTAATATCCATATGATATTATAACACAGTAATAGACTATCCCCACTTATCTATGGACTGGTATGTTAGTAAAACAATAGTAAACCAGCCCCAAATTGGCGACACATGGGTGGTATGGGTGGTATGGGTGGTATAAAACATCATACTTACAGTATATATATATATAATATGATTAATATGGGTGGTTTTTACTAGTGCCTTACGAACATTATAGGGGTTATAACATCTTCCAAGCACCTACTCACCGTTCGAGCCGTTCGAGGCTCCAGCGGCTCCTGCCCCCACCGCTGCGAGGGCGGTGGTGAATCCATGGGCAGCTCGGCTACTAAAATCTACCGAGACCACTTGGTATAGTCTCATGTAATCCCATGTATAATCATTAATAATCTAGTATATCTACTCCAAATATAATATATATATATATAATCCCAAATATGATCTAGCATACAATCATGAACCTACTATAATTTCATCATATTTCATCAGTGGAGCACTGTTCAAGGCATGGTGATTCTCTGGGATTATCCCAGTACATTGGGGATGATCACAATCTCTACTGGATCCCTTTGGTACAGAAAAACTTGTAGCAACCCTGGTTTTGATACAGATTTTGGGTAAACGAGCACTTGTAGCACCTGTTTACCTGGCGTTTTTGCATGACACTATTTTGATCAATTTGGCTTGTGAGCTGCTGAAGAGATGCCAGGAATATCCAGGAATGTCATGCCGTTGCATTGTCAATTTGTCAAAAACAGCTGTGAATCGCATGGCTGGAGGCCCTTTGGGGTTTTGCTTTAACAGAGGCTTGTTGGAAGAGTATCAAGAAGCGGAAGAGCAGGGAATCCCACCAAATCCCACATATAAAATGTAATATGAAATCCAATTAAATGTCATAAAATCACATTAGATGCCATTAAATCCCGTTAAAGGTGATGGAATCCCACCAAATCCGATTAAATATCATATAAGACCCAATTACACTTCATAAAATCCTATAGATCCAATTAAATCCCATTAAATGTCATGGAATCCCAGCAAATCCTATAAAATGTCACTTAAAATACCATTAAATCCCATTAAATGTCATAAAATCCCATTAATTGCAATTAAATCCCATTAAATGTCAGGGAATCCCAGCAAATCTCATTAAATATATAAAATGTCATATAAATGCCCATGCTGTTCCCATGGGATCACCTAGGCCAGCCAAGCCGTCACCCCAGCTTCCGCGGCGCCAGCGGCACCCGCCGCGCCAGCGGCCCCGGCCCCAGCGGCCCCAGCGGCAGCGCCGTCGCAGGCACATTTTGGGGACCTACACTAGCTAATTTACTGGGAATTATGATAGGAACCATTGGGAAAAAAATTGAGACCTATACTATAGGCACATTTTGGGAATTATGACAACCTGGATTGGGAAACCTATCTAGTATTTCATGAGATCGGGTAGGGGGATTTTGAATGGCTCAATTATGCCCTGCAGTTATGGCCCTACTGCCAGCTCTTCAAATGGAGGCTCCTAAATCATTGGGGTACCCCCGAATCATCCCGGTGATTAGACTATTTTTTATTTCAGTATTGAAACCCATGGTGACTTGGGGACCCCTCATTTTAGGAAACCTCTAAATGAGATGACATAACTCCTAGAACTAGGGTGAAATATGCCACTTAAATGAAGTCTTCAGCCAGTTAAAGCTGACCATAGTGCTATAGCGGTTTTTGAAGGGATCCACATGGGTGTTTCTTAAGATGTGGCTCCCCTACAACCATCTAAGTCACTAGAGAATTGAAAGATATTAAAAGCACCGGGGACCGATTCTGGGAAATAGCCACAGATAGAGGTTTGTTCCAACGGACTATAGATAAAGAATAGGCACAAAGGGTAAATTGGTCATTTTACGTCTACATCACCCCCTTGTACCTGGGGTGTTTGGAGCAACTCTGATTATTATAACTACCACTCATTCCCGAGATTTCCGGATCTGTAAACATATATATATATAATATTATATATAACTATATATATATATATATCGTATAATATGATATATTCATGTATACTCCTTGCGCTCCTTGCAATCATTGTGTGCCTATCATTGCTGGTGCATTGGCAGGGCAGGGCGTCCCTCGTTTTAATGAGAAAAACACCTTCCAACCCTTAAGGTCCCTATTTGCATGGTTACATTCCCGCATATAGCCCTACCATGTGTATCCATGAAATCTAATCGAAGTTGCTCACATGATTGCTATTCTTGTCTTTCTTTCTGTCTCGCTATGTGCCATCAAGACCAATACATACCTCCACAACACCCATTGAATCTGACTACCTTCCGGTAATCAAACATGGCAACGGAAAAATCACCTATAAATGAGGGTTTTGATGGGAAAATCATCTATACATGGTGGATTGTCCATTGCCATGTTCGATTACCGGAGAGTATTTCTCAGCAGAACTCCCAGTTCTGGACCTCCTTCGTTGGTATTTGTTGGATTCCTGACCTGTTTCCGCCAGGGAAACAGCCGCACCGGCAATTCGGCGCAGAGCCGTTTGCTGCAGGACAAGTGAGGCGAAGTTAGCGTTAGCCCTCCGGTGGCTTGACTGCAGCCGTGAGATTGGGATTGAATGGGGATATAGAATGATATAGATATACCGTATATACCGTCAAAACTAGGATTAAACCATCAACACTAGGATTAAACCATCCAAAACTAAGATTTATCCGTCAAACATAGTTATTTCATCATCAAAGATAGGGGTTATCCAACCTATACTTCTGGCTTCCCATTCCCCCAACATACTTAGACCCTGAGAAGAGCTGATTTGTAATATTTGTAGATGAAAGTAATCTTCACCCCCAAGGCAGGAATTCTATGGGGAAGGAAGCCTGGAATTTCCATTGCACATGGGGGATTTTTTTTCGGGATGATTGGGATCATCCCGGGGGCTGAGAGTCGGAGATCGAGAGGGATTTTTCCCCATTCTGGGAGTATCCCAAAACCACCGGCTTTGATTAAATGGGAAGGAACCGCTCTTCTTCGGGGTATCTTCACCATTTTCGGATGCATAGACACATGATTCATATGAGGATAGCAGCGAACACCGATTGAGTTCTGGTTTGTAGATGTGGGTTCAATGACAACAAGTTGGGCCACTTACCGTCCCAAAAGTGGTTTTATTTATGCTTCTTTGGACAAAGGACACCTGATGGCCGCTCCACAACCTGAAGCGGGTGAATAGGGAACCTCACCAACATATCCAAACCTTATCGTTGTTGAGCAATACTTTGCAGACCCATGCAGTGCTTTAAGGCTGGATTCTTAGGCTTGGTTGTTGCAATGATGGCTGACGCTTCCTACTTCGATTTTTTATTCATCCCAATTCCCAATCAATTTCTGGATGATTCGACTTATGGATAGCTATATGGTTGTTTTAACCGAAAATTCCCACTTTTGGCACCTCCATGTTGTTTTGGGACACATTTTTTCCACCTCATCGAACGTCTTGGATCGTGTCCAGTCATGGCGATTTTTCGTAACGGGGGAAGGATTTTCCGAACCACCGCTATCAGAAAACCATCAATGAACATCAATGAACATCAGAAAACCATCATTTATCGGAGGTTATTCAATAAAATGTGCAATGGATCAGAACCATCAAAATCATTAAACATCATTGATTTTGGTGTAGACGAACATACCAAGATTCCTGACTACTGATTCACATACTGGGTTGATTGGGTAACAGAGGGGTCAACCCCCATTGACCGCCAAGTTGCGTACATGATGATGAATGGTATGCCAGACCCGACCGGACCTATTTTTTCCCAAAAGGACAATGTTGATCCCAAAGAAACGGTGCCATTCAAAGGTAATTCAGACATCAGTCACCATTTCCAAAGGTCAATGGTGCCCTCTCATAATTTGACATAGCCATGGAAAATGAACCATTTACTGTATATTATATATATAATATATGTATATATATATATATTGATGATTTATCTAGATTGTCCTATTAAGGCTGGTGATCTTCCATAGCTATGTTAGTTTACTGGAGGCTTTTAGCAGAAATCTCTTGATCCCAAGCCCTTGACCAACTTGGGGATGTTCACGGGTGAAAGCTGCACCACGAGCCTCCATTGAGGCGTAGGCAAGTGAGTGGCAAGCGCTGGATGATAGTGACAAGAATTGAGAATGAGAAACGTACTGAATATTACATAAATATTCTTTGTCCAAAACATGTTGATTAATTAATATAATATATATATATATATATGTATATATTATTTCAAAAACTATCAACAAGTAAAATGGTGATTTTGACATGCCTTGACCAAGCAAAGTAGGGTCGATACCCAGGAGATCATAGGGCCGGATTCGGACTACCAGGGCCAGGGAGAATATGAACATATCATGTTGTACGATGATTATTATGTTCTACTGATTTCTACTGCTCAATTTTCTTGGGACCCATTTTTTTCATTTTTTTCCCTATGGTGAAGACGCACTACCACGGAACATCACCATGTCATACCATGTCATTAGAAAAACATGTGCAAATCAGGGATGTCAGACTGTCCTGTGGCTCCAAATAGTCGATTGGGACCCGCTTTCTGAATAGTCGGAGTTTGAACAGCAGATTGTTGGCCATGTACAACAGCATTCAAGCTGTTAAGTAATTGGAAATCCATGGAAATCCGGTTTCCACTGCAACCAGGCGGTGATTTTTCGACGGCAAACGTAGCCCAAAGTAGTGACTCGGAATCGCCCAATCTACGCAAACATAAGCCCCTCCTTGTTTTCAAGCGTGTGAAGTTCTCAGCACAATTCTCAGCATCCCACCAATCTTGGTGGTGTAGTTGATCGTGAAAGGCGCTTTCGTTCAATGGATTGGCGTAAGGGACAAATCAGAGGAAACCCTATGGAAAGCCTATATTTCATGGGAAAACCTGGAAAACCTGTGGTTTCCTGTAGATTTTCCTTTGAACCAATCCGTTGAGTGGATGTTTTTTTGCCTGCCCTCCTGCGATCTCCTGCGGATCTGAGTCGAAGGCTGGATCCACGCAGGGCGGCAGTCCTGTCCTGTTTTCGACGGGCTGTGTGCTTGGTACAGCCCGGACGAGAAGGACGAGAAGTACCAGTGTGTTGTGAATGACTTGGGACCTGGGCAAGTTAGAACATAGAACAACTTGAACAACCTCACAGGCCTCAACAGACTCAACAGACATGGGGGGAACCATCCTAAGATCCAAGTAGAATCCCTGCAGATTTCTCAGACTCCTTTTGGTTTACCAAGTTTACCATGACCTCGGAGTGTCCAAGGTGTGTTGCTGGTGGATCTATTTCCACAGAATTCCCATATGGTCCATATGGCATTTCAGTTCATGGCCGTAGGACTTGGGATGACTTGTGCAGGTGTCAACACGACTGCTTTGGTCAAAAAACATGTTTTTGTCGTGTATTGTCCCACTATTTCTGATATTTCTGAGTTTTGTGGCGGGGTATTTAGTATATTTAGTCTTGCCACGAATAGTTTTTCAAGACTCAAGTGGATAAATTCGATTGGGTTCAAACCCAAGCTTTCTGTGGTAATCGGTCCTTCAGCTCCTTTTGGATGGCCATCATAATACTTTCCTGTCAAAGCCAGACATAGAAAGTCTTCAGGCTGAACCCGTTGTTCACTTAACCAAAAATACGACCTCAAAGACTGGCAGTTTCTTAAACATATTCTCATCCCCATGGATGATTTCCACCAGCATATTTTTGAACCATTGGCATTGAAGCTATCTGATGAAGGAAACCACGCTCTTGGCGAACCCTTCATGTTCGGGAATGATCACCATCTCCTTGATGCAGCGCCCCAAAAATTCCGGTCGGATCTTTTGCACAGCATCGGTGCCCGAGCGCCAAAATGGGATGATTGGGATGGGTTCTATTGAAGGACTGGGAGAACTCCAAGACGAATCTCCTGATGTTGAAATTGTAAGACACCATGGCATGTCTGTGTCCTCCAAAAAGATATATAGATGAGTAAAATCCTGCCAGAATACGGGTGAATCGAATTAATTATATACTCTTCCATCTTTTTGAGGATTACAAATGGTCATTTGACAACCGCAAAATGGCCACAACTGGCCAGTCGTTTCGATGTTGGTTGGAATCTCCGAGGTTGAAATGATTGGTTGACCAAACCTCCATTACCTAGGTTTGGGCAAGGTTTGGATGCGATCTATCATCGTCACCAGCATCGGCCATGATGTTTAGTAGATTTCAGTAGCTTCCAAGAGCATTGTTACATTGTTGCTTTAGCTCATACCTGGAATTCAAAAATGTCCTGGCGGGTCAACCAGATTCAATGGGAATTTCAGGATCCTAAATTGGAGGTACCTACCATATATAAGGCCTATATAAGGCCTATGTAAGGGAATATCCCCACAAAATATAGCCTTATATGGTACAGTACCTCCATTTTGGGATCCTGAAATTCCCATTGACAGATCTTGAACTGACACTTGTGGTGTCCCGATCATGAACCATTTCTATCGCATGACAAGTCTTTGCACCTTCAATAGAGAAGTCACAGCTACACTACCAGGTTCCACTGCAGCGTACGCCAAGCCACGCGCATTTGATGCTTCAGACCTGCAATATGCCCGCAGGCATGGGCTCAAGAAGAGCTCGTAAAAGGCAGACATGTGTGTTTTGTAGCTATTTTTGGCAAAAGATTGCCGTGATCAAAAAGAACATCTCAGAAAATCTCAATCTTGTCGCTGTGATTCATGAAAAGTCACGGCCATGGACGACTTGACATGTTTGACATGTCCTGAAAGTAGTCTCTCCATGTCACTACCTGCTTGGCTTATTCGCACGTTCGACGTGTCAGCATCACTTTGAGCCATGCCAACAGCGTAGCTTGGTTGCAAGCTGTAGCAAGCGAAGCACGTGTGGCAACTGCAGATTTAGATCATACCAGATAATACCAGATGGCTAAGAGTCATGGGCTTGGGATGAACTGATTGTGTGTGAAGATCCTTAAAGAACATGTCAAATGTAGTGGCAATCGCTCAAAATTGAGGTTGCAAATGAATGGACCGCGCATGCGACTAGCGACCGTGGTCCCCTTGTGAATCTTGATTCATTGCTCAAAAATAGCTACTCCCGAACAGGTATTTGACGGCGTGAAGAGGTACCAAACACACGTCCATATACATACATACATACATGCATTACATTTACATTACATTACATTACATTTACACTACATTTACATTACATTACATTACATTTACATTACATTACATTACATTGCATTTACATTTACATTTACATTACATTACATTACATTACACTACATTACATTACACTACATTACATTACATTACATTTACATTACATTACATTACATTACGTTTAAATTTACATTTGCATTACATTACATTACACTACATTACATTACACTACAGTACATTACATTACATTACATTTACATTACATTACATTTACATTTACATTTACATTTACATTTACATTTACATTGCATTACATTGCATTACATTACATTACATTACATACATACCATACATTACATTACATTACGTTACGTTACGTTACATTACATTACATGACATACAGACAGACAGACAGACATACATACATACACACATACATACATACACACATACACACATACACACATACACACATACACACAGAGACACAGACACACAGACACACACACATACATACATACATACATTACATAACATAACATAACATTACATTACAATACATTACAATACAATACAGTACAATACAATACATTACATTACATTACACTACATTACACTACATTACACTACATACATACAGACATACAGACATACAGACATACAGACATACATTACATTACATTACATTACATTACATGACATTACATTACATTACATTACATTACATACATACATACATACACACAGACAGACAGACAGGCAGACAGCCAGCCAGGCAGGCAGGCAGGCATGCATGCATTCATGCATTCATGCATTCATGCATTCATGCATTCATGCATTCATGCATGCATGCATGCATTCATGCATACATACATACATCAGGCATACATACATGCATACATCCATACATACAGCACTTATTTATATCTATAAGATGTCACAACAATATACAGTCATATATATATAATCTCTATCATTTGCGTATACACAATGCAACCTTTTAATACTGTTTGTATACATATATCTACATACATATTTTCGTTTGTATGTTAGGTATGCACATGTTTAATCATGCTTTTATATACGCCTTACACATGTAAAAGCTCTGTACTACACATAGCACGATCCTTGGCTTGACCCAGGAAACCAACCAATATCGATGCGCAACGCATCCTTGCCATCATGGACTGGGCCGTCGGGGCACATATACACACGTTCAGTATCTTTGATGGACCCGGGGATGAAGCCTTGACTCGAGAGGTGTTGACCCATTTTTTGGTCTGCTTTTGCCGCACTGCTGGTCTTTGAGCTCATTTGAAACTAGTTTGAAAGAAAAAACATCTGGAAAATTCTGCTAATGGGAAGCTCTCAATCACCATGCACAGAGCCATCCGGCCACGCGGGTTACAGTATCACAATCCAGGAAATATATCTCAATCACCTCGTAAACCAAGCGGATGGATAGTTCAACACAACTGAATCTTTCACATTCTTTTGCTAAAACAGATGGGGATACTGACTAGCCAACTTTCAATATATTTAGTTATATATGTATACTGGATAATATGAAATATATATATATAATATATATAGGTATATATATATGTGCAATGCAAGGTTGGCCATGTATCAGCATCATCAGCCAGGACGAGTTGAAGGAGAAACTCACCTTCTTGTCTTTCGTCTCCGCACAGGCGCGCTGTTGACAAGCCCTATTGATAATGGAAGGGGTTATACTACCACTGACTACCACATAACTGGAGATTTTGAGATTTTGCACAGCTTTTGATGGTTGGTAAGTCCTATGAATCAACAGATACAATTACATAAAGTGAGGATAGAGGGTTTTGAACAGTGCTCAAACATTTTCACGGCATGGTTGTTGAACATTTAAGCCGAAAACAATTGGACCCCCACAAAGACCGACCAACTTACAATGCGCACTGACGTGTGTTTGGAAATGGTTTGCTAACTTTTGCCAGACTGTGCCATAGCAAAGTAATCCAGAACAATCAAGTTGGACATAGTCGGACCAACTCATGGCAAAAAAAAATCCAGAAATGAAGCAAACACACGCCAGGTCTTAGGTGGTCTCCAAGGAGAGGACGGCTCCGCCACGGTTGAGATCCTTGGGCATCTTGGCGTCATGTGGAATCACCCGGGGGTCCAAAAAATGAAGGACCTCAAAATCACAACCATGATTTCTGTAGGTAGTTTGAATTAGTTTGACATATTTTTTGAATCTTCAACCATATCATGATGTGTAATTCCCAATGACTTTCCCATTTTTTCGGGGTGGTTGAAGCTGCGAAACCAGCAACAGAAGGAAACCAGTGGCTTTCAGGGTCCCCAAATCCAGGAAGCCATATGTATAAACAAACGGTATTTTCCGAAAATTGGGACCTTGGCTCGAATTTGTGGCCATTCGAAAAGAGGGAACATATAACAAAGTGAACTGGATTTTCGATTAAACCATGGAGCTGTAACCAACAGACTGTCTGGCCATGGAAGCAACAGCAAGTTACATGGTTCCACCCCATGGAACCAACTCAGTGGGGCCCCATCACTCTCCCAATGCTGAACTCCCCAGACCCTTTCCCATGAAGTTGATTGTAAACTTGGTCGCACATATCTGATGAACCACGAAAAAAAGCAGTCCAAAAAGTCCAAAATGTGCCTCAGAACTCTGACACTACCGTACATATTTACTAATTAGTTACACACCCAGTGCAGAAAACCAAAATCATCAAACACTGATCATTTTCTCTTCTGATGCACCTCGAAGCCCATGATTCGTTGGGTGGAGAAAAAAAACGGATTTTGAATCACCATTGCTTCAAAGTAACAAAATCATCAAACTCCAAATGAAAACTCAAAAACATCAGGTTCAAGAGAGGGTCCACGGGGGAATGATTTTGTGCTGCCATCTCAAGTCAGAATGGTTTTTTTTCACGTCCCAATGAGTCCAATGACGGCATGCGTGGGTCAAACACGTCATCCCCATTGATCCACTTTTTTTTCCCAAAATGGATGGTTTGATATGGTTTGAGATCCTAAAAGTGGCCCGCCGCAAATGTGGGCTGACCCAATCAATTGACAGCTCTACAAGGTCCTACCTCTAGGTTGGTGTGTCTGAAAATATGGTAAGTACTCCCAAATTTGATGATGAACTCCTTTTCCCCGTAAAATGGCCATACATTGAGGAGAAAGACCCAATTTTCAGACCGACCCAGTCCTATCACAGTGTTAAAAAACATTGAAAAACCTCGTCAGTCCATGTCATTCCCCAGCCATGATTCATGCCGACAAAAAACCGGAAGCCCCAGGCCAGAGCTGATGAAATGCTTTGCGGAGCAGCTCAGGCCGATGTGGTACAAGACACGAGCAGGGCTTGTCATGGCTGAAAATCGTGGGCCCCTACTGTAAATCCATTGGTTTATCATCATTGTCAATCATTGTCCCCATAGTAAAATGATGAAATTATATATATATGAAATTATATGAGTTTCATGCCAATACAAGCTATAGTAATGAAGTTTCAGAAGGATGGTATGCCCCTAGAGATTGTCGATTAATTTGATCACCTCCGGGAGAACTAATCATCTTCGTTGCTGGTGAAGCCCCAAGTGTTGAAATATTCTTGTGGGGTCATTACTAAATTCATTAAATACAAATAAATCACACATTGCTATAGTCATACTTAGTCATTACCATATTCTTGTGGCATCTTGTGGCTTGCGAAGCTTCGGTGAAACCAAGTGGAAACGCAGGTTAGAGGACCTGTACGTCATGGCGAGTGGAGAGGGCGGCGCTGCTGTCCTGCTTACTTTTTTGGCCCTGCTTGGAGGATTTTTCCCAGTTACTGACTATAAATGGTTGAACAGTTGGTGACCAAAGTTGTAAACTGTGGTTCAGTCCAGGATGAAAGCCTGTTTATTTTTTATGAAGATGGGATGGGATTCATCCATTCATGGGGCCCATCTTCATTGCTTCAGCCCCACAGCGGGATGATCCTCCAGGTAAAGACCAAATTTCTACGGTAAAGAATCCCTAATTGGACTAATTGGATCAAGATTAATTGGATCCGGGGATGGTGGAAATGGGGGGATGTAGCCAACATGCTAAATACATACCCACGGTATAGCAAATATAATCACATATACTAAGAATGTATGGAATGAATTTTATTGCATCCACATTCTTGTAGGTCTGTTGGAAGGTCTTGGGGAAATCGGAGACTTGGATCAAGGAAGAAATGTCTAGGAAACAGCAAACACCAGGCTTGGATTTTGAACATGATTAAAAATTTTAAGGATAATGATGCGCAATGACATATTTTTGGGATTTTTGTAAATACTATCCAGTGAAGACGTGAATTTTTAGCGGGGTATCCAATAAGATTGGCCATGATGTTGGCCATGTTTGTTTTGAGTACAGACTTCCAGTATGCAGGTTCCCAAATTCTCCATGGCCGGTGTGTTTGCCATACATCATAGACCATTTCGAACCTTTAGATGGTGAGGGGGTGAGGTACATAATGACGTGGCCAAAACTGAACATGATGTATCTGGCAGTATCCCGCTTTTTTCTGTTCCTATGAGGTGAACATCCGCCATGGCTGGCAATCGACAATTCCTGAGATTTTCAGCAGTGTTTTCCATCCCGATTTCAGCCAGGCTATGGCCACAATGAAGAGACAGAAGAGATGCGCGAGGCTGGGGGAATCACTTGAGTGATTTTGGAGGCTAGGTGCCAGTGTGGTTTCTATGGTAGTTTCAACTATCAAATCTGATAGACTTGATTTGACGATAGCTATATAGATGGTTTTCCATTGGAAGATTGAATTTGAGGGATAGTTTGGTGGGGTCATTTGAAAGGTTCGGTTGGAGTTGGAGGATGTTCAAATGAAGGCTGTGGAAATGTCCAGGGTGTAGAGTGAGTAGAGTAGCTGGGCACCACATTTGCATTGAAATCAAAATTCTATAAAATTCTTACCTTTTGAATCGGTGTGCGAATGGGTAGTAGTGGGATTCGCCATGCCGAATGCGGTCGGTTCAACGGGACGATTTTGGTCGCAGGATGTGAAGTCTCTTCAGAAGAATACCTTGGAGCAGGGCCCTTGAGGGAGAACGTGGAACTCGTGGAACTCGTGGAACCAGCACTTGACGAAATATGTGGAGATCCAGTATGGCATGTTGCCACATAGCTGAAATATCTTCAAATTATGAACTTGAATTTCGTTGATATAATGTGGGTAAAACAATGCCATAAACCACCCATTTTCCTGGGAATGGTCAACATACCACCTACAAAAATGGTGATTTGGAGGATGGTTTATGGCATTGTTTTCCCCACATTAATTTGAGATTAAAATGAGGCTCTGCCGGAAGATGAAGGCAGTGCCCAACGTGGTGCAGGAGCCAGCGGTTCGATAGCGCCATTCGGGTGTCGGTCGCGCCAGTGGATGTTCCCGTATGAAAAAGGTAACGTATGCAATGCCATGGGGATTTCATGGGGATATCATGGGGATATCATGGGGATGTAGGAGTGGATATTGATAAAATATGAAACTGACTAGAGACATATCAGACATATCGAATTGTGCTACAGCTTGCTACTGTACCTCTTCAGAACAGTTGCAATTGACCAGTTTTGGTTGACGAAGAGATTGCTGGTAATGTATGATAATGTCATGAATATAAAGCAGATTACCACAGACCATATATACAGCTTATACATGCTGTGAGATGTACACAACACTGTATTTGCCATCCCTTTAATTTACATAGATCCTGTCAGATAGGTGGGTTGAAGACAACTTTCCTCTGTGAATGATGCTCAGTGTCAAGCTGCTAGTTCCATGGCAGATGTCCGCATGTTGCAGGAAATCACTATTCTAATATATTCTAATGGTAAATCATCTATAAATGGTCCATTTTCCATATGTTACTGTCCATTTTCGGCTACCCTTTTCCCCAAACAACCGAGTTCTCCATCGACCAGGAGTTGAGAAACTTCCAGGATCGTGAATCGCGGCCTGCTGCTATGATCCAGTTGGGGGACCACAGCGGCGAGCTCGAGTGGTTGCTCCAAGATATTTCACCGGGCGTTTTCCGCCTGAACGTAGGGTGTTGGGAGCAGCCTCGTTGAAGTTGTGCTTCAGTGTTTTCTTTCAGGCTTATAGAGTCTTCGGCTTTTCTGAACAGTTACATATTACATATAGATTTGTACATCAGGTGAATTATGGATGGGGCATGGTAGAACTAGCGCGGGCGTACCGAGATTGTAGGTTGATTGATTGATTCATATTGATTTAACATGATTTAACTATCATTTCATTCGATTGAGAGGTTGACAGGCTGATAGGTTTGTAATTATACAGATTGATTGATGCATGAATAGATCGAAGAAGATAGGTAATGCTTTAGTGGAAGTTCCTATGACTGATAGATTGATATCTTGATAGGTCGATCGATTGCTGGATACATGCTGTATCGAATCATGTCCATTCTCACCCCATTATTTTATTGAACAGAGGTCGCATATTCAACGACTTGTTTTTGGCATGAAGTGTTGTGACATGTTCAGTGGATCTAGCCATTTTTTACCACACAGCAACACTCAAAAAGTTTCACTCTCTTAGGTGGCCCTTCCCATAAACGGGCTGGGAAATACCATCATTTGGGAGTTATCTACTATCTACCACCGACATGCACTTCTCAGCCATCATTAGGGCCACTGGCCGAGGGTTCTGCTGGGATCATCAGGTTTTTGAAGACCTTAGCAGACATGCAGGAGCTCACTTTGAAGCGTCGTCGCCTTAGATGTCGTGCAGGAGATCATCCTGACGTAGACTTGAAACTAGTATTTCTTATTTAAGGTCTTGTTATTTTGGCGCGCCTGGCGCCTGGCCTTTTTGATATATTTTTTTCGCACCTGTTCTGCCAGAATTTTGCTGAAAGATCAATAAATTGTCTTCATGCCGGGAAACACACCAAACATCACCAAACTACTTAGATCAAACCTACCAAGTCGTTTCTTCCAGGCTGGAAATTGGTTTTGGACATTCTTGGACCCGGTCGCTGTTTGTTTGGTGAACTCTCTTCTGTTTGAGATCGAATCTACCCATTTGACACATGGTCATTCTATTTGTTGACCCGTCGTATTTCGGCTGCTTTGTGCCAGTTGTATTTGATTATTTGGTTGAAACCATTCACCTCTCAATATTGTCTTATCACAATGTTCCCTTTTTGGTTAAACCATGTCAAAACCCATTTGTTGATGGTAAAAATCTTCATGTTTCATGCCTAGAAACCCAAGTCTTCCTATGTAGAAATTTGAAAACCGAACATTGGATGCTTCAAGGCCAAGTTTTTGCAGATAAACAATGATAACCTCCCATTTACACCGGGCCCGGAGTACCACACTGTTTGCCATATTGCCATATAAGATAATTGTATATGATTGTACAATATTATTATACAATCCCCGTATAAATATTGTACAATCATATATCACATCCCAGTATAAATTTAAATATTGTATTGATTTGCTTTTCATATCACAGTTCAATCCCAAATCCCAAGAAAACTCACCCCGGCGTCAAGGTCTGAGCACCACTGTAGAGGAGGAGAAGAGTCGACAGGAACTTCTGGAGTTGACGCCTTGGTTTTTTCCGCCCATGGCACATGCTGATTTTACATGACTTGACTGCTAGACATTGCGATTTTAGGTGTTTACATGTTTTTACATTGGTGAACATGTCAAAGTGTCAAACAAAGACTACAGTATTTCATAGGATTGAACAGCAGCAAACATGGGAATTGAACTGGGTATACCCTTTCAGAATCAAACCGCGCTATCCATGTTCATGGGAAAAACAACAAGTATTAAATCGTATCTTTGACTGAAGGATTGTCCATTGCCAGATTTGATTGTTTGGGTACGTTAACCATGGGTTACCCCAAGAAGATCCCATGGTTGATTCGATCTTTTTATGGGGACTTTCAGTTTTTACCGGGTGTCGAAGACTTGGTACAGCTGTATCATTTGATGGCCATACTATGTCCAGGTATATGTCCCATCCTGAAACAAATCCATACATGGGAATATGATGGAATATGGCACATCTTGGTGGCAAAACAAATGTCGCAACATCACACTATTTATAGCGCGTCTGAGGCACTACAAGAGCCGTGAAGCAGAGGCACCGCTTTTTTCATTCTTTGGTGCATGAAATTGATATTTCAATAGGGTGTAACCCAGCAAAAAGAACAAAAGCCAGGATTTCACCAAGAAGAATGAGGATTTGATCCTGTTAATCCATTCATCCTATGTTGACCAATCATATTTGATTTGGGGATGGGTCATCCATTCAATCTGGCGAGATCTCAGGGACCAAACCAGGCCGATTGGTTGATTGTTATATGGATTATACTGTTGTACTAGTTATACTATGTTATGGTTGATGATCCCAATCATTGTTGATAGTATACCCCCAACTATTCAATATTATAACATATAACATCATATAACATATTGGTTCATTATTATCCCCACTATTATATGTTATATTATGGGAAACAGATGATTATTATCCCCAATATTATATATTGTGGTTTTATCATTATCCCCAATATTCAATATTATATGGGTCATTATCCCCAATATCCCCAATATTGATGATGATTTCAACATGGGGAAGATCACAGCGAATGCGAAAATCAGGCCAGCGCCCGTCGTCAGCAGCTGGATCGGGATTTGGCGCACATTCGCGTGGAGACTTAACGAATGATCTCCTCAGCATCAGAAAGAGGGATTGAACCAGCAACAATGGGAGAATTTAATTGTGATATATGAATATCTTTGATATAATGTGATATATGTATATATATATATATATGTAATATATATAATATATATATATAATATATAATATATATATAAAGAAATGATACATATGTATATTACGTATATATATATGTATTCACATATACATATCCATATCCTTGAATCTAGCATCAATTTGTTTAGTACTGTCCTGGCCATCATTTTAGGGGACCATTGACATTTAAGGGAGGTATTTACTATTGAGAGGGGCTTGTTGCCGCGGGAAAGTATGCTTTCCTCATGTTCTTGTATCCTTTGGGAAATGGTCATGATCAAAGATTATGTTTAAAGGGGGAGGCCTGACCCAGAGAAGAACACATATTCAGCTGCAAAATGCACTCCTCTAGAACAATGGTAGCCATTAGGTTCAAAATGTGGCAAATTCCAAAAATAAATTCCACCTGAGAAGAGAAAACATGATATATCTCCACTTTGAAGCATTAGGTACAACAGAATATGTATGTGACATAAAATGCAAAATTACAGTGGAGAAGTTGAGGTCATGTACTTATCGTAAACAATAGTGATCCTTCTTTTTGTGTGGCACATATCATGAAAATCAGAAATATACTGTATGTGTTTTGAAACCTGGGGATACACTACTGTAATGTTTCCGTATGATTGTGGTACAATACCACATTCTTTTGAAAGAAATGAGTAATCTTTGAAAGCACAACCTCAATTCATCTACAAAGCGTATTTCAGTTAGAAAAGTAAGGAAACTCCCTGGTGTTTTCAAACAGGTTGTGGATATGTTGAATAGATTGGTTACCCTTGATGCAGTGCCACCAGGATATTCAAGCAAAAATCTGCCCTGCCATGGTGCAGCCTGTCACAATTAATCTCATATTCTAATTGATTGTGGAAGAACATGTAATGTTAAATGAACAAGACTTGTAGTTTATTAGTTTGAGTTGCACAGCACAGCGATTGTCCAAAGAGGAATACATAACCTATCCCATTTATTACGTCTTGCACCTGTGCTACATTTCCAGCAAGTAATGCTCTGGAGAGATGATATTCTTCAAAGAAGAACACTTTTCCTATGCAGCATCCCCTTCTTTCAAAAAGATAAGTTTTCACTTAAAAGCTGGGTGATTGCTATGAGCTAGCGCAGAAGTTTTTTGGAAAAAAACTCCTTTGAATGCCCTTGAAGGTTGTTTTTTGAAAAAAACACTAGCTCTCTAGAATATGCAGTGTATTTAAAGTGCAATATTCCTGTCTCCCTTTTTTATAATGGAACTATTTCCTCGACCAGATACACTTTCCATAAATCAATGTTTGACTTAAAGTTGCATTCATTTGTTTAAACAACAGAAACACTATTGTTGCAGAATATGACGTGTATATGGTTGTAGATTATGACATCTGTCTATTAAAGAAGTTACACCCCCTTGAAAATTCAGCTTTTATCTATGTTTGAAGGTAACACCATTTCTTTCAAGGATACGAATGTCACACTTCTTTCAAAAAAAACAGCTATCTCGTATTTGGCAAGTAGCACCATTTACAGTATTTGAAAAGTCCTTGTCCTTTCCTTGGAAATGCATCACATTCATGTGAAGGAAAGTCATTGTCTCAGTTGTCCTTTATGTTTGAAAATAACACCATTTCTTCGAAATGAATGTGATACTGCTTTTAAAGACGCCCAATGCCCAATTGCTATTTGGAAAGGACCACCAATGAATGAAAGGACATGTTTCACTCACAAGATTGCGCATCCCCACAGGCTTCATCCCTTCAAAAGTTGCACATCCCCAACACTGCGCATGTTTATCCCACAAACATTTTTTAAAGTCATGGTTTGTAAAGGATACATTTGATAAACACATGATGCCTTAGAAGCAAGATGAATCAGATTTGGCTTGGTTTGATCCGGATTATATAATCTGGATTAATCCTGGAGATCAAACATATTTAAAAAAAAAAAACACTGTTTTCCAGACTAGTCTGAACATGGTTCGATCCAAGTAGTTCCCAACACATTTTTTTTGTTGGGTGCTTTTTGGTCAAGGGTGCCTTAGTGACAACGCAAAACCTCCGGGAAAAATAGGTTTGTTGACAGCGCGAAACAACCACTTTTATCCCAAATACACAATAAATATATACACACATTTGGTGATTTTAGCATTGGCAACAAGCCTTTCTGTTACTATTAGGGGAAAGGGATTACTTGAATCTATTGCCGTCATATATCTGGATAATATACAGTAATACGCAGGAAATCTAAGATTAGCCATCTCGACAGGGTGACAATCTGGTGTATTCATGGATCTACACCGAAGAAACATGCACAACTTGAGTTGTTCAATCTTAGACTATTCTTTAAGATGTTTGCTGCTCAAATTGTTCTTTGTATATCCTTTGGGAATCCAACCTCGTACTGGACACCTCCCATTTTTTAATGCAATATATGATTATGTATATATATATGTTGAGAGTTATATATATAGTGATATATATATAGTGATATATATATAGTGATATATATATAGTGATATATATATATAGTGAGATATATATATATATAAGATATATATATAGTGATATATATATATATAAGTTATATGTATATATAGTTATATATATAGTGATATTCATAGATAGTGATATATATATATAGTGATATATATATAGTGATATATATATAGTGATATATATAGTGATATATATATAGTGATATATATATAGTTATCTATATATATAGTGATATATATATATTACATGATACTATAATATATTATAGTATATTATAGTATATGACTATATCGTATGTATTATATATACATAATGACATTATACATAGTGATATATATATCATATATAGTGATATATATATATATCTTACATATAGTATATATATATATACATATATTATAGTATTTATATGGTCATTGGTTGTATACAACCAAAGGGTATCTCGTAAAGCAATCGGGTTGTCAGGATGATGCTGAGGCCACTTCTGGGAGCCAACGGCAAAAAGCCAGGGTTCTTCTTCTAAGCCACAGAAGAGCTGAAAAGACCCAGAAAATCACCCATTTTTAGTGGAAACAAATTGTCCAACCCCGATGAATGGCGGGGTCGAACTGTTAGTTTACTGGAGGAGTAAACCTCAAAAGCGTAGATAACCAGCGGAGATATTGCGATTGCTGAAGTATCGTACTTCCTAGAGAATGATGGGCAAGGGGGGATATAATCGTGAGATCAAAATATCATGGGCACCTAGACCCTCAATTTACCCATAGAAATTGGTCTGTGCCTTTGCATTTTTTTGATGGATCACCGAAGTCACGGAGGGTAAAGGGAAAAAAACACAGCCACAAGAAGGGCTCCTCTTTCTTTCAACCCCCCAAAAAAAGGAGGGTTGAATTGATAAGATTTCTTGTTGTCACTGCAGACACATGATTTCATCGGGTGGGCCCATCATCGAAAGGTTGCGATGGTTTTGGTGGATTCCAGACAATTTGAAACAAACGGCAACGGCAACGGCAACGGCATCTATTTGTTTTTTGGAACCATCACATATTGTATGGAGGTTCCTAAAATGGGACCTCAAAATCCCAAACACTGTCATTTTGAGTAGCGAAATAACTGGTTTGCGGCAACCCAAATTTATGAAACCTCCATACATATGTTAAAACACATTCCGAAAAAACAACGGTCCAGTGGTGCGTCAAGACGCGCCTGAAATGCTGCCAAGTGACGTCATGTTCTATTTTCTATGGTTTTGGCGGTGTTTTTGTGTTTTTTTCATCTGCTTGTGTCATGTCATTTCATGTTTGTTTTTTTAAAATTTTGAGCGAAATTTCCATGGCACCACAGTTTCGCGCATGTCGCACGGGGCTACAGCGAAATGCATCTTTTTAAATGTTGGTGGTAGTTTCGCTACAGTGAAATGGCATTTTTTACCCACATAATTTACTTTTTTTTGACTTGGATTTTTCACATAGCAGTTACATCATGTTGCACGGGGCTACAGCGAAATGAAGGTTTTTAGTCTTTTTCGTGTTTTCGTTACAGCGAGGTGCACCTTTTTTGATGTATGGTATGGTTGATTCTAGTTTCATAAACAATGAGTTGTGTGTGTGTGTGTCTGTTTGAATGTGTTTTCAGCTGAATACGGCATTTGAGCGCATTAGAAGATCTATAGAGCGTAGCATCATGAGCGTGTCGAGGATTGCAAGAGAAGATCTATATAGTAGCGTCATGATCATCGGGAGCGTGTCGAGGATTGCAAGAGAAGATCTATAGAGCGTAACATCGGGAGCGTGTCGAGGATTGCAAGAGAAGATCTATAGAGCGTAGCATCATGAGCGTGTCGAGGATTGCAAGAGAAGATCTATAGAGCGTAACATCGGGAGCGTGTCGAGGATTGCAAGAGAAGATCTATAGAGCGTAACATCGGGAGCGTGTCGAGGATTGCAAGAGAAGATTTATAGAGCGTAACATCGGGAGCGTGTCGAGGATTGCAAGAGAAGATATAGAGCGTAACATCGGGAGCGTGTCGAGGATTGCAAGAGAAGATTTATAGAGCGTAACATCGGGAGCGTGTCGAGGATTGCAAGAGAAGATCTATAGAGCGTAACATCGAGAGCGTGTCGAGGATTGCAAGAGAAGACCTATAGAGCGTAACATCGGGAGCGTGTCGAGGATTGCAAGAGAAGATCTATAGAGCGTAACATCGGGAGCGTGTCGAAACGAAGATGCAACAGGAAGAAGGCGACAGAACGCTATTAAGCCCCCCCACCCCCACCCCCAACCCCCACCCAACCCGTCGATCCGCGGGACAGGTGTGGAGAAAAATGCACATAAACGCGCACTGCCAAGCAGAAAAGCAAAGCATAAAACGCGTCGTGACGTACGACTGGGGCCAAAAACAAATAGATGCTGATGCTGAGATTTGCTATGACATGCTATCAGACAAAACATATATACCCTGGTGCAAAGTAACATAGATGTGGAAAGAAAAAACTGGTTTCCCCGGGGAAATAAATCTACACCTGGTGGGCTTTCCAGATCGAAGTGTTAGTTTACAGCTTAGCTAGGCCCCCTGGGCCAGACTCCCGTTGGTTCAGATACCCGACCATTTTTTTGACTCCGTCCAAGGCCGAGAGTGTGAACGCGCACAGTCGCATCGTCCCTTGCCTTTTATGAATATTGACTTGGGGCTCACCCCCAAAAAGCGATAAAGTGCTATTTGGCTATTCAACGGGTGCCCTAAAACTGAATCCTTAGCCTGGTCCCGAATATGGTGTTATACAACATGATTCTCTATGATTGATATGGAAATGCAACGTTTGTTTACCAGACAGTGCGAAATACAGTGCGATTGCGATGCACCATGACATCCGAATTTGAGTTGTCGTGTATATATATATATTATGAGATGTTGGCCTGTAATTTGATTTTTTTTTCTGTGCCATCTGCCGTCATTTGAGACGAACTCAGTACTGTATTTGTTGGCGAGATATCCCCGTTTCAGAGGTCACAGCATGAGACCGAAAGGGGATGAGTAGCCTGGTGAAAACGCATCAAAATAGTTGTTGTTTAATGTCGGATCCTGATCAGTGTAGGCCCCCCTCCAAACAACTTCAGGTTTCACTTTAATGTGATTTTTTTTAGGGACCGGGGTTGAATAATATTGGATCAATTGATTTCAATTGCTTTTCAATTGATTTCAATTCACTTTCAATTGATTTCAATTTATTTCAAATTCTCATAGAAATCCAATGGAAATCCATAGGCATTCTATTGAAACCCCACAGTAATCCCATAGAAATACAATGGACATCTAAAAGAAATATCATTAAAATCCCATAGGAATCCCAAAGAAATCCCATAGACATATCATAGAAACCCCACAGAAATCCCATAGGAATCCAATGGTAATCCCATAGACATCTCTTTGAAATCCCTTAGAAATTCTAAAGAACCCCCATGGAAATCCCATAGTAATCCCATAGAAATATCATAGAAATATCATGGAAATCCCACAGGAATCCAATAGAAATCCCATAGACATATCATAGAAACCCCACAGAAATCCCATAGGAATCCAATGGCAATCCCATAGACATCTCTTTGAAATCCCTTAGAAATTCTAAAGAACCCCCATGGAAATCCCATAGTAATCCCATAGAAATATCATAGAAATATCATGGAAATCCCACAGGAATCCAATAGAAATCCATAGTAATACCATAGAGCTATAAGAGAAATCCAAAAGAAATATCATGGGAAATCCCATAGGAATCCCAAAGAAATCCCATAGAAATATCATGGAAATACCATAGAAATCCTTTTCAAGTCCCATAGTAAACTCATAGAAATATCATAGGAACTCAATATCATAGGAACTCAATAGAAATATCATGGAAATCCCAAAGAAATCCCATAGAAATATCATAGACATGCCATAGAAATCCCATAGGAATCCAATGGAAATCCCATAGACATCCGTTTGAGGCCCCTTAGGAATCCCATAGAAATACCATAGACATCCCTTTAGAAACGCCATAGAAAATCCATAGAATTCCCATAGATTTTGTTTTTTTTTGTTGAACTCCCATAGTAAAAATCAAGGAGAGGATGCCAGGATACATTGAACTAAGTAAGAGACAAAAGCCATAGCAAAGGAAAGGAGAAGCGGCTTTTGGCACATGTTCGCTTCAAAAAACAGTTGGACACAATAGAGGAACCCCACAACAAACATACTATTGAAGATCACGCTGGCTCATGGGCCCCTTGAAAAATTGTTTGGGTGCTTTTTTTTAATGGTGTTTTAATAAGGCATCCTATATTGTGGGAAATTAGACATTTTGAAAATTCCAAAAGAATGGAGCTAAGAAAGTGCACACTGGGTCAGAATTATTTTGGGAGAACTTGACACAATACAGTATCCCACACTAATCGGGGTACAACATAATCATGGGTGTTCATTCACAGATTCATATGAACATACAAATAAAGATGAATAATACACTAGTAATAGTAGTAGTAGTAGTAATAATAATGATAATAGTAATAATATATAGATAGTGTTGGTATAGTTGTGACTGTTAAACCATAAATGAAAGTGCTTTAACGCTTAAAATAGAGCTGAGGAAATGAGATTCTCACGAAGTTGAAGGCGGATCTGATTAACGTCAAGGCGCCGTCAGTTGTCGTTCTGCATAGAAAAACAATGGGACTTATTTAGGGGATTTAAACGGTATATTTTTGGATATATTTGGGGGGTTCTAAAGTCATGGGAATTTAGATGGGGACTTATCCAGGGAAAACAGGGACTTAACAATTAATAAGATATGGAATAATGAAGATGCTATTTGAGTATGTCTGAAGATGGTTTGGATCCCCATGGCACTATGGTTGTTTCACCTTGTTTCAGGGACAGTATCATTTGATGGGAAAAAAACATAGCCATGGCCGTGTTTCCTGTGGAGTTTCCCCAGCGCCCTGTGGAGTTTCGCTCGCAACTTGCCGCAGGATACGAAGAGCGACAAGAGCAGCGCCTTAAAGACGCGCCTGAAATCATGGGAAAGAGCTACCCTCTGGTAAACATACAAAAAAACCATTGAACATGGCCATTTATAGTGAGTTTTCCCATTAAACATGGTGATTTTCCATAGTTATGTTAGTTTATCAGAGGGTACTATCTAAATTATTCTAAATGATTCTAAATGGAGGTTTCCTAAGTGGGGGATTCCCAGTCGTCACCATAGGTTTCAGTCATGGTTTCAATATGAAGTCATGGTTATCCATGACGACTGGATGATTTGGGGGTACATATGATGATTCTCTTCCCCCTCATCCCCCGCAATATCGGCACCCAAAACGAGTCTATTCAATGCTTAGCCAGGGCAAAGGGGGGATTCAAGATGTGGGAGAAGTGATTGCTATGGGCCCTCTGGGCCCTTTTATGACCCAGCGGGATCTGAGTGGGATGGTACTGAAGAGTTTGAGTGTCCGGTCTAACCCAGATGGAATCAGATTTTCATAGGAGCTTTTGTGGTTCCTGCCATTTCCCACCTTTGACCATACACTCACATTGGATATAATCTACTTCTAGACTGGCTTTAATTAAAGATTCCTGAGAAATTGTCATTTTAAAACAAGAAATATTTGATGATATGTGTAGTTTCAAGTCTGAGAGTTTCCATCTCCATTTTTTTAAATAGAGTTATCTGAAATCCCAATCGCCAGATTTTTTCAGAAACCGGCTTGGATTTTCCTGTAGGACTAATATCCCATCCAATCTGAAAAATCTCAATGAAACCTTGGAGACCCATTGACCAGCGCCTCCAGGAATAAATATGACCAAAGAATGAAAGAGCATCAAGAGGCGTTTGGCCTCCCCAGACGATGACGACTGATATGACTGGGACCAGTCATGGTGGTCTTTCAAAGCCCACCAGTTCCAATCCTTCACCCAGTTCGTAACCAGCTCATGGCTGCAGGAGACTAGTTCACCCGTATACTCCACAAAGATCACAGAGCTTATTTAGATCCTTTAGGACATAAGGAGGATCCTGTAATATCGTAAGTGGTTCGTAAAATGGGCTTAGTTCACCCAGATCACCAAGTAACCAAGGCTGTTCAGTTACGATGCTGCCAGCTGTGAATCATCACCCAAGGTTCGAGTCCAAACGTGAAGAACTGCAGAAGAAGATCAACACCTTGTTAGACACCGGGCCGGAGTAGCGGGGTATAGCTGGTTATATGGGGGTGGGTCAAAACCTATTAATACAATTTTTAGGGGGATGAACATCCATTTACCAGCTATTTTGGGGTTCACTAGGTACCAGGGTTTTGACCAATAGCCATATCTTGTTTATTTTTGAGATGATCCCAAAGTTGTTCAATCTTGGAGTCTTCGGAAACTTTGTTGAGGTGGTTTTTTGGCCACGTTCCCCAAGTCCGGAGGGTTGTTTCCACCCTCAGATCCTTCTATGGTACTGGCATGTACTGGTACAATATTTGCACTATTGCCCTCATTCACGGAGTGCTGTCCCTTGCTTCACTTTGCCATGTGGAATATGCGGAAAACACAGCAAGAATCCTGTTGACTTCCAGAAATCCTTCTGTACTTACCTATACAGTAGAGTCTAAGCCCAATAAACTGCTAGTTCTCCTCAGATCTCAGCTATTGAATCTGTAGTTCCCTTTGCATCGAAGATCGGGCTGTTTTCGGCTGGCTTTTCGGTGGTGATATGTCTCGATGAGGTGCCCTGACAGCTTCAGCGCTGATCAGTCTTGATCAGTTATAATCCCATTTATGGAATGATAAGATGGCCCCCATTTAGAACCATATAACTGATAACTATATATATATATAACTATAACTATAACTTGTATATAACTGGTATATAACTGGCTTCAACTGTATGATGGTTGGACCATTTTTGGTTTCCCCCCCTTTTCAAACACATCCAGCAGTGGCCTCACAGCCAGCCCATGAATGCTGCAGAGCTTAGGAGTCGAATAAGAAGTCTGGGCCTAAGATGGGTAGCTTCGAGGCAGCCATCATTGGCTACAGTCGAAGCAGTTCTCTTAATGGGCTCGTTGGATGTTGTTACCCTCTGGTTATGACTAACATAGCCATGGTTTAGATGGCCCATAGAAATAGATGGTTTACCTATTAATCGCATGGTGATTTTCCATGGCTATGTTAAATAACCAGATGTTGTTAGTATGACCACAACATTCCAATGCCTCCCTTCGTTATCTTCGTTGTTGTGTGGCCCATGAGGATGGCTTTTTGTTGTGCCGGCGGCTGGTTGGTAATTTTCAGATTCATCGGATCGGCGTCTAAAACCTTGGGGAAATGACTGGAAATCGTGGACATGGCAGGTGTTGGATGATTCATGTTTTTTAATTTTTCTTCCTGACTTGAAAACAACAACATCGGGTAGATCAGGCCAATCCTATGGTAGTATGGAATTCAACAGTTGGGCCATGGCCTGTAGATTGCGGTAGTATATTGAAGAATCCACTAAGTGGGAACTCAATTTAAGGCTCCATCTTAAACTTGTGGGCTGCAATCATCATGCTTAGCATTCTTGATGGTTGAATTCCCAATTATGAAATATGCATTTTGGATGGCTAGATCACTAGATCTTTTAATTTTGACAGTAACATCACTATTTTAGATCATGTTCTGATGATTAAATCCACATTTCTGATTGTTGAACTTTCTTTTGGTGGTGAAATCATATGAAATCCGCATTCGGACGATGGTTTACTCTTGGCGAGGCTTAAGAACCAATCCCTGGACGAAGAGATGGATCAGATTCGAAAGGTGCGGAGCTGTCGGGTCTCAGACAACATCAAAACAGGGAAACTAAAATAGAAAAAACACAGGGAACAATCTATGTTTTACAATAGTATTATTTAGTGCTATCTTTTTTTTTGGTAGCTATCTATTGACAATAGTATTATTTAGTGCTATCTATTTACAATGATTTGGATGTTTACAATCAATGTTCTCCAGATTTCTTGAACTCAAATGAGAGTGTATCCAATCCCCAAAAAAGTCTATGCACCTATCCACTTTCTAAGACCAGGGAGACCCAAAATTGCGAGGAATGTGCACTGAAACAAGAAATATCGTGTATCGTCGATGGGACTCTTTGAGTCCAGCAAAAATCATTGGTTCCTGGTTAGACATAGACATATATTATCTGGATAAACTATAACAACCTCGCTGCGTGGAAAGGATGATATGGTCACAGGGTTCCTGTGTGGAAATTGCCTGGATTTTCAGGATAATTCAGTTTGGTGAATTATCAATATGATCATCATTTGTCCACAGATTATACAGAATCCATAGTTTGATATAGCTTGATATAGCTTGATATATTTGCTTCTGTTGGTGGCTGATCCTCCGTGTCACAAGGCCAAACGTTATGAGATGGACGTGGACGGTGTTTGGAGCCTCAGCCGCGAGCTGTTGCTTTTTACTGGGAAAAGTGACTGGTGAAGGTTAAAGCAAGGTAATATACATATCCCCAATCAAAGAATCAAATTTATCTTACATTTTGAACGCGTCATGTATTCACTGACTCATCATATAGATTATGTTAGGTTACATGAGCTTGGTTCCCATTCTTGTTCAATCAATGACCCTGTATCGCAGTAATATATGTATATATATATACATACAGAACTTGCATATAGTTATATATATACATATATATATACTTACATATATACTTACATATATACTTACATATATACTTATGTAGTTATATTTGATTATATATATTTATAACTTTATAACAATATATAGTTTTATCTAATTATATATAGTTGTATATAGTTTTATCTAATTATATATATAGTTATTTATCTATATATGTACACTATCAGAATTGATATGATCATGCCTATGATGTTGCATGTTTTAGAAATGTCACTGCAGGTGATTACGCGCTACGACTCGGACGTCAAGGACCTGGCGAAGAACTACAGCCTGGGCAGCCCAGTCATTGTCCTGGTGGCTGCTGGTGGTTAATCTAAGAAATAGTCGTTAGAAATTCATTAATGTTATATGTTATATATAACCGTTAGTAATTTCATTAGTCATATAAATGTCATATATATATATATATCTTGAGAGGCCCGTGATCGGGTCACCTTCATGGGGACCATGAAGCAACATATTTAACCAGGTGGGAACCAACAAGAAATGTTGTGATTAGCAAAGAACCACAAAAAAATGGATTATACGTATAATTGATGACTTTATTACCATTGTCAACATTGAGTACTGGGAAATTTGGCCAGCAAGATTTAGATTGACCAATCAATTTGTTTTGCATTTCATACACGAATGATGATCCGCAGGATCAATGTATGCTTGATATGTTTTGGATGGGTTGAAACCACGAGCCAGAAAAGGAATCCTGGAGGGTAGCTGTTGAACCAACCAACTGAGATGGAGAGTTAACCAAAAACCATTTAGATCTCACCAATTTGAGTTGTCTAGGGTTGACAAGGCATGCTGAGACTGATGATCCACTTCACCTGCCAATCCATTCATCATTTTTTTCTGACTTACAGTGGTATGGTGAACGAAAACTTTGAGTGTCCACCAGAAAGTGTCCACCAGAACTTGGGATATCAATGGGCCCAGAAATTTCGAGTTGATTCCCATTTGAGTAGTGTTTTTCTTCTTCTGGATGCAGAAAAGTAGATAAAGTGGGAACTCCACAAGACATATTATGCCCCAGGCGGAGGCTCCCATGCAGACGACGTAGGTTGCGTAGGCATTGGCGTAGGCTCGTTTTAGCCTACACCGCATAGGCTTTGTGTAGACACTCGCTGGCAACAGTTAGAACTCATTTATTAGTTGGATATTTGTTGTGGCTTGTGGTTCCAAAGCCTCATTCCACAATTGAAAACACAAAAACCATGGTCGCGTAGGCAAAGCCTACACCGCGTTGGCTCGCGTAGGCACCCCTTAAAAACCATACCCCGCGTAGGCTACCTCATGCAATGGCGTAGGCCCGGCGCAGACACTTGCGTAGGCTATATGTTACTGGTCATCGAAAAACCAGGATACAAAACACAACTCATTTGTCCCATTTGTCCATATGGGCGTCCCGAACATAGGCCAGCACCAAGCCGAGCCTTGATTTTCGAGGTGAAAATGCGGAGCACTTGAAGAAGGAGCAGCAGGGATGGCTGGGAACGTGTTTTTTACAGAAGGTGTATGTGTGTGTATCTGAAAATGGGGGGTTTACCAGCAAAAAAGTATGTTTAATGGTAAAAGTGCTGATAAACCTCAGATGCCAGATGACCTACTCTCGCGGCCTCTCTCGGTTGGGTGTTTATGGGTAGATCTTTGGAAGGCTCACAGGTCAATTGCTGCCCATGATTCGGGAAATGTAAGGCCTTGCTGGAAATAGTTCTCATTTGTTGGATATCTTAGAATGTCAATGGTTTTAGTCTTAGTGGTCAAGACTCTGCATCGCTAGAGTTTGAAGAGATAAACAAAAAACAGGGTCATCCTATCAATAGACCCCCTCCAAGTTGGCATACTTTATTCAATGGATTGGTAAAAAGGGGACAATTTATAGTATCCCCCTATATTTCATAGGGAAAATCCATGGTTTCCTGCGGATTTTCCCTTAAACCAAGCCATCAGTTATGTGGAGCCCATCTGGAGCCCCGAAGTTCTCAAGGAGCAACGGCAACTGAACGACCTCCGCGAACACTTCCAGAAGGCTGGATGAGATGCACTTAATGGATCTTAATGATAGATATTAGTAATAGACTGGATAACACTTATATAATAATATATATATATATCATAGTTGCTTGTCTATCTATTGTATCTCTCAGACTATCTGTCTATGAATCTCTCTGTAACTGCCTGCCTGTCTGTCCACCTGCGCGGGCTGTCAGGTGGAAGAAGAAAACATGGCCATTATGAAGGAGGAGGCCGCGGCAATTCGCTTTAAACATATCGAAACACCAGGCCTTTTGGCCTCCAAAATGATGATTTTTCTGTACTGATGAATCCTGATGTTGTGAATCGGGCCGAAAGTTGAGGCAAGTCCTTGGTGCAAACAAAACCGGTACTTCCATCGTTGAGAACATCATATGTTCTCTTTACCAAAAAAAAACTACTTTGGGGTATCATGCCGATGTTTTTGGACGCATATCATGAAACATCCGCTAATTTTGGTGCACGTGGTCATTTTTTACAACATGCCACAACTATGTTTATTGGGCTGGGGGCTTGGGCCTGTTCTGTTGGGGCACCACCATCCAGTCCGAGGAGTCGAGGCCCAAGCGTATAGAGAAATGTGTGAATCAAAAAGTGTGATGAAGCGAACATCTACTTCCTATAATTATGATAAGTGGACATGGAACTATAGAGAATATTTTCTGTACAGTTTGTTTGTTTCAATAGGACCTGCGATTTTTGATGTTTCTTTTTTCCTGATGCGAAGAAGCCAGGGTTTTCGATATTTGACCCAAGTCCAGGCACAGCACATTCCCCAGAGATTCTTTCGGAACCATGGCCATGTCGATGGAAAAAGCGACCTCCATGAAGCAGACATCATTGTGGGAGAGGAGGATCGAGAGTCGAGCATTCGGCAGCTCTGACCGACCGTGAGAAATTCTGGGGGCAGATCAACAGCAATAGAATCGGGATAACAAGAGATTCAACAAGCAATAACGATCATGGTTTGGAGGGGATCAATGATCCAATGAAGTCCGCAACTGTTGGAGGAGATTGAGTCTTCAGCGTTTGTTTGTGGGAATTTTGTGGTGGTCCACATGATTTCCAGGGTCCGGGCGCCGGGGATATGAATGATATGCTTGGGACTCTTTGTCAAGGTAGAACATTCTTCATATTTTAAAAAAGGTCATAGCCCAGTTTTGAACCCCCACTTCCTGAACATTGCCGTCTCAGTCGCCCCAAAAAGCTCCGTTTCAAAGTCACAACTGTCACCCCAAGAAGTCCTAATATGGCTTTACAGAAATCTGCTACCCTCTGGTAATTTAACATAACTATGGAAAATCACCATTTTTCATGGGAAAATCCACTATAAATGGTCATATTGAGTCATATTCAATAGCTATTTTGACATAACCAGAGGGTAAATTTTGGGGAAAGCCACATCTCATGGTTCATCCTGCCGCCAACAGGAGATCCAAGACTGGTCCCACGGTGGCCGCACCACGGGAGAAGTTGGACTCTTTGGATTTGGACTCCGCCGCTCGGCGACCAGGCTTTGGGTTCAACCAAATTTCTTGGGAAAACCATAGGAAAACCATAGGGAAACCATAGGAAACCATTAAAACCATAGGGAAAACCATTAAAACCACGGTGAAACCAGCACAACTCCGGTCCCCCAATCAATTTTGGAACTATTTGTTTGGGGGCAGCAAGTGCTCCAATGTCTCCACAGATCGGAATCGTGGTAACTCACAGGCATTTTCCACGGTTAGGGCCCTCAATTGGGCATGGTTTTGGATCTAACCCTGATGCTTATCCATTTGCATAGGGGGTCGCCCAGATTACTCCCCTAATTTATGAACACGCTAGTTTACACCTTTTTTCATTTTTTTTACGGATGAGGTAGCTCATGGTAGCTCAAATTTCTATTATAGTATGATTATAGACATAGACATCATCTTTGTATATCTTTGTTGTTTTTTCTCCACTACTGTATTTAATAGCAATTTCACGGGCCCATACCTGCCATACCAGGCCATACCCCATTTTGGACAAACCCATTACCCTCGATTGCTGGTTAAATCAAGTTCTACCCCATCATTTAGTGGCTAAGAAAGCATTCAATTTTCTTACCACCCTGCAACTACCTAGATAATCTCCCCATACTTCTGGCCAATGATATTCAACTATAACATATATCTTTGAAATATCTATATCATTCTATATCATTCTATATCTATATATATAAACTATATCAATATAGATCAATATAGCAATATCTTAAAACAACTTGAAATGCTTGGAATTCTTCGCTTCGAGGTCAAGTTGGAAAGCTGCTCTTTGGCAATGGGATGGGGCCGACAGATCTCAGTGAACGTACAAGCGCCCCTCGGTGGATTCGGTGCTTGGGTCCCCTGGGTCCCTGTGGCGCTTGTACGTTCCCTGTTTGTTGTTTGCAAAAAACAGCACTGAAAAAGATTGAAAACAGCACTGAATGCTCAAAAGATACATGGAAGCTGTTCTATCTTTTTGGGGGTTACTGTACTATGGGTTACTATAAATGGAGGAATATTGTCACCAGCGAGATTTTAAACATACAAACATGATGTTGTTTGCCTGGTTGTTTAGGGCCGACCATCAACCAAGGGTTGATGTTTAGCCGCAAATAGGTGAAGAAATACATGAACATATTCACACAAATGTTGAGGTTGGCCCCATCCGTCAACTTTGGGGTGTTGACTCCTGTCAGAGGTTCGATAAATTGCCATGGCAACGTAAAATGGGTTTCTTTTTGGAACCTCGAGTTCGTGGGACATTTTTTTCGGGATCCGAAACTGAAACCATGCCATTTCTGCAGTTTCTGGGGTCAGTTTTGAGTCATATGGGACCTGTCAGTGAAGTGTATGCAGTCGCTGGAATCTAGGTCGTGGTTTTCCGAAATCTTAGGATTCATCGTGCCATGCGAAAGGAACACGCAAACTTGGTTTCCCTCCTGGCTGATCACGCCACTTTTTACTTGTTGGACCTCCCCCCCAACAGTAAGAAACCAATATTGTTGCGCACTCATCTGAAAATTTCCGCTACGGTACCATACGGTACCATAGTACCAGATATCCAGATTTTGTTTCTGGGCAGGAAAAACACACGCACACATCAAGCTAAAAAAACATGTGCTACAGGAAAGTCGTCTTCCAAACTGATGTCCATCCTCAATGGGGGGCTCAACCAGACAGTCACGGGTCCATGACCGATTTTCAGGAGCATTGGCAACTACACTCTTGAGGACCAACCCTTGGGCTGCGGTACGTTTCTGTTGGAGTTATAGTTTTGATGTTTTGGGCAATCCCTTCTTCCACAGGTTGTCGCATAATTTTGGGACACCTGAATTCGCTGGTTGAGAAAAGCATGTCCCATGCAATCCCGATATTTTCCCGTTTCGGGGGGAATGTGTCTCGAGAATACCCCAAGTTGCAATCAATGCTTACATTGAAATACATTGAATATATGGTTTATGGATGTTTATATATGTTTATGGTTTTAGGCTTCACCGAGTGCTGCACCAACGTGAGAGAAAGACTCCTCATCGCAAGTTCCAGAAGATCAGCCGTAAGTTAGTCCTTATTTGACTGTTTCATGAAATTGACAACCCAAACTATGGTAAATTTTCAACAACCTTAGTTCGACACTGTCCTTGAATTGGTGATATGGTAAAATTACACAAAATCTCTCTGTTTCATGGGAATCGTGGCTTTCCTATGGATTTCTCTTTTGGGTTGCCATTACGTGAAGTACAACGACATCACCATGATGGTTAGTCAAGGCATTCCAGAGAACCCTGTATTAGAATGTATTTGACATTGGTCATAAATCCCATTGTGTCCAATTATATTCACATATTCACCATATTACTGTATATAACATATTATATATAACTATAACTATATTATCACCACTAAAAACACTGGTTCTCCCATTTTTTTGTGTCGAAAATGCAACCCCGGGCCACCTTGTTTAGGCCACGCCCCGCCGTGTGCCGGGACCAGGAGTGCTTGGGTCAGGGCGCGTGTAGCAGCGTCTACCGAGGCCGACAAGGAGACAAGGAGGTAGCCCTGAAGCGCCGTGGAGAACGGATAGAACGGGGTGGGTGGAGACCTCTGGTGAGGATTGATGGGAATGTCATGGGATGAGTACTGTACAAAGATATATATATATTATATTATATATATGTTATATATATAATATATACATATTATATACTATATATATATATTATATATATATTGAATATATACTGTCACCAACATTGATATGAGATTTGGAGATTTGGGTGTGTCTGAACATGGAGTATCCTTCCCAAATTATGATCATTCTAAGAGGGATGATGATGAATCAATGGAATCAGTGGTACAGTACCTTTTCAGACTGACAAACCCTAAATGGAAAATCATGGATATCTAATCATGTATGGAAAATCAAGTGATATCATAGGATTGACTGAGGACTCTAACCACGAAACATGGCTAAGTAATGGCCAAATCATGATATAGTGGGTGGGATATATGGTGGTAGTTCATGGCCATTTAACGAGACTTGACCAGCGATCGATTGGCTCGGGCATTCTACTACCCGATATTGGGAATGATCATCATCCGTGAAATGGGAATCCTGCTCTTAATCCAAAGGATATATACAGATGTGTTACGTGAGGTGTTTTTTTTTGAGATAGAATAGATATGGGGTGAATGGATTAATTAGGATGTGTGTGTATCTACATATATATATATTATACAGTGTGTATATATATATATATAACCAATATGACCTGTATGATAATCAGCAGTTTTGTGACTACTTGGGGATATGATAGGTGTATATAACATCAGGGATATAAATGATATTACTGGCTTATTTTAAGGGCATAAGATAAATATGTAAATACAACCAATATCATATTGGTATATGTGGTATATAGTATATGATATGTGGATAAAATTGCCCCGGGCCCAAAAGAATCCCACTAGAAAGCTAGAACAATCAATTCCTTCTGACATAAGTGGCAAGTTGACCCATTTCTCTATTTTCTTTTTCGTGGATGCTGTATGTTACAATGTCGAAGTATGTAAAGCTCGGTGTCACATGCAAACATTGCTATTGTCTCATGATGTTCAAGGCACTTCTATATGCTCTTACATGATGTTTACCAATCTTCATGGATCTTTCTAGGTATTTTGAGGGCCAAGGTAGCCGTGTAAACTCCAGAGACGAACGTCGTGGGGAGTTCACAAACAAAATGTCCTGCAGTTGCCTGGGAACACATCATAGTGTGCCTCTTGGTTATTCTCTGGTTGCTGGTCTCCGTCCCTGAGATGCTATCATGATGCAGAGTTATTATTATTTTTTTTCAATACTGTTCTTATAGGAGTTTGTGGCCTCTGGTGACAAAGTGGAAGCACCAAATGTTCCATGTTGTTCCATGTCAAGAGATGTCCCTGACGTTGTCTCGCCTCAGAGCTTTGGGCTGTAGGCACTGTAGGCACTGTAGGGAGCTGCTCACCGCATGATCCCATGGCCCAAGGTTGAGGGAGGCTCTGGATGAGGACATGATTGCCAATTGTCGTTACTTGGAAAGATATCAACTTCATATTCTTTGTGTGATCGAATCCAAACCAGTTTTGATCTCCAAAGTATTTCTGAAACTTTTGAAACCCTTGGTGAATTTTTAGTCCATCCTATGAAAGATGCCTGGAAACTGGCATGATGATCCTAATCACTGGCATGATGGTTGAAATCACCAGTTCAGGGTAAATTTGATCACGACCTCAGCCTGTTCTCTCGAGCCCTGGGAATCATGGTTAATAAGGGAAATCATCCCCAAATGGCCGAACTATTCAGCTTGGTGAATTATGATGATTTACCCAGATACATATATATATATATATTTATACATACGTACATTCATATGCACTGGTACTGGGTAGCGCGCTCGTATACCTCCCAAAGCATGAGGATCTGGCCCCCGAGATGCTAAGGTGAAGAATTCGAAGTCTTGCGGCAGCTGTAACTGGGAAGCTGAACGGTGCGATCATGTGTTTGTTTTTAAGCTATACATATATATATATATATGTATATATATATAATTATATATATATGTATATATGTATGTATGTATATATATATATATGTACTATATTGCTTACTATACATATATACATATATATATATATATGTATTGCTCACTATATTGCTATACATATATATACTTGTTAATGAAGCTATACATAAATATATTTTGGGTGATTGCTTACTATATATATACACATATATATATACGTATATATATATATATACATATACATATGTATATATATTTGTACTGCTATTGTTTCTTACTTTTTTCAGGTCTTTGATATAACAACTAGCAATGTCCAGTATAGCCTGGTGAGTGGTTCAAAAGTTTCACCTAGAGGTGAGCAGGTGTTATACTAAATAGATTACAGTACTAAAATTATTGGGGCTTGTCATAATCCATCATGGGAATCCGGTTCTGAAGCAAGCAGTAGTGCACATAGATCAACATCATGGAAGAGGCATTTAATCAGTGATCTACGATTCTACTATACTTCCCTACCACCCATGTATGGCATGCCAATCTTCGTTGGTGGTATATTACCCTTTCGTTTGTTTAATGGTTTGATGATGATGCTAACGCCATCCCAGATGGATTCTCTAGCACGCGAGTTGCGTAAATTGGACACATCCCGACGTGTTTCCCGATTGTTTTAAGGGAACATCTTTAAGAAAACCATATACTTAGTTAATATATTTGATGGGGGAACATATTGACCACGTAATTCAGAACCATATTAATCATATTACATTATTACATAGGTAGTTCATATATATATATATACATATCATGTCTTAAAGAAACATCAAAACAAGTGCCATTGGAGCGGTTTCCTGTGTATAACTTACCGACGTTCCGGTTTGTCGATCGCATCTGAGGCGGCATCCAAACATCATTCAGGCCCTTGACTTTTTTGTTCTCAGCAGCTTGGCTGCGGCCATGGCCGACTTGGAGTGGTTGATGGTGGTTGATGGCGGTTGATGGCGGTTGATGGTGGTTGATGGTGGTTGATGGTGGTTGATGGTGGTTGATGGTGGTTGATGGTGGTTGATGGTTGATGGTTGATGGCTGGAGTGGTGGTTTCAAAAAATCTAAGTTTCGATGAGTTTGGATTCTCCAAACTCCAAAGTATTTCGCAGGGACGATGATTTCATCTGACCATTTTGATCAATTGAAACAGCCAACCAGATGGCTCCAATCAATGGCTGAAAGTACAGCTGAGGGGAATGTTTCACAGGAAAAAAATGGTTTCAATCATCAATCAAGGAAATTCCTGTAGCTTCATTATTTTCCGTAAACAATATAGCCTGTGAGACCTGACGATATATGAGGATACAATATGAACCAACATGGTGATTTAAGCTGAAAAGAATGGACACATCACTAGCAAGAAGTTTTTGACTATTCGATGCTTAGTGGCTGGGGGAGAGTGGATTAATTCTACCAGCAGAGGTTAAATTGGATCCTCAACCTTTAAACCCAGTGCTGGGTTTGGTGGGCCAGTTGGCATCAAAAAATGGCCTGGTACCCATGGGAAGTCCCGGCGAGGTCAAAGGACCTGCTTGGTCCTGTCCTACCACGACGCACGGAATCTGACGAAAGCTGTGAAGATGGGCCCCATGCCTGTGGCCTGGACGAAGAGTGCTGCGGTTCCACAACGGAAAGGAAAGAACTGCTGAAATTGAGGACTATGTTCTATACAGATTACATCATGAATCATGATATAATGATAGTGATATAATGTTATGTTATATAATGTTCATAGATAGAGTATAAGTATTATATTATATATATATGTAGTATATAAAGTATATGCGTTTCTTTTTCAATGGATCTGAATCACTCACTCAAACTCCAAGTTTTGGTTGGTCACTAGTCGAAGGTTGGGTCAACTATATCGAGCCAAGAAAACAAGACAGCAATGGTGACCTTCAATGGGGTACTGCATTAGGACCACAGACATGGTTTGATTCTTGGTATTTGAAACTGTATGGTGACCCCTCTTTGAGGTTCCATAATGTTCCATACAATTTCAGCCATACAAAGACTTTGTCTCTTAAAAAACCCTCCGTTGTTGCTGGTTTTCCAGGTTGAGACTGCTGGTGAAAAATGTCGGACCCCGGCAAGAAAAGCCTGGCCCTTCAGGAAGCTACAACGAAGCCTCTCTTCCGGATGTTGTTGAAGGCACTGGACTATCTTCATTGCCACTTGGCACCGCCATGCAGACGTCATGCTGTCGCTACGGTACTTGCAAATTAGCTGACAAGTGCCCCCCATTTACAGTATTCAATCACTTGGCCCTGGATCCTGTTTGTGATCCCTGATTTGGAGGTGCAATGTGAACCATCTCCCCATGTCATGGATAGCACTGAGATGATTTGTTCAAGTTGGCTGCGAGGATGTTGGGTATACTGTAGTGAAGACCCCCCATGTTTTGTCCAAAAAGCATGACCATATATATATATATGTATATATGTATATGTATATATATATATATATGTATTATTTTGATTTGTCCACCCTTTTTAGGGAGAGATGTTATGAGATCTACACCGCTTTTCAGCGCCCACCTCTCTGCATTGCCCTTTATTGCCTCGCTTGCCTCGCTTGCCTCTCCAGGCAAGCGGGTTCTCCATCGAGACGTCAAGGGAGATAATGTCTTGGTCACTTGGTGAGACCGCAACTGTAGCAGCAGAACCATGCATACAATATGGATGTGGGTCAGAATGGAAGACCTAGGGGACTACAGATGTTAGTCTAGTTTAGTATTAACCATCCAATTATTGGGGTACCTAATTTTGACCCATACCCATATGATACAATCATCCACAACTGGATAGAGACTTTAATCCCCTGAATGATTATATAGTTTTTTTTGCTACAAATGGAAAATCGCCATAACCAGCAAAGTATGTTTTTTGTAGACTACGAAAGATTGAACACGAAATTACGTGTGTATATATATATATATACACCTTATATTTCTGCATGTCGCCGTCTATTCTGGATGCATGTTGACATAATGTTGACTATGTCAGGGTATGTGATATGTATATATATATATACAGATAATGATATGTTGTACACATTGGTAATTGGTAAGACGGGCAACAAAACTTAGTTTGGTGGGTCTGTGGATTATTTTTAGCATCTGGTTGAGGAATACCTCATAAATTATTGAACTGTCCGTACGATGACAATTTGGGTCCAACATTTGGACCACAGATCTCTGTCAATTTGTAGCATTTTGACCATGAGGACCCTTCAACCTCACAACGTAAATGATGGTTGGGGGAAATCACCCAAAACGGGTTTGTTTCTGGGGAATGGTCAGTATAGCCAGATCACTGGACATGTAGTTACTAATGTTGGCTGCTTTCCAATATCTGGATGGTCGCGGGAATCCTGGATATTTTCGACGGGGTGCTGCCGAGGTTTCCCATGATGACACGCAACTGTGGCTGGCAGATTTCAATACCGCTCGTCAGCTTATGGCTGGTGGCTCCCTCACCATGACAGGCCCCCTGGTTGATTTGCCGACATGGTTGAAAATTACTACAACTGGATTATTGGGTATCCCTTTTTATGCGACATATGTGTATCTGTTTTTGGACAAATCCATGTCTAGATGTATATAGGTCGAGATACCCCACATCTCATTGATTAAAGTAGGAACACCGTGGAACACCTAACCTGCAGGGTGGTGGATGACTCTTTCTGCACTGAACATCTGCAAAAACGGCAATGAATTCTTGATGAGGTGTTTCCTGGAGGGTTTGAACAACAATTTCTTTACTTGGAGAATATTCGAAACATACCACCATTCTTCCAAAATGATCTCTGAGATATTGCCTCTGTAATTGGAGCATGCTGGAGCATTGCAAGTCACCCGTCAGTCCTGTCCAGGGTCATCTCCACCCGCTCCGTTTGAGGTACCTGGGAATATTCACCCCCGGAGGTGATTGTTGAAGGCGACGGCGAAAAAAAACCCGCTGTATACATTATATATATATCCCATTTGTTGGACAAACCAATATTTGTTTCAAATTTGAGATCTTTCTCCCTGTAAAAAAATCATCTCCACTGATCATGGCTCTCATTGGCTGCAGTTGTTGTCTCATTGTTACCACAGTGAAGCCTTACTTGTTGGTTCCTTGAAGATATTGGTCAATGTCCATTCTATTTATTCTATTTGGGGTGATATTTTTGAAAATTGACACAAATAAATTTGAAGTGGTTTGAAGCCCCAGAATACCCTTCCGGGAATCAAACGTGGCAATGGGAAATATTCATATAATTTCATATATATATAGTTTAATGTGTTTCGCATTAAAACCTCCATTTCGTTCGGGGATTTCCCAGCTAGCCATGTTTGATGGGTTTTTTGGCTACAAGTCCCATAAAATCTGGGTTTTTTCTATGTTGGGGGCGCAGTTCCAGTTGTAAAGCCACCTGCGAGGCGAGTCCGCTTCAGAGAAGGCGGACGTCTGGGGCGCGGGGCTCTGTGGCTATTTGATGCTGAAAGGCAAGCTGCCACTGAAGTTCCGCGGCTGAAAGATGCTGAAAGATGCTGAAAGATGCTGAAAGCACCTGGAAAAAACCGCTGAAATTTGCAATTTCCACCGGGAAAGTTCTGTTTCACCATGGCGTAGCCTCCAGCAATGGAAAATCCCCGAGCGAACTAAACCTCCCTGCAGTTCAGGGATTTCCCAGCCACAGAGTGGTGGTTCTGGGTCCGCGCACCGTTTTTTGAAACCCCAGGTTTTCAGAAGATGCGCAGGGTTTTGTCGTGGGAAACGGAACGATGTGACTTGGGGCCAGGGGTTACAAATCCCAAGCATACAGATACAACATGACGTGTATGTAATTATATATATATGTATAATATATATATAATTATATATATATATGTATGTATAATATATATATATGTGAAATCAACACTGCCGATTCGCAATGCACATCATCTTCATTTCACTTGAGATCCAAAGAGTAAGGGTTACAGCTTATCATTCTCGTGCAGCTGGGTGGCTCTGTGAGCCCGTAGTGGAGGGTGAGGATAGCTTGTGCCTGGTTCCTTACCTTCGGTGCTTGGTAAGGCGTTACGATCGTGGCCGATTGGACGTTGTGCAATCAACTGGAGGAAAAGAACAACATAGCGCTGCCGTGCAGCTTGGGAAGGGTGTCAGGGACACCATTCAGGTGTTTCAGGGTCCGTTACCAGTTCTAAACTGGTAGCGGAGCCCGGCGACATGTCAGGGACCGCTAGTGAAGCAGCCAGCGACGCTGGGCAGGTGCCAAACCAGTTGGCAATCCTTGTGCCAACTTTCGACCCGTCGGTCGACAATGTGGAGATATGGACCAACAAGGTGGAACTGCTTTTACTGACGTGGCCATCCAACAAGATCTTAGAGCTAGCAACACGCTTAGTCCTGGGGTGCAAAGGAACAGCCTTTCAGAAATTGCAGTTACATAGGAGTGAAGTCCTAGTCAATGACGCCAAGGGAATTCAAAGGATCGTCGAATTAGTCGGCGGCAAATGGGGTGCAGTGCCGTTGGAGAAGAAGATTGACATAGTGGAGAAGGCACTGTATCGTGGATCACAGAAGTCTGATGAATCTAGCGACTCATATCTGTCTCGAAATGATGTGATTTGGACTGAATTGATTAGCAAAAAGATTGACTTATCAGAGATCCAAGCCTATATCCTCCTTCGTGGAAGCCGCTTGAGCAGCGATGACAAGAAGCGTGTCCTCGTAGATTCAGGTGCAGAAAAGGGGGGTACATTGAATGTCAAGAATGTGGAAGCCGCAGTGAGGATGATCGGTTCAGGGTTTTTCCAAGACATGATTGGAAACAAACGTGACAAGGGTCTCAAAACATATGACCATACAGCTTTCACCATGGAGGACACCAATGAGAACAACTGGGAGACCGATGGCGAGGTCTTCTGGACAGAGGAAGCTTCTTTAGATGAAGGCACCTTAGAAGCGATGGCCGCCGATGATGATGAAGATACAGCACTAGTACTACAGTTTGAAGATGCAGTATCAGAGATGGTTCAGAACGATACTGAGCTGTGTGCATACTATTCATCATACCAAGATGCCAGAAAACGTTTGTCGGAAAAGGTCAGGTTTCGAGGCTTCTGGAGTGTGAAAAAGGGCGAGAAGGGTTTTGGAAAGGAAAAGTGAAAGGAAAAGGGAAGTCGTCCCTTGCCAATCGGATCGCTAATTCATACTGCAGACTGTGCCTCAAGAAGGGGCATTGGAAGAATGAGTGTCCATCACGAGGCCAAGGTGGTGGATCAGCGTCAGCCGCCTCAACCGTGCCGACATCGTTTGTGACCGCAGTGGAAGTGTCTCCAGAGATCGTGTCCTTGCCAGTGATCGAGGACCATGATGCATCAAAACACATGGTAGATTGTTTTGTTTCTCAGGTTCACCAGGTGTTTGGTCATATTCTAGGAAAGAAGCAACTCATGTCACGTCATGCCACCAGGAAGATGCCGCGTTCTAGCCCTGTGACAAGCCAAGTGCCCAGTGTGAGCGAAGCCTTAGCCGGGTTGCATGTGCGGAGACAACAAGTCTCTGAGCCCAATCCTTTGGTCAGCCTGGACCACTGCCCCAGCCTGTTCGCATCCGTTGGATCCGTAGGAGTGGTAGACTTAGGAGCTTCACAAACAGTAATTGGCAGCCAACAGGTACCAGAACTCCTTGCTCAATTGCCAGACGGAGTCCGACAGGGTGTGAAGCGAAAGCCGTGCCATTTGATTTTTCGATTTGGAAATCATCAAGCGCTCGTCAGTAGGCAAGCCCTTTTGATGCCTCTGGGATCTCAATATTTCCAGATAGCAATTGTGGATGGTCGAACACCTTTTTTGATTTCCAGCACTTTTCTCAAAGGGATTCAGGCTGTGATTGACACTGATACTGATGTTTTGTGGAGTAAGAAACTGAACAGAGAACTGAAGATAACTCGAACAGCGAAAAACTTGCTTCTCATGGATATCAATCAGTTGTGGGAGGGCCCGGAGAATTCCGCACAGTTCAGTCTGATGGCTGAAGAACCAACATGCCTGCAGTCCGACGCCTTGAAAACTTGTGACAGCCGTCACCATGCCGAAGCCAGCCATGTAGGAAGTCAACAGGCGACAGGTATCAGGTCCAATGTCAATCATGAAGAACCAGGTCATGTGAACGTGTCACACCATGAACCACATGACGCAGGAGATTCTGAGGCACTCATGTCCAGTTGTCGGAAAGAATCAAAAGACAGCCTCAGTGAGATTCCCGGTTCAAGCTCAACAGACGCTCCTGTCTCAACTTGCCGTGACTGCAGATCCCATCATGCCGAAGTCGCTGACCGAGAAACTGCAGGCCCGTCGAGCCAAGACAGAGATCGATCAGACAGCAGACCAGCTCGAGGAAATCAAGAAGATGTCCCTTCCCCAGCTGGAAAAGGAAACAATCCAATTTGGAAAGGCCAAATTGGGCCAGAAGTTCACGGAGGCATACTCCGACCACAAGTGGACGGAATGGTTTGTGACGCAGTACGAGAAGAGCGACAAAGTGGCCCACCAGAAATTCATCAGCTATGTGGAGAAACGCTTGGACCACGAGATCGAGACAAGTCCCAACAATGTGAAGAACTTCAAGAAGGCAAACAAACCAGTGTCTTCGGAAGCATCGTGGTGTCCAGTGAAAGGGGAAGATCTTCAGAGCGACGACAGTGCAGAAGACATGAGCCAGAAGATCAGCACCAATATGAAAATGAGTGTGATGGAGGACCAAGTTGGAGCTCTGATGGAAGAGAACAAGATGATTCACCATCGCATGGGCAACATCGAGGGAGTTCTGAACGAGCTGATCGAGCATGTGAAAGCCCTCAAGCCGGGATCGTAGAGAGCCAATGTTTTGGGGTTCACAGCAGTATTCATGATGTTGATAATGACTATTATTTTTCCAGTCCTCATGGAGAAGTGAATAGGTCTTTCAAGAATCAGGTTCAGAAGCTTGTCAAACAGTTCTCCGCCGAATTGCAATCTGTGAAGCCACCCCGATTTCATCAGCGTCGGCTCGACCTTTTGGAAGTCATGTGTCATGACCAGAGTGAGCTCACAAAGCAGGCTCAGATGATCGGTGGACATGCTCAGAGGTTTGGACTAGCTCAAGGGGATCTACAAACAACTCAAGGAAGAATGCAGTTGTTTACACAATTGATTTCCAGGCGTCCGAAACATGTGTGGTATAGTCCTGTTTGCAAACCATGGTGCAAGTGGAATCAATACAACGAACAGAAATCAATCGACCTTCAAATCAAAATTTTTGAGTCACGTCAGGAACACCTTTGGCAAATTGCACTGGGAATTGTGTTGTATCGTCATCAAGTTCAGCGTGGAGATCATTTTGATTTGGAACAGCCCGATGGATCACTCATGAAACAGGTTCCGGGTATGCAGGAGGTTGTGGGTCACTCCCACCAATGCCGTTTTGACATGTGTGAAGTAGGCAACTTGAGAGATCCTGTGAGCGGTCAAGCCTTGCGAAAGAGAATGGAAGTCCTATCCACCTCTGATGACTTGCATCGATGCCTGCACCGGCGTTTCTGTTCCGGAAGCCACCAGCATCAACCGATTGCTGGTCAAACAATGGTTGGCCAAACCCGCATGTCCCTCACAGAGTTCACTGAAGCATATCCCAAAAAGTTTGCACGTCAAGTTGCCCGCATCATATGCCATGACCAATCACATCCTACCCTTGTAGGAGAACTTGCCAGTGCTGAGAACCAGGAAAGTGAACACCCCACCAAGAAGCGTAGGTTAGGCCAGAAAATGAGTGCTGCAACCATTGCCCAACGCTTCCAGAGCATCAATTGGCAGACAGTGCTGAAACTCGCCGATTCCGTAGCACCCCGAGTTGGCACCATGGTCATGGAGAATGGACCACTAGTTGATCAAGTGAAGGCCATGTGCCCAAATCACACGGTTAAACATGTCGTTTTATGCCGAGGCACAGACCGATATGTGGGGCCAAATAAAACCATGTTTCCAGGTGAAGCACCACTACGTCGAATGGTTTGCATCCGACGAAGAGTAGGGGGCATCTATGTTGATGAAGAATGGGAGCCATGGGAAAGACTCACATACAAAGGACTTCGACGCAAGTCCACTGCAGCTCGAGTCAGCCTGACGGTTTTTGCTCAGGCCAAAATACCTGATGCGATGCCAGATGCCTCTTCTGCCGATGCTCCAATCTCTGCCGGTAGAGTTCATGGAATGGACATGCCAGATGATCAAGCCAGCAAGAGACACCGAGCGGATGTTCCTGAAGTTCAACAACAAAGTCACCATAACATAACCGATAACCATAACCTCCACAACCATAACTCCAATAATCTTCAGACTCCAACACATGACATGACAATTCCAAACCTTCCTGAACCAATGAAGTTGCAAGCTCAGACCGGTGAGGAATCCTCCTCACAGAACAGTGAATCCAGTGCCATCAAGACCACGGGGGAGGATAGGACCATGATAGATTTGGTTTCAAATAAACATGGGCCCAAATTTCTTGCACTCAGTTCAAGCGATCAAGCATGGTTGTTGAAGATTCATAGAAATCTCGGACATCCCGGAAGTCCAAAGCTTGTTGATTTTTGCAGGCAGTTGAAATGCCCTGAACATATCCTCCAGGCAATCCCAGATTTACAGTGTTCCACGTGCAAAGAATTGCAGATGCCCAAAGCTGCAAGGCCAGGGGCAATCCATGAGCATGGTGATTTTGGTGATGTGATTTCAATGGATGGTATCACCTGGACGAATCAGAAGGGAGATCAATTTCATTTTTACCACTTTATTGACCAGAGTACGTTATATCACACTGCCATATGCTCTGCGCTCAACAGGCAACTCAAGCTCTGTTGCAGGGATGGGTTCAATGGGCGGGGGCTCCAAAGCTCTTGGTCATGGATGCCGCAACTGAATTCAACTCTGAGGAATTTGGACAGTTTTTGCAGAGATTTGGAATCAAGGGCAAAACATGCGCAACGGAAGGTCACTGGCAAAATTCCAGAGTAGAGAGACACGGAGGGATCCTACAAATGATGCTCAATAAGATGGACCATGAAGAAGGGATTTGCAACTATAACCAACTTGCCATAGCCTTAGCACATGCCACCACCACCAAAAATCAATGGAGTAAGTACCGGGGCTATCCACCTGAGATGTTGGTATTTGGAAAAGGATCCAAGATGGTCGGCTCAGTAGTCAGCGATGAAGAAACGGCATCCCACCATGCCGCACTGAGTCCAACAGCAGAAGGTGTCAAGTTCCGTGAAGAACTTGCCGCCCGTGATCGGGCACGCCGAGCCTTTGTTGCCATTGACAATGACCAAGTCTTGCGACGTGCATTGACCAGTCGTAGTCGTCCCACCAGAGGACAATATAGCCCTGGGGATTGGGTGATGCTCTGGAAACGCCGAGGAGAAGCAGAAGGCCATTGGGAGGGTCCCATGCAGGTAATTATACAAGAAGCAAGCAGAGTTGTTTGGGTCACCAAGGGCACCAAACTATACCGTGCGGCACCAGAGCACATCAGACCACTCTCTGCAGTAGAGGAATGGCACCATGGACAGCCAGGGTCCACTGATGCAGCCGAGCCAAGTTCCATTGTTCCACATCATGGGGGCACACAATTCCACAACATGCCAACGGTCAATTCCAATGATCCAAATTCAGAAAATCAAGTTACCATACCGAATAATAATCCTTCACCAGAGCAACCAAATAACCATCATAATGTTAATAACTCCAGGGATAATGGGGATAGTGAGTATGAACCTGAATCAGCACCATCAGCACCGGCATCCACAAGACATGCCAGTGAGAGACCTTCAGAGCCAAAGGATTCCCAAGAAAACTCACCGTGGACTGAAGAGGCCATTAATGCACCAGTAGAAGTTCCAGTGCCCGAAGCTGATGACTTGTTCATGGAACATGAAGACTGCTTTACTCTTGTCGATGACATGGCATGGAAATTCGAAGTCAACATCTCACAATGCGATGTTGACCGCTGGCGTCAAGAGAGTGACCCTCATGAGATGAGTTTTTTGGTGTCTGCTGCAAAGAGACAACGTAGCGAAGTGAAAATGTCTCAGTTGTCATCAGCCGAGAAGGAGTTGTTTCAACAAGCCAAACAAAAGGAAATCGAAAGCTGGCTGTCAACCGAAACAGTAGCCAAAGTTCTTCGCCACCAGATTCCAGAAGAAAACATCTTGCGATGCCGCTGGATCTTGACATGGAAGCCGGTAGATGATGCCAAAGCCGATCAGCCGAAACATGTTCCCAAAGCCCGATTAGTTGTCTTAGGATACGAAGACCCATTAGTGCATGAGATTCCTCGAGACAGTCCGACCATGTCAAAGCTGTCACGAATGCTCATTCTTCAACTTGCTGCTTCAAAGGGATGGGATATCGAATCTTTTGATATTAAGACGGCCTTTTTGAGGGGACAAGAACAAGGAGATCGAATACTTGGCATTGAACCCACAGCTGAACTTCGAGAAAAGATGAAAATGAGACCCAATGAAGTTCTCAGACTGTTGAAAGGAGCCTATGGAAGAGTGGATGCACCCTACCTCTGGTTCATGGAACTCAAGCGTGGGCTGGAATCACTGGGGTTCACACCAAGTCCATTTGATCCGTGCGCGTTCATTTTGGAAAATCCAAAGTCTGGCATGACCGAGGGCATTGTTGGGGTTCATGTCGACGATGGATTGTGTTGTGGGTCAGAGTTTTTTCAAAGGCGATTGCAAGCTCTAGCCGATATGTTTCCATTTGGATCACACAAGAAAAGAAATTTCACCTTCACTGGACTCAGAATTGAACAACAACCTGACAATTCAATACACCTCAACCAGACACAATACATCAATGACATACAACCAATTTCAATTCCACGAACCCGCAGAGTGCATCCTGATGAGCCAGTCACAGATGACGAACGACAGTCCTTACGAGGTTTGATTGGTTCGCTCCAATACGCTGCTGTGAATTCAAGACCGGACTTGTGCAGTAGACTTGGGCACCTTCAATCACATACCAATAAAGCCAAAGTATCCACTTTAACTGAGGCCAATAAAACACTCCATGAAGCCAAAGTTCATTCCAATGTCACTATCAAAATACAACCCATCAAGACCGAGGATCTCAGATTTGCTGCGTTCTCAGATGCATCATTCGCATCAGAGAAAGTTCAGGATTCCCATCAAGGCATGGTGATCATGGCGTGCCATCGGCTGTTAGGACAGAACAGAACCAGTATTGTCAACCCTATGTTGTGGCATTCTAAGAAAATCCAGAAGGTAGCTGTCAGCACATTGTCCGCAGAAGCAATGGCACTGGCAGGAGCAGTTGACATGCTTTCCTGGGTCAGACTATATTGGGGATGGATTCTTGACACCAAATTGCCATGGAAACAAGCTGATAAGATCTTGTTGCAGTTGCCACCAGCGTTTGCAGCCATACCACCCATGGAAGACACCGAATCACCAACACCACCAGATCAAGTTCAAACACTCCTCAAGAAATTACCCAAATCTAACAGTGGAATAACAACTACAGACTGTAAATCCCTCTACGACCTGATAAGTAGGACAGCTCCACCAAGTTGCCAAGAGTTTCGTACGTTGTTACAAGCAAAGCTTATCAAAGAACACCTTCAGAATGGGATACAGATCAGGTGGGTGCCTTCCGGAGCCCAAGTGGCTGATAGCCTCACCAAAGTGATGGACAATTACATGCTCAGGGAGTGCCTCCAGCTTGGAAAATACTGTTTACATGATGAAAGTGAAATCCTCAAAGCCCGATCCGACTCTCGATCTAGGTTACAATGGCTGAGACAAAGCGCCACCACATATAGGGAGTGATGAGAGGAAAAGCCAAGTCGTCCTAGTTTCATCCAGGGAAGTATGTTCATGCTGAGTAACATCCATTCATTGCGAATCTTTTGAAGTTGTGGGAATGTGAAATCAACACTGCCGATTCGCAATGCACATCATCTTCATTTCACTTGAGATCCAAAGAGTAAGGGTTACAGCTTATCATTCTCGTGCAGCTGGGTGGCTCTGTGAGCCCGTAGTGGAGGGTGAGGATAGCTTGTGCCTGGTTCCTTACCTTCGGTGCTTGGTAAGGCGTTACGATCGTGGCCGATTGGACGTTGTGCAATCAACTGGAGGAAAAGAACAACATAGCGCTGCCGTGCAGCTTGGGAAGGGTGTCAGGGACACCATTCAGGTGTTTCAGGGTCCGTTACCAGTTCTAAATATATAATATACACATATATATATATATATTATATTATATATGTATCATATGTATATATATATATGTATACATACACATGATGCACATCAAAATTCCGCATAGTAAGCGACACCCCGTAACATTCTGCTTGTCCAGCCTTGTCACAGGGACTGGCCGGCCCAATGTCTTGACTGCGATTTTATTCAGATGTGCAATGGAGGCTACAAATACATGCACATGATATACAACATAGATACACATAGATAATATGTGTATATATATATAGATATAACATATGGATACTAAATGGATGTAAGATATATATATATATAACATACACAAGCTAGTTACACCTAGTAATAAAAGTAATAGGGTGTGATATCATACATAATATGCACATATATTGTATGTAACTAATTAATATATTTTCATACATCACGTATATGATACACTATGATGAAACACATTATACTATATCCTAGACGTCTATATACTTTTTGCATCTATATTCGATATGATTTGCATCTTATATCGACAAAACCACGATGTTCCCAACCATCCCCACTCGCTTTTCAGCCTTGGAATCTGTAGGTTTTCGGCCTACGAATCCCCCAGGGCCTATGGAGAAGCCTGTGTGCCCTTCGGTGGAAACGTCGTTTTTTTTTTTTCACCATCGAAACAGGGGGAAATTTTGGATGACCAGTCTGACCAGTCCCCAAAAAAACGGCGAAACATGGAGGACATACATGGAGATGTCGGGGGATCTTCAAGTCACCAGGGGTTTCAATATGTTTCAATACTAAGTCATGGGCCTAATGACTTGGATGAAAAAAGGGCTACTCCCAGGGGAAAATGTGGAGTTTTTTGTCGTTGGACCTTAGGGCATCAACGAGTGATTCAACCGATTGATGATGGTGTGACCCTGCAATTTCAAAGATGGCGCTGATAGGAAATCCCTTGTTTTGACAGGAAATTATCTATTCGAATTTCCAATTGCAACTTTTGACTACTAGAGGATGTTGACATTTATTTTTTAACAGGTATGTGGATCATAGTTAGGGCATTTCTCCCCGACTCATCCCAGAAAGTCGCAGTGATGTCAAGGGAATTCAAGTCACTATATCATTTTGTATTTAGATTCGTACCAATCCAGATTTGTTTTTTTTGCAGGGTATCCCTGACTTGGACTAAAAGGCAATTTGGAGGAAACCCATGGAAACCTTTATATTTGGATGGTAAGAACCACGGTTTCAACTTTTAACAGTAGATTTCCCCAAGATAAAAAAACAGTGACAGTAGCTAAGATGAGTTTACCCGAGATCTAATTTTTTGCGATGCGCTAAGGAAGAACCCGGTGACGTGTACAGATCCCTCCTGGGAAGCCTTTTCTTCGGATTGCTGCGAAACCTTGCGCCGCTGTCTTCACGTCGACAAGTTTCTTGGATGCGAGGGCCATTGGAGATGGTAGGGGGTGCCCCTGGTCCCCTGGTGCTGAAATATGAGCTACTGTATAAAGATCTATATATTTCATTATATTTCAGCATTTTCCAGGACATATAGTTGATGATGTTATCTATCATGATCATATGTGAGGATTTGAAAAAATGGCATTAATACCCGGGTACCTCACAGTTGGTTTTCCATCCCCAACTCACCATCTCTCGAGCGATGTGGTCGTAAACGTACTCTTCCGTACTCCGATGTGGCCACAACACATCCTATTAAGATTACCAATATATATATAGTATATAATGATATATATATATATATAGATAGTAGTTTTGGGAATTGAGGATTTTGAAGTTCCAACTTTGATTATATACCATCCCTAAGCGGTGTTCAAAAATAAAATCAAGGGGCTTGAGCCCGAAATATTTTTAAATTTATTTTTCAGAAGGTGCTTATCATAAGTTTTGAGTAGGTCAGACCCCTATGATTTTATTTTTGGGACATGGGCCAAGACCAAGAACCAACCCCAATGCAGCTGGTGGAGTAGCTTTAGGTTGGGTCCCTTTGGTTTTATTTTTGCGTTTTGCTTACCTTTTTGTTTTGTTGGAACATGTTGGAACACACCTCTTGTGTTGGAATTGGTGGGTTTGGATATGTTTGGATTCAATATTTGATAGATTTTGGGGAAAATAAAATCCAAGGTTCCCAAGCTTGTAGGATTTTGTTGGGTAGTATGGTTGGAATATATTGAATCTATGCTTTGTTTGGTGGTCACTATTGTTTGGGCAGAAAAGGATGCAGCCAGAACAAACACGCCACAAACAAGAAAAAAAACAATGGATTGTGAACCGCCACAGTATTTGTTGTAGGATGTGATTGGGAAAGACGGGAAACCAAAGACATACCGAGCCGGAGCAGCGAGAAAAGGACGATGCGCGTTTTTCAGCTGATTTCACAAACACATAGGCTGACCTTGAACCCCTTCAGTTTTATTTCTGGAACATTTTGGATGCTGGCTTGGAACCTTCTTGATTTTATTTCTGGAACCTCTTGATTTTATTTTTGCAAACCCCTCAGTTGGTTGACTGGTGATTTTCATGATTTTCTCTTTGCGCAACGTGTGGGGTTGAACTCCCCTGATTTCATTTTTGCATTTTGGGGGTCAGTAGCCTGGGCCCCCTTGATTTCATTTTATTTTTCAGGGGCTCAACCCCACCTGGGTGCACCACAAGGGGATTATATACCGGAGTATATATTGCATATCCATATAATAATTCATTTCAATGCATACTTTACATTATATTATATTGCATATACAGTAGATCATACCCAACGCACATTCTTTGGTCAAGCATGGTCAAGCACGAAAAAGAGACCTTGGACGTGGATTGGGTAGTGAAGTTTGATAACAAACCACTGCGACTAGACGAACATAAGCCGAAAAGGTCACTGTTAGTGGAGGCGATGTCACCCATTGGCCCAATGTTTGATTCTCGAATCCCATCGTTTCGATGGAAGAAAAAGCCATCAGAATCATATAGCCATGATTTCTAAGCACCACCAGATGAACTGGGGCTAACCTGGAACGAGCATCCTGGGACTCCTGGGACCTGGCGTTTTTGTTAAATTCGTTGCTCAACATGGAGCTAAGGAGCTAGCTAAATGAGGATCCATATTCTTGATTGTCCGAAAGTTCAAGCAACCCAATGGCCCAATGCCATAAAGATCCATGCTGGGGATGCTTGAAATCCCATCAAACCATGGTCCCAATGGTGACTTGGGGTGCAGATGTTGGGTGAATGCCACATGATCCCTTGCCGCTGAGGAATTGCCGCCCGGCTGCTATGGTGCTGTTGGCCATGTCCTGGCTCGCGGATTCCATCGTGGCACCTCGAGAGCAAAATGGCTCTGGACACAGTTTTGGGATGCCCCAAACTTGTTTTTTTAAAGGGGAAAAAGGTATCTTTATGCCTTAACAGTATGATAAATCATGGGATTTAACGACATATTTGCTGACATAAAAGTGGAGATTTTGCCTTGAAAAATGAGTGAAAACTGGTAGCTTGACGAACAAAGATCAAGGTGGAACCAACTGGGCGTGGGATGCTGTGCCTTTGTGGGCCCGCAAACAGGTCAGCATTCTAACCGTACTGTACCATAGTGAGAATTGATCCTTATGAGCCATACACATTTCTTTGAACTGTAAAAATGATGTGGCATTTCCAGCCATAAGGAGGATGTGGACTGATACGCTGGAAGTGTTGATTGATTGAGTAATCATTTCCCCAAAACAACGACCCACTGATCACCTTGGGTCTAAGAGTCTAAGACTTGGATGATTCCTATCTTGAGATAGCAAAAGGATGCACAGGATGAAACGGGGTTTCTCTTAAGATTGGGTGCCCATAAATCCATTGATCCATCATGATTCATGTGGTAAACCCAATGCCATAAACCTACCATTTGGGGATGGTTTATGCAACCCACAAAAATGGTGATTTTGGGGATGGTTTATTATTGGGTTTACCACATGATCCCTATTTATTAATGGCGATAGCTGTTCCCCCAATGGCTGTTCAACTTCGAGGAGAGCTCAAGTTCTTTTAAGTTCTTTGAAGTTGGTTGATTTAACGTGGAATATGCATTTGTTCAGCCCCACAAAAAAATATAGTAAGTGGATGTAAGTGGTTTGTAAATTGTTCTAGATTCCTGTGAGCTGGATTTCGGACGGATACACCTCAAATTACAGTAGCCATTGCCAACAATCCTTCACGACAAATTGAGCCACTTCGTGGGCCCCCAGAAACTTTTGCTGAAGCATTCTGAAATCGTTGAAAACTGAAAAAACTGAATGGATCCCTCAACGTTTTAGGACTTGGACGATATTTTCAGTCCTCGAAATGGCATCATGTTGTTGTTTCATCTTGCCCCAGTGGTGTACCAGGATTTCCTGCGCGGGGATTCAGCCAGGTCCATTTGATCTGGATATGTGGCATGCTGGTCATAGCCATAGCATGTTGTGCTGGTTACACTGTTACACCTTACACCCATTTGAGTTTGTCAACGATCAGCCCTTTGAAAAGCCACTGCCAGCTATGACAGCCATGTTGTCGATGATTCTCCGGTATTTTTCAGCGATTGACATGTATATAGTGGGATCACAACAGAACTTGCAAGGAACTATCATGCATAATCATTTTTTCAGGGGAAGTCCAAGCCAAGGGAATATCATGGAACTATCATGGAACTATCATGGAACTATCATGGAACTATAATCATCATTATGTAAGTAGCTATATGTAAGTAACATTAAGTAACATTAATTCTAATGGAACTTTCTGTTGGAACACCATTCCACCCATGATTTTTCCGTGTATTCTCCAGGCACGGCGACGTTTGAAGCCCGGAAGACGACACACACTCCTCTCCGGGAGACTCGGCGGCGAATTTTTCATTGGGGATTCGGGGGGGTGTGGGTAGCCCAATAGCTGGATGGTTTATTTCCATGGAACATCCGAACATAAAATGGATGATTTGGATTGATTTGGGGGTACCCCCATTTTAAGAAACATCCATATACTAGTAGCGATAATGATGTACAACCAATGATGATTTGGCAATAAAACAGATGCATTGGGCGATTTTCCAGCCATGTTTGAGTAAGGGGACCTTTGCGGACGAAAATTGGACCAATTGTTCATTGTTTTCACCGAAAGCCAGATGGGTTGGTTGGTTTGTTCTGTCGACCATACTTTTTTTGGGGAGGAGAGTTTTATCATCAAATGGGATTACAGTAGTCAAGTATAGTGGTGTATACCCAATTTGGGGAAACTGCTGATAGACAACATGTTTTCACTTGTACCTTATTCTTGGACTCACCCAGTTGAGTAAGTTGGTTTATCTTGTGGAAAACCAACCATACACTATTTACTGTTCTGAACTTTACCATTGAGGTGTTACTTGCGGGCCTAGGCTAACTTGGCGAAGTAGGTTTCAGCTAACCGATATATTTGGGTTTACCAAATCAAACAGGGCATAACCTCTAGCAACAGGAATCATACACAGTGCATTCACCTCTATCGGAATGGTTTTTTTATGTGGGCCCCCAACAGTTGGGTAACTTGGTGTTTTTCACTAGGCCAACTGGGGTGGGATTTCGGTGGGTCTACGATATCATATATCTACAGTCGGATGGGTGAGATATTTATGTTTTCTGATCTTGCCACAGATGAAGGAACAATGTGGGAAGCCCAACAATACACCCCACTTCTTTCAAGGTTAAAACATACACACAAAAGAAAGATAATACAGTATATAGTTTTTTTTTGCCCTAGGCTTCCGACGTGAACTGTACACGGGGATTGCAAAACTTTATCCGTCCAAATTTGATGTTTGTCTGTAGGATGTCTAGGACATAATGGGATCATCTCTCTTGATCGGTGCAAACAGAACAATTGGATACAATTGGATGGAATTATATACGTATATATATATATGGCAGTGTGTCAAAACCTTGTACCCCTGGTGAACATCAAAATAGCTGGTAAATGGATGTTCATCCCACTAAAAATGGTATTAATTAATAGGTATTGATCCATACCCAGATATATACACATACTATGCCCATATCGTGGGGTATACCGCTTCAATTTTCCCCGTCGTCCCAGTAGAATGTGTGGTTTCATGGTTGTCTATTGATAATTACTGTATACAACTGATGTGCATATACCCGTATGTTTATTGGCATGATATTTGTGAGTATGGCCTCAGTACACCTCTGGAAAACCAGCAAAAACTAATAACTCAGTATCCCTCTGGGAAACCAGCAAAAACTAATACAGTAACAAAGACATTTTTATGGTGGCGGCGCCTGCAAGGGGCCGTGCGTTCGTGTACTTTTTACTCCCCTGCCTTGTTTGTGTTTCTGTCCGTCTATGTTTTTTCTATTTGCTTCATGTTGGGGTGGGGTGGGTTGGGTGAAGTGGGTTGGGGCAATAAGGTCCTTGCACTTGCACGCTCACTTGCTGTTATGCCATCTACTTTTCTTCTTGCTACGTCAGAAGAACTTCTCTAGCACTTCCACATCTTCTGCACGTTATGTTAATGCTACATTATATACTTCTCACCATGTTCTAAGAAGTTCTCTAGCACTTCCATCGTCTTCTGCACGCTATGTTAATGCTACATTATATACTTCTCACCATTATCGTCTGACCGTTACGTTAAGCTATATATATAAGAGTTACTTGATGCAACGTCATAAGAACTTCTTGTAAATCTACTAAAACTTCATGCTAAGTTGTTTAAATTACTTGATGCTACGTCACAAGAACTTCTCTCGAGTTGATGCTATGTCAGGATAATTTCTCTTGTATTTCGAATACAAGTTCAAGCTACATACTAATATTTATAGCGTGATGCTACGTCATGAGCACTTCTCTTGTAAATCTAGTAAACATCACGCTCCGTTCTATAAATTACTTGATGCTTTGATGATAAAAATAGTACAAGTTCAAGCTACGTTATATATTTATGATATGATACAAATATGGCAAAAAACAGTTTGACCCACCAGAAAGACGCGAAAAAGGTGCGTGAAGTGTTCGAGGGGTTGTCGAGAAACACTTCCTAAGCAAACCCTTGCAGGGGTTGCGCATGTTTTTCTAACATCGATAGCAAATAAAATCCTTCAAAACCATTTTTTTTTTTGATTTTCAAAATCGCCATGAATCCGACACATTCACAAAAGCACGGCCCCTTAAAGAGGCGCCGGCACCATGTTTATGGCCCATACCTGACCTTGACCTGGAGATCCATGTGATCCATTTGCTGAATGCTATACAAAATGACACCAACCAAACGGCGAAGCAATCTATATTGTTTTGTAATATCATGATAATAATATATGTATATCAATGCGTCCTATTATGTTTTAGTTTTAATATATATATAGTTAATTGCATGCATATGACATGTATAAGATGTTTGGAACAGCTAGGTAAGATGGCGGACAAATCGCCACCTTGTTCATGGTTTACTCAGGTTTCATTTATGACTTGCTCATGGTCTACTGAGTTGCTCATGGTCTACCAACCCTGCCAGTAAAAACCACTAAAAAAACCCATGTTTGATGCTCACAAGCCATTTTGGACCTCATTATTCATGCTTAAAGAAATCACTGAACGAACCTCATGTGTCCAAAACATATGGCAAGGTTGGTTCATTCCCAGTTCTTACAAATTTGTTCCCCTCTCTGGTAAACGTTAACAAAAAACTATGGACAATCCCTTATAAATGGAGGTTTTAATGGGAAAATCATCTATAAACGGGCCATTTTCCATAGCTATGTTAAATAACCAGAGGGTACATGTTGTTACCACTAGTCTCAACCATGGCTAGGCCACCTCAACGCTCGCCACCCCCCTGGCTTGGCCGCCTTGGCCACTTAGGACCATTGAAGACGGCGACGGCAAAGCAGTGCCCTGAAACTTGGCCGGACCTGAAACATGAGATATCTATAGTTAATATGGTTAATATAAGGTTGATAGATGGTTAATATCATGAATCATATGGTTGATATGGTTAATATCATTGATGGCTAAATATCATTGATGGCTAAATATGGTTAATATCAACTATAGATATATTAAGATTAATTAGCCATATACTAACCATTAATGTTAACTATAGATATATTAACCATCATAAATTTAGGGTCATATGGTTGATAGATGGTTAATATATCTATAGTTAATATATGCTTAATATCATTGATGGTTAATATATGGTTAAAAAGATGGAGGTTTCCCAAAATAGGGCTACCTCCAAATCAATCCACTTTAATAGGATTTTCCATTATAAACTAGCCAGTCATTGGGTACCCCCATTTATGGAAACCCCCAATTATACATATACCAGTACCCTGTGGTAATCAAAATTTTCCATTGCCACGTTTGATTACCGGATGGCATGTATATTATATATATATACATTGGAGATAGTGATCTCATACCAGAATTGGAGTGTTTGAACTAGTACATAGATTCATTCAGTATCAACATCAGGTTAATGTGAAACCCCAATCCTACCCATCAGCCATCATTCCCAGACTATGTCCCAAGTTCCCTCATGTTTCATTTTTACATGATGTTTGTCATGCCACAGCATCACAAGAGACTGGACCTCACTGACCATCTTGAACTAGTGGTTCATGGACCAAGAAACATGACTCGCAGGCACCACCTTGTGACATGTATGTGGCATGTGACCAGGACAAGTGGGATTGGCAAACAATTTACAAGTATTGCTGGTCCATGGGCAGCTGATGTGCGACCATATCAGCTGGAAACTTCCAGCACACACTTATGGAAAATAGCCCCCAAAAAAATAGATGATTTACTTAGAAGACATAGTGATTTCCATAGTTCCATAGTTTACCAGAGGATTACAAATTTGCAGGGGATCTAAGGTCAGCAATGTGAAGTGGGTTGGAAAAGCATTCTGCTCTCACTTAACTAAATCGCTTTTGTTTGCTCCCGAGAGTTGTTGCTGAGATAATTTGAAGACAATCAATCTTCAGGGCCTGCACATCTGCACTCGGAATCCTAGCTGTTCCACTTGCTGATCATTCTTGTGTACGTCAGGATAGCCAGGACACTCACTATGCGACAGTCCTTGTTGGAAGTTTAATACATTTGGGGCACGTGGACTCGCAGTGGATAATTTCCGTTACCCAGATGGTTTCATTGCAACACGCATCCAGATTTCTGGCTTCAAATATATGATGGACGTTCCATCCGTCCTCGGGGTGACACACACACACAAATATGGGTATGGATCAATACCTATTAATACCATTTTTAGGGGATGAACATCCATTTACCAGCTATTTTGATGTGAACTACAGGGGTACAAGGTTTTGACACACTGCCATATATATGTATATATAATTGATTTTGCAGTATTGCAGGTCGATATCCTCAGATCTGCAGCTGGGGTCGTAAGTTACAATGCTTTTTATTTACAGCTGATGTGTCCATCTGGGTGTCAATGGACTCTGAAGTCAACCTCAGAATCAGTGATTTGAGCCTGCTGGTGTAACCATGCGGCAGCTCTTTGCCGGTACAACAGTATTTTGAGGCTGAAACCGGAATCATCAATCATTGTGTGATAGGATAGGCCAATGATAGGCTACACTGACTCCAGAGTACAACAGCGACGAACACAACCACAACAACAACAACAACAACAACCACAAGAAGAAAGGAAGACACATAAGTAGAAAAGTAACATCATTACGTATGTTCGTAATATACAGTGTATATAATTATATATAATTATATATATACAATGGAATTAAGTACAATAACTACAACCACTCCGACCACATGCACAAGGACACAAGGACACACGTACCCATAGCGCAGATGTGAACCCATTGTGCAGATGCCTGGTATGTTTTGCATCTTTTGCCATCTTTTGCCATCACCGAGGCATTAAGAAGATCCAAAGTCTGGGATAACTCTTCAGTACCCTGAGGGGTTGAGGGACAACTTACTGAGAAACCAACGTGGGTTTGGATGTGATCAAAAAACGCCATGGTTTTCCCATAAATTTCCCTCAACCCTAGCCTAAACCCAGATTCGAACTGCCTTTTGCGCGCCTCCAACGGTGGCGTGCGATGTGCTGCAGCACTTTTGCAGCATCGGCCCCAGCCATGCCTGCCCGTTGGCCGGATTTTCCTGGCTGGCACAGTGACGTCTACACCCAAAGGATTTTTCCAGTGGGACCCATGGGGCTGAAAGGAGACGTCATTTGGGTGATTTCAAAATATTTTAAGCCTACAGACATGAAATCCAAATGTAAACACTAAATAAGCCACCGCAAAAACTCCGGCAATGGAAAACATGTAAGGGAAGGACTTCGGTTTCCAGAAATTGTAAGTGAAGTATGCGATGGGACCTTCCCAAATAATAGCAATACCCTGTTTGAAGATTATTTTATACCTGTGCACATACATAATTTTCCTTTACGCGATACCCTCCAAATTGCCATGCATCATTGTTGTCCAAACGTGTGGTAAGCGAGGGGACCTTCCCACATTTTTGATGTCCTTGTTGTGAACCTTGAGTTTCCGATGGCTATGGACCAAAACCCCATCAGTATCCTGGTTTTAAGAGAATCAGATCAGAATTTGCTGGTGTTCGTGGATGTTCATCAAAAAGGATACCTATGCCCACAAATGCGTGTGAGAACTTGTGCCATTTCCATGTTGGGCCTTTACTAGATTTGAGAGTAGCTTGTTTCACCCTTGTGAGCACATGGATGTCATAGAATGATATAGAATAGATAAATAGAATTACAGATAGAAATACTAAAGTTGGGACGTTCATCTGATCAGTGAGTGCTTCGTTGCTTTTGAACCATGTCAATATTGAGTGAGAAGCGGGGCATCGGAACTTCCCATTGAAATCCCGCATGTTTTTCCATCAAAAAACCGCAGGTTAGAATCCTTTCAGACTAGGATTCTAGGATCCAAAACACATCAAAAAATGATTGAAAAGTAATCCCCAAATGTATCCCCAAATGTATTCTTTGGATTGTGTTGATCTTTTTTTATTGGGGACGACTCTTTTTGGACTCCAACTGGCTTAGGACTAGGATCCAGGCCAATTGGATAGAACATTAAAAACTGCACCTGGGAAAGGATTTCAGGCTGGTTATTTGTAGCTCCCTGGAAACAAAAAGCATGGACCTGAAAAAAATAGACTGTTCATCGAAAATGTCATGATTCTATTAGCTAGCAGCTGTGAAGAAACGCCGACTTTGGGGCCAGCATGATGATCAAAAGACTCGGGACAGCATGGTGGTTGAAAGTCGCAAACAGGCACTGACTCAGCACTTCAAGATGTAGAGGTTTCCTAAGTCATGGGGGTACCTCTAAAATCATCCATGTTATTTTCGGATTTTTCCATTCTAAGCCATCCATTTTGGGGTACCACCATTTTAGGAAACCCCTCAAGATATTTCAAGTTCTAGTCGGCCTTGGTTTCAGATCCCAGTGGAGCTGGTGTGGACTTCTGAATTTGAAGGTGGATGCTTTCAGCGCTATCACCAAGGGAAGCTGGGAAGCTACCAACCAGCACTGCCAAGCAGTGCCCAGAGGCGTCTCAGCCCGGGTCAAGATGGTCGAGGGATTTGTTGCCGGCTTAAAGCAGTGAAAGCGACAGGCAAAGTGATGCGTGGTTCAAAGATGTTCTGTTCAAGCAATATCCAAATGCTGCAGTTGTTTTGAATATGTACCAACAGTTACCCCCATAATGGCCCACATGTTGGTAAACATTCCATAGATGGAGCACATAGGATACATAGAGTCTTAGAGCTCCAGAAAGCCTGGTTCAATCTTGGATGGATTTCTGCTTGGGGGCCTTGGGCATAGTAGGGCTTTGTTGGTTGGCGTTGTTTTTTGTTTTCAACGATGCTCATATGTCATTTTTTTTTGGATGATGAACCCCAATATCAGATGTGGTTCTCAAGGTTTTAAACCACCAGTACATTCCAAGAAATAGTTTGGCCATTGCTTGGCCTATAGGTTTATCTCATTTTAGATGCCTCTTCCTTGCAGTTCAAAAAGCAGTTTTTGGAGTTGCTAAGTGACGTCAGACTAGGAAGTCTTGGAGTCTTTGAATGGTTCAATATGAGTCATTCGAAACAACCAGTGATGATTGTCCTTTGGTACTCGCACTGGTAATGAAACATGTATGATATAATATAGTATATATATATACATACCATCATAATCCATCATACACTTGTGATATCTTGTGATCCCTTGTGGCCTAAACCATCCTAAACCCTTATATAAATCTAAAGGGTTGAGAATGAAAAACCTCGTGTTTTTTTGGGGGGATCAGCAAAATCGAGGAGGTTCTGGGTTCCGAGACATGTGGTGTTGCTCCCCAAAACCTCGGGTTTTGGACCAAATATAAGTCATATGCTCTATGGCGCTGGAATGTTTAGCTACATGACCCGGATATACTGGGTTATTTCCATGGTAAACATTCACATGGGTAAGAAAACCATACTTTTTGTTGGTACAAAAGAAGGCTGAACTTTGAAGCCCGTATTCAAGCAATCTTTTCCCCATTTCAAGCCCTTTTTTTTCGCAGCAATATTCTGGGTTTCCAGGGGAAAAAAAACCGAAACCATAGTAAATTCACTCTTTTACCCATAGCAAGCCATTCTTTTTGTCATGACTTTGGCATGCCCATGGAGCCAAAATCATCCAACCGTAACCGAACTAGAAAACACAGTCAGAGAACCCTTTGTGTATTCCTGTTGGAGTGGAGATTGGAAACTTGAAACAATTCGAAACATCCCAACCTATAGGTACTGGTACTATAGGTGAACTCATTCGGCATTTACACATGAATTTGACTGAAATTCTATTGTCAATCAGAACATGATGATGAATTAATCATTAATCATCAAGTTGAAGATTTGGAGCATCAGATTTGGGTTTTTTCCCTGTAGTTTTCATCTGTGAAATCCATGGCTGAAGATTTCCCCAATTTCTGAGCTGCCAGCCGTGCAACCGCGAGCGTACCTGACTTGATGGCAATCTTTCAGCTACTACAGTAGTAGGGTCAAGCCCTCACACACGAGAAAACACCCGATAGGAATAGCTTATGATGAAAATGCATGTAGGATTGTAATCATCCTGAGATAGAATATGGAATGTTCAAAGATACTCCCGTTTTAGTGAGGATTGTTGGAATTTTCCATATTCTATCTACTCCAGGATGACTATGTATGCATGTGCACGACTCAAAGGCATCTTGCACGACTTGCCGCTTGCAGCTGTTGCTGTTGTGGCGTTCATTGTGATATTTAATCATGATGGTATATATGTTTTGAGGAAAACATCAAGCATATTCAAGCATGCCCTTTCATTATCTTTCATTGGCATTGGGATTTCATTGGATTTCCATGGAATGATTAATTTTAAGTTATCCAGAATTCTTTGGAGTCATCATGACCGAAAGACCTGGTGCAGTGCATCTGTGATTCGCAGGAATTTCAAGACATCCAAACCAGACCGACCATGCAGCGTAGGGTATACCGTACCTTCCCCTTTCTTTCAGAAATGTCAGCAACAAATAGCTGTTGCGTCCTGGTAGGGTACTTTTGCCTGGCAAGCAATATTGAATCGTACATGGAGATACATAGAGTAATCATAGAGTATGTTTAGTTTTTACTTTACGCTCCCAAGTTCAAGTCTTGCATTTTTCAGTCCAAGTCCCTGCGCGCTGGTGCTGATAGACAGCGTATATTTACAGTCATATATATAATAGATATAATACATTGCACATGTATGTATATATTATGGAAAGGAAGTTTAGAAGTCAAACTTCCGACAATATGGACAGATGAAAAAGCAGAGGTGGGAAGAATCAGAGAAGAGAAGAGAAGAAGAGAGAAGATCAGAGACGAGAAAGAGTCAGAAGAAAGAAGATGCAGGTGCGGGAAAAGGTAGAAAAGTCGCGAAACACTTGTGTTTTTCCAATGATTTGTGGCTCCAGAGGGTCGAAAAGCAGGCTCGCTAAAGTGGCGGGTGCGGAGCCATCTGGCCAGATGAGAGATGACAAATTGCACGCCGTTGTGGCGCGAAGCACATTTCGAAGTCACAATTTGCAAAACGCCTCAGTGTCGGAGCACTGATGGAAGTTGAGGTGTTGAAAAAGCGCACGCCGTTTTGGCGCGAAGCACATTTTGATTTTTGATGCCAAAATGTAGAAAGCACACTACGTTCGGACCACTTTTGAACGTTGAGATGTTGAACAAGTGCACGCCGTTGTGGCTCGAAGCATGTTTCGAAGTCAACATGTGAAAAGCACACCACTTTCGGGCCACTTTTGGACGTTCAACCGCGCCACACTACACTACAATACAGCTAGAAGAAAACTACTACAGGTACAAGTACAACTACAACAGCAACTACAGCTACAACTACCACAACATTGCACTACAACTACAACTACAACTGCACTACAACGACAACTACACTTACAAGCACAACTACACTACAACTACAGCCACAACTACAACTACAACTACGCTACAAATACAGCTACAAGCGCAGCTACAACTACTACAGCTAGATGGATGGGTAGTTTGCCAGTTCGACAGTGTCTGCAGAGATGTGCCGTTTTTGGAAGACCGAAAGTTGTTTTGTTCTTATCGCTGCAGCTTGCACTCTGGGGATTAACATGCGCAAGAGATTGCCGTGTTTTAGTTTGTCGGGCGCTGTGAGTACGGGAATTCCGATGTTGAGGGTCCTTGTTGCACTGCGCAGAACGGTGGCGCTTGCTTATTTGCGTTGCAGAACATGTCTTTTTGCAGCATTGCCACTTGAAGCGGTGCAGTTGTAAGCTGGAAAGTCGGTGGATAGAGAGTCAAGTGCTGTCTAGATCGTGCATAGATAGATGCACAGATACCGCGGGATTTGAGCAGATAGATAAA